GTGAAGTCCGTGTGCATATCCTGTACGAACTGCTTGATGTGGGCAATATCCACATAAAAACCGGTAATATCTGCTTCGAGAATGCAGGCGTGCGCGGCTGTGTGCATAGCCAGTTGACGACGGCTTTCAGCGGTCTCGTTCTCCACAAAAGGTGCATCCATCGCAAACTGCACGGATTCTCGCGTGCGCTCCTTCCAATATCGAGCGTGTTCAATCGCATCTGTCTCTGCTGATGGTTCTCCGGGTAATGCAGCCATTACACTATAAGATTGGTTAAAATACGAAATGAAATAAATAAAAGAAGGATAGTAATAAACAGAGGAAAAACCGTCACCACAGAATAATAAAGTATTGTAGGGTTCTTCACTTTTCGGGATATGAAGTAATGAACAGCTGATAATTGTTGCGCTTGCAATGCGGCACTCTGTCGCCTGTCGATCGCCTCGCGCTGGCAACTTCGTCGGAAACTACGTAGTTTCCGGTCTGTGTTCTGAATATTTCCCAGCCGCGTCTTCTGAGCTTTGTTCCTCTATTTTTATTGCTGTGAAGCTGTACGTTCGTGGAAATTATAGTTTTTCTTCTCTAAATCCCTAATACTTTTAAGGAAAGAATCGAGGATATTCATTGTTTAGCCTCCGACACTCTAAACAGTGAAAATTCGGAAAATCGGCTTGTCGCCTGTCAACCGCTGTGTGGTTGACTACTTGTGTTTTCAACTTCCGGTGGCGGTGCCGGATTAACCGTACTGCAACTTGGTCACTTTTTGTTGTGGTTTTTCGCCTTGTGCATATTTCTGGATTTTTGCCTTCTTCTGGCATTTTTCCTTCTTGACGCTAAGAGTTACCAAAATGTCGTCAACTCCGAAGAAGCTCACTCCGACTGCGCGCAAAACGGTCACACCTGTGGCTCGCTCTCGCAGAGAAGTGTCAAGCTTGTCGTTTGGTTATTCGCCTGACAGCGATGAAGCTCGTTCCTCCAGCAGAGTCACTCGATCACAAGTTTCTCGGCGCACGTCGTCGCAGCCAGCGTTTTCTGCCCAGTCGGCTGAGCCATCGGGAAGTCGGACGGCAGCAAAGAGTCCTAAACCTTCAACTAGTAGGACTGAGGCCATAGTTGGTGCGCTAAAGTACCGATATCGCGAAGCAAAGCGACGCACTATTGCTCGGCGTAATGCAGCTGTGGTTCGCCGTCATGATCGCCGCGGATCATTCCCTGCTGATCCTGACGTTGAGATCCGCTCGCCAGCTCCAAAGAAATTGCAGACGAAAGCGGAGAAACAGTTGGGTACCCCGGATCTTACGGACGAGGAACCACCGTCGTCTGAAACCCCGTCTGTGCGGGCAAAGCGAGGTATTTTCGCAAAAATTGGGTAGTGGTAGTCTGTTTTCGTGGAATAACAACGAGAACCGCATTTTACTCGGTTCTTCCTGTGTTGTTTTTACCCGCACTTGCAGTCATGACCATTTACGAATCTGTATGCTCAGTTATGATATTTAGCTGATGTTAAGCCATCGTCACTGTGTTGCATACGCGTAATGTGTAGAGCTAATTGCTGGCTTTCATTATTGCTAGATGAGGAGCATTTAAATCGTGGCGGGATTTTATATGTGCCGTACGATCCAAAGGCACCGCGGCCGGTTTACAAAACCAAGCAGACGGCTCGCAAGCGAGCTCATTCCGGAGTATTTCCCAGAATGGCTATGCCGAACAAGAATGGTGAGGATGTGGTCATTTCGCAGGCCTATTTCTCTGGTCTTAATCGCTTCCATCCCCGCTATTCGGAATTGTACCTATCTCACTTTTTATATCCGAATGGAACTTTAATTCATCGTTTTGATCTTTGTTCCGTCACTTCTCGATTACCTACGCCAATTGCACTTGAACTTCGCCGGCAATATTTGTATTTAAATCCTGTTTTTATTGGTTTGTTTAAAGAAATCACCAAGCATCAGCAGGCAGATGCGGTTGCCCGTCAAGCGTTTGTTGTATCTGCTGCTGCGGAGAATGCTGAACCTGAGGCATCCACTTCGGCCGGTCCCTATTATTTTCGTACTCGTGGAGAAAAGCGCAAATACAAGGAGGTTTCGCCGTCCTCGTCTTCACCGGAAAGCGAAGTCTCGGTTTCGGATAATGATGGCAGTGACGATCCTGCTGCGGACGTCTCTGCTGATGAAAACGCTGATGACGAGGCGGAGGACGACATGGAAATTGACGACAATAATGGATCTGACTTGGAGAAAATGGAAGTAGATCCACTGCCGTCGATGCAACCAGTTGCTCCCGCGGTTCCAGCTACTGTCCATGAGGATTCGCCTGAATTTCCTGAATCGGTGGCTCGCGGTCAACAGCAGCCACATTCCGATGAGTTGTAGTCATGCTACATTTCGTGGTGCTATTGGTATTTCGGGTATTTCTGTTGCTATTTGTGCACAAACTAAGCTTTTAGTTTTTGAGGAGTTAGGCGCTGCTCACTTTTTACCTCTATTTTCATTCCTCGATGCGGTATTTCGAGTCAATGAACTGGTCGTTGTGTTTGCGGTAATCGTTAGTGCTGAATCTTCCTTTGTGCCTAGACAGATCTGATCTCCTGATTAAGTTGAATTAAAGGATATAGCGCGAAGCGCTGATTGGTCGTCTCTTCTACCTGTGGAATCTGCCGCATTTTGAACTTTCACTCTGGCAGACCGGTATAAAATCACTTGCGTGTAGCGTGCAGAAATCGGCATTGTGGATTTTTCGTTTCAGCGCAGTAGCGTGTTAGATTTTCTGCTTTCTTCAGGTGTGATTTTTGACGCTTCTCTCTTTTTCATTTTTGCGTTAAAAGGTCACTAGTTTTCTTGAGTCTGGGCATGCCGCCTATTGATCCTAACCGTGCCTTTGATAAGTTGGTAGACGCCATTTTTCATTCGTCTTCTAACCAGCACCAACAGCAGTATAATGCCGGTTATAATCACCGAGGAAGGGGTGGAGGCCGTGGCACTTTCCGTGGCAACTTTCGTCCGTACGGCAGAGGAAATCATCGGAATTTTGGAGACAATAATCTCCGTCGCGGAAACGATCACTGGCGTCGTAATGGCCGACATCTGGGCGCACCGGAGATTATTGAAATACCTGATGGAGCTCCTAACGCAGCTGCACCAGTGGAAGCTGCCGCCGCAGACATGGAGGTTGATCTCCCGGGAAACCAAGCGCCGAATGCACCGAATCCGGTCCAAGGCGGCGGAGCTGTGGTTCCAGGTCAGCCCCATGCTGTCGACCCTGCTGTCAATTTACCTGGCCCGCCAGCCTTGAACGCTGTTATTCCTCCGGCTGTAATTCCGCCTCTGCAGCAGAACGCTGAATTTCCGGGTTTGCCGCCGAATGTTGTACCGTTGCCTGAGGTGCCGATTATCCGTGATGCCCGTGACCGTTCTCCAGCTGATCGTCCACGTGCGCCGTCTGCGCCTTCCGGCCCTGTTGGTTCTGCTGAGCACAATTTTGTGCCTGGATATTTGGCTCAGCAGCAGCAGCGTGAATTGGATGCAGATCGCCGACGCCAGATGGCTGCGGATGTTTCTCGCCGTTTGGATGCCGCTGCGTCTGGTTCTGGTATCACCGGATTGTTCTCATTGGCTCCTAGCGCTGGCAAGTAACCTTAAATAACCTTTCGATGATCTGTTGTTGTTTCCTTTTGATCTCACCGCTATTACTGGTTATTGTGCCGTTTTATATATCACTCTAATGCATTGGAGCTCTATTACTCTCCCTTGTTGTTGCTCTTTTTATTGGTTTCTACTTTCGTGTTGGTTGACCCATATTATGCACTTATGATCTTTATATTACTATGCTTAGCTTGTTTGTTATTGTTGATTGACCTTGTTGCTGTGGTCACTGGTCTTCGAGAATTCGTAAGAATACCAGCCGGTTGATTTCACGGTTCCGTTTGTTTAAACCATAGTACAACAACATCGAGTCGAGTGTAATTTTATTTTTCAGTTTTAATCATACCATTAGTAAAGCTTTATGCCGTGTACTGTATATACAACCACACCATCTAAAAACGGCACATGCAGTACAAGTAATTCATAGTTCGCCTTCCTGGATCCTTGGACCTCCGCCCTGCCAAACCCGTGGACTTCCGGATGCCATTTCGCCAAGGATTCCACACACTAACTCATTCGGAATCGCGGCGTACAGTCACATCGGGCATCGGATGGACACGTGGATTGTGCGGTGGATCGGGATCAGGACGGATGGAAGTGCACAATCGCACTGGGATGTTGCGGGATGGATTGCTTATATTGGCACGGCCAAGCATCGTTCGTGGGGGTGACGTGTGGGAGTAGGATCACACGCCGGGATGTACGTACGGATGCTGACTGTCCGCCTTCCACCTGCAAACATACGAATAATCTAGTCAATCAATGCTGTGATTTGCTGTTCTCTTTTACTAGTGGTGTAAGTGATGTCATAGCGCAGAGTCTATATAAGTTCCAGTCACTTCTAATATCGACATCAGTAGTCTGAGATTTACTTCTGAGACTGCTTTCTAATTACGATTTCCTAGTGTTGTGGACTACGAAGTGTATTAATAAAGAGGCAGCAATACTTGTTCTTACGGAAGTGCATAATCGTTCCCGGATTATCGCTTAGTATACAGGTTTGCTCGTGACACAATCGTCCTAGCTCTTGTTGATCCTCGTAGAAACTGCGACCGGAGATCGTAGTTGGACTCTTCGCTAGGGATTCCCGAGTTCTCGTGTTCCCGAGTCGTCCGTCGTTCCACCGTAGTTTATCTGTTACAGTTTGAGAGTACGAGTGCCTACCGACTGAGCATTACAGGCGTGGAAGAGTAAAGATTGTTCATGGAACCCTAATCGGTGTGAACGCTTATACACGACAAACGTTTTTAATGTAATTTTGAACGAAATTTTCAGCTGCTCGGACGAGCTGTTGTTATTTTGGAACGCTGCTGTATTCGTCCGTATATGGGATACTTTATTGTTGTTTTGTGCCCGTAGGAGCACGTCTGGGATTGGAGTGACCATGGATTTCAACGAGCCAAAGCACTAGCCGATTGGAACCCTTCCGCTGCGGCAAAGAAATATGTCTAGCTGGTGAGCTGTAAGGAAATACTGTTAATCGCAAAATGAACGATTTTTATAGCGATTTTTGCCTTTTGTCATGCCTTCCATGTGACATTGTGACATTAGGCTGCTGATTGTGACTCTGTCAGATCCAGACGAGTCGGTTTTCTGATTTTTACTAGTTATGGTTTGTTCTAATTCTGAATGACGTGTCCAGTGATCTGTCTGGAATCTCTGGATGCACATATTCGGTATGTTTCGAAGTGAAGTGATAGTGTTCCCGGTGTCTCATCAGGCGTCCTCTGTTTCTTTTTTATTGTTTGTCTTGCATCGGTTTTAGTCTTAAAAGTTACAATGATTACTCTTTACTTACTTGGGTTTTGTAATGGAATCTTATTAAAACTGAAAACAATCTGGGAATAATATGCAGTCGTACAATTGAAATCCCAAAATTGTGCAGAGGCAGCTAGTTCAGTAAGACGGGTAATTTTTCTTTAGGAGTACAATGTTATGTGTATAATTGCACAGTGTACCTTATTCTAGTCCAGGCATAAAAATTAATAAGAATAACTTGCATAATGCATAGATACGGCAGATCTGCTTAAACGTGCTCGCAAGTTATTCAAATTATTTAAGTCAAGTTAACAAGTATCACATTCATTACACGCCTCTTGGCGCATAACTCGAATTTGCAACGTCGTATTTTTGCCTTCAACAAACATGAACAAGTTAAAGCTTTTCAAAGCTGAGACAATACCACATTAAAAATTTTTTATAAAAACATACAAATGCAACGCATAAATCTGTAAGCTGCCGGATCCAAATCAGATTGCAAACAGTCATAGAACAGCTGCTGATATCATAACATTACTGTAGGGTCACATACCAGCGTCAACAATCTGCACAAGAAAAGTTTTTGTACTTTCAAATTTGGGCGAGAAAATTTTATAAACTCTGTCAATAAAAAAACGTTTCCAGATCATGAGAAGGACGAAGTGGGATTTCACACGGAGACTTATATAGGGAGCAGATTCGAGGTGAGCTGATTGTGAGACTGGACAGAGCTAACTGCTCCGGATTCGGATCAATCGATATCTTCTGAGTCGGCAACCGTTTTGCACGGTACAGCATATGGAACCATCCTAAAATGATCCAAAATAAATTTCTTTAAATTTTTTGTAGCTTATCTGGTTAAGCTTATCTGGTTAAGCTTATCTGGTTAAGCATTTCATCAGATTTTGCACACATATTACAAAAGTAACGAATTACAAGATTACGTACCCGGCAATCACATAAGGTGCACACATCTAAAATATCTGTCCATTCCCTAAAGAAGGATCCCATTCCGATGCGCTTTGCTTCGCAGGAAAATCGGACCGGTTCCCGCGTTAAATCAGCCAGACATCGATCCGGGAATCTCGTACTTTGGCAGACTGGACAGCATGCACCGTCCTTAATGGTAACTGTTTCTTCTGGTGCGCATTTCAGAAGTGGGCATTTAACATCAGTGCATCGGACTGCTCCCAGCTATAAAATCGGTTCCCGTATAGTTATAATTGTCTGACTTTTGAGAAAAGGAATTCTCGTTATAGCATGATACAGATAATGTACACTGTCCGGCATCGTGTACATGTTTTCATTACTCACCTTGCATTCGCAAGATCGGCAGTTTTCAAACCAGTAGGTGCCACTTGGATAGGAAGCATTTGTTACCGCATCGTAGCACAATGGGAGGTTTCTATTCACGTTGCAACCCGGACAGCATCCGTCCAGAACGTCGCGTTCACCGTGCTTGCAATCGCAGTCAACCGGTCGGCACTGCAACACAGCGTCCTACTCAAACGAACAGAACAACATCGTTAAGACATTAATTGCTTCTGTAAAAGTCCATTAATTTAATTCGCAAGGGAATACAGATATCTAACGTGCTAAATACGTTCACCTAACAAAACAAGCTATCAGAATTTTCGTATTTATCCGTTCCTTATTGCCAGGATCTTGTAATTATATAGACTCATGGCTGATTTGTAGACGCGTAATTTATCTACAGACCTAATTTTTAAGTAGTGTACCAGAGCTTGCAGTTATTATTATTTGGGTGGCTATTGCCATTAAAACGTTTTCCGTATACAACACAGGTTGTCTACGATGATTTATTTACGCTTTCGTTTTTACGCATTGGAAGAAATTTATGTTTATGTACATGTTTACTACGAAACTAACCTGGCAAGTACAGTTTTGGCATCGGTCACCATAAACATTGGGCGCATGCGGCGATCGGTTTTCTGTACAAGCTAGAGCACCCGGAAAAGTGCATTACACTTCCGTTCAGCAAGGTCATGGGAACAGCGTGTGCTTACTCATATCGCATGTCTCGTTAACAGGGCACAAACACTTCCACGATCCTTTAACGTTCTGACACCGGGTTAATGGAGGACAAAAGTGGGCACCGGAATAGCATTCATCAATATCTAATGGAAGTTTTACGTATTAAGTCACCATGGCTAATTATCTCTACCAGTTGCATAATGCTCGCGAAAGAGTGACCACACCTTGACACACTGGCTCTCTCAAATAAGGATTCTCGGCCTTATAGCCATCCATACACTCGCAGAAATAACTGCCAGGTGTATTGACGCATACGGAATTAGCTTTGCAGCTGGAGATATTAAACGCGCACTCATCCACGTCTGATGGAAAGAAGAAATGTTACGAAAGGATAATATTTCAAAACAATTCAAAAACGCAAAAACATTGGCGTTGGGCAGGGAAATGTACATGCGCATTATTGCAGATTACACAAAAACCATGCTGAGGTAAGGGCCCGTAAGCTCTATAGTTCGCGTAACAGTATGGTTCACGTAAGGACAATCACAATAAGACAATCACAATAAATTATTCCGACTCAGTTTAGGCGACGTTACTAGAAATTACACCATGCACAGCAAAGCACGGATGCAAGGTTTTGGCAGATCCCTCGTGAAAAAAGAAAAAACGGAACAGGTATACAACCGTTTTAAGTTAGCCGAGAATAAAACGAAAGGACTGAGAAGAACAAACAAAAACCAACAAAATGCAGAAGCCCAAGCCGAACTGAAAAATCTTACCTACTTGACACTCAGGACCGAAGAATCCCCCTTGACAAGCGCAGGTATTGGGAGCAAAACAGTGGCCGCCGTTCTGACACACCGGCTCACAAATCGCTGCAAAAGGAAAATATGCGTAACCTGATATTGCGGGTATCAGTTGAAATTTGCAAATACGCAGAGAAATACTCTTGTCCTTACGCGTGCAAGTGAATCCATCGCCTTCATAACCCGGCAAACATTGACAACTATAGCTCCCTTCGCTATTCATACATTTGGCATGACCAGCACATAGGTTCGATCCGTTCTGGCATTCATTGATGTCTGGGCAAACATGGCAATTAGCATTTAAATTTTGGTAAACAAAACCTAAACATAATAGCTTAGCCAAGCGTAACCCATACATACCTTGGCAAGACCAAGGATTGGTATGGTTATATCCCGGTAAACACTCACAATGGTGACCTCCAAAAGTGTTACTGCAGACGGTGTTAGCGCGGCAGTGATTGACAGTAGAATTCGGTCCACTGTTTTCCATTGTGCATTCATCAATATCTATAAAAATGTCAAGAATAAGGAAAAATCACAATCAACTAATCGGAACACTGATTATGGACAACGGTCAGTGGGCATTGTTGGTGGAATACTTTACCGTTGTCTGGCGTCGATCGACAACTATTACGCGCATATTATTCTTCCGACGGTTGATCGATATAGTTAATAAAGCGCTCGCAAGTTTAAAATTCATTTATATTTGCTGGCAGGTGGTAACAGGAATTCGAACTGCAAAGCGCCATTCCATTCATAAAAGGACTAACGTAAAACCATGGCAGTCCGAACAGAACATTTGACAATTAGCAAAGAATTTCCTGCGCAGACCAGTTGCACATTAGAGCGAAGATTTTGCATTTGTCAAACAAGAGTTTTAATCCTATTAACTACCCGGTGCCGTCAGTCTGTTCAGGAATAATGCGCCTTTGCACCAAGTTAACGGTTATTGATTACCTTGACGCCCATATGTTTCCTTCATCAGTTATGTTCAAGTAGCTGTGATTGATTGTATTCCGAACGCGTGCGCATAGAAGTACTTATTTAATTCAACACAGCCAAATCTTTTGAATTTTCATTCACCAATTAAGCCTCCGCAATAACATTCAAATTTAAGTTTCTAACCAAACTCGTACGTTTGTACAGATGTTTTTTTAAATAATTTCAGTAATAGGGTATTTTTCATAACAATTTCCTCCACTGCACTAACCTTCGCACGAGCTCCCGTTTCCGGCGAATCCCGGTTTACATCGGCATTCCGGTCCGATCGGTGTTAAGACACAGGTAGCGTTTTCGTGGCACCGAGCAATCTTTCCGCAGCTTTTCGTCAACCGACATCTTTTACAACACTTTCCCGGTTCCTGCATCTGCTGATCCTCCGGACATGGAAGGATGGGACAAATTTCGCTGTTCGATGCACAGTTATCAATGCGACCATTGACACAGTGGCAGAGCAGACAAGCGCCGCGCTCCTTGGATAACGATATGGGATCACCGTGCGCAAAAACTTCACCCATAAGATTACAGGAGGCTGAAACAACAACATCCTGTTGTAAATGTGCACGCGACAGAGTTCACTGAGCGAATCGAATGGTTACCACTTATCACCGAATTTTCCAGTTTTTATCGTTTCACAAAACAGCAAAAGTATTTTTGATAAATATTTGGTTCAACTATGGAAAACAACACAAAATAATAACTGGGCTAGTTCTTGCGAATTATCTCTCATACTGTATCACTGCGCTAGAGTCTATCGCGCTTACTGACCTTGACAGACCGGGCAGCACGACTCGAACGGTTTCCCCTCTTCCCCGGGAGGACACACATCCGGGCACGGGATTTCCGGACAGCTGTCGCGCACTCCATTCCGACATGTGCAATTCCGACATTTCTCTTCCCAGCTTTCGTTATCTCTTTTGATAAGTCCAGTGGATGTTTGGCATGAGCCAAGCAGTTGGGCCTCCAAGTACAGCACCCGGTTGGCGTAGTTGGCCATCTGCCGGGTACAGAATTATGACATCGACGTCGTTCAACTTTCAACTTTTGCGGTTATTTACTCACGACAAACACGATAACCCCAACTCACTTTTGTTTCCAGTAATCTTACGGTGTTCTCTAATCTGTCAACTCGTCTCTGTAACTTATTCTCCTCAGTGGCTCCTACAAGCAGAAAGGTCGCTTTTACCTTAACACAACACACGTCGCCGATTAAATACGCTAATCAAAGTGTGAATCACGTAGAAGTGATTGAGATCGGCCTTTTTACCTGCGGCAGTCGGGGCTGACTGGACTTTATTAGCGGATACTTCTCTGGGACACTGGGATGAGTAGGCATTGGGGCCCGTCCGCACTTTGGCCTCAAGTAATGCACCCTGCAAAGTCAACACACATATTAAGAATTGCTTACAAGGCAAATGTTTTCTCAATAGGAGTTAAGCTGATGCTCAACAATATAATAAACGCGCCACATACGGCAAGCGTCAAAATTATCTGATAAAATAATGGTACTGTATATTTACCGACAGATTAAAAGGTCATGGATAAGAATACTACTTGGACAGCCTACGGTGATACGAGCTATATCCACCTGCCGTTTAATGAGTTTGGCATGCGGATCGGTTAGCAGACTACAGCCGAGATAATTATTATAAACCACCAGTTTTGCCTAACGTGCAGTGATAGGAACTGAAGAGCAGACGTACAGTTTTTATTTGCAGGACTATTTTATGAGGATAGCGCTATCTGCGCTATCTGCATAGAAATTACTTTTTTTGGTGAGCAGGTGAAAAGAAGCTCCGGCAAGTTGCAGACCATTTGAATCTGCTGTGCGCTGTCTAACATTCCGAAAGAACATGATCTGCCGGTTTTCTACGTCACCAAGCTGACAAGCTGTTCGAATTGCGCAAACATGCTTAAACGGTTATGTCGATATGATGTTAGCAGATGGCTACTATCCGGTCCATTCCGTCAGCTACTGCATTAATTGCCTTTCTTTAATGCAAATGCTGTTTGATCCCCTATTATTATTACTCCTTGGCACAAAACGATGGAATGAACACATGGCATGTACGGTTGTTCACTTCCTCCACTGCAAATATTGCTCGCAGCTCCATAGCGCAATATTGCGTCCTGGATAGTTTGCTTTTCTACGCAGATGAGCATATTCTGTCATTAACGCTGGCAACTGTTGATCTCAGTTCATTTGCCACCGAATTAAGTAACAATAATAGAACGAAACTTCTGCTTTGTGGCTCGGTGTACTTTAGCTGCTGTGAACTCCAAGCGCTGGCTAGTGGCAACTCTGCCATTTTCCAAAAAGTTAACCGTCGATTTACCGAAGTATCAAAAGTGTCAAACTTATTTCTTGGTGTATATAATCGACTTTGTGTACAATAATACGCCCTTTCCAATAGGGTAAAAATAAAAAACCATCCGTCGGAAAGGAATCTCATGTTAATGCTATAATAATATGAGGTTTATATCATGATCAGTACCAAGTCTCTGCGATTGCTTGAGCTAATTTCTGAACAATCTACCCATTTTAACTGCGCTTTCGACATACATTAAAACAAGAGCACAGACATACATTAAAATAAGAGCACAAAGTATCCACAGAGTACAGAAGGCGTATGAAAATTCGAGCAAGTGATTCTCTCATTTTTCTGCATCTTTTCCCAACCGTAAATATTATCCCTACGGCTTATAATTTGTAGCAGCTATATATCACGACTTCCCGCTGCGAAATATGTCATCAAATGCACCACCAGTGAATGATGACCCTCGTCAGAATTACAATCTGACTGAGTTATACAGGTGGTCCTCTGTTACAGAAATATACATAACATATATTCAAAAAGTTCTGCTGCCAGTTTCGCACGATTATATCAAATTGTTTTCAGAAACTTTCCAAATATTAAGCACATAATAAAGTTATAAAATCAGCCCATTGATTTATCGGTTTTACAGTACCTACAAGTTTATAAATAAAAGGCAAATTGTAAATTACTTTATCAGAATTTGTTTGATATGCAGGACTTTTCAAGTTCATAAAGAGTTATCGATAATAGGTACGGGATCAAATTAAAGGTGAACGCAGCAAACAGGTAGTCAAGTCGCGAAGGTCAAAGCAACAGATTGCCGTCAACTACGGTTATGACTGGGGTATTATCCGATCTTCTCGAGCGTATGCAGATAACGGTTGGCGCAGCAGCCGACAGGTTAGGAAGATTGATACGGTAGCGTATGGGTTGGTATGAATGGAAAAATGAAAATGATGGAAAGCGAAGTTCAAATCGGTCAAGAAAGGCCAAGACACCTGGATGTCTGTTTGTGAGGCTAAAACGATTTGCTTAACATCTGGATCGGCTGACCCATGCGCAGATCATCCTGCTCATCATCCGATTCAGGCTTACGGCTGTCTACTGGAGCGAAACACACAATGTAGCAGCAGGCAAAGTAAGCAAGCTGCAATTACACCTTCACGCCTTCTTTGCTTCCTGTCATTTGACTCATCTCTCTTTATCTGCGGCGCACTTCTGCCTTCATGAAATATTATTATGTCTTCTATCGATCACATTAACGCTAATAATAGTTGAACTTTACAGGCACGCTCCTTCCCCCACCATAGACGGAACCCTCCTGCTCTTAGTTAACCTCAATTTGGACACTGGGCGGCTTCACCTAGCAATTTGCAGGTGACCGCGGCCGGTCGGCTTATGCTCGTATGCGCAATCCGGAACCGCTCGCGTGTTACATGTGTGTTTCATGCATAAGGCTTGTGAACGGCTTCAAGTGCAAGCGAAAATCTTAAAACAACACTGGCATATATGCAAGAAAAAAATCTCCCCAATAACATATTTAGGAACTGATCAAAAGTGCATAGTTGAAACTTGAAAGTATAGAAGTAGTCTTCTTAATGTTGACTTCGGTCAACGTTAAATTTCTCTATCCATTACCAAAAAGGACCTACATGGTAGTGCGATACTGACCGTGAATTACGACAAGTTTCTAAACCACTGCTTTTCTCTTGTACCTGTTGCATTCATACATTAAAGTCCGCTGCGTTAATGAAAATGTTACTAAGTACAACAAAATCAAGAATACATTTTCTTTTATTGTTGCTTTATTCCACAGTTTTTGTTGTGTTCAGACGACCGAACTGGAAGTGCAGTATATGGACCAAGCGCGATGCAATTAAGGGGGCCGTTTGCAGTTGCAAGTGGCGAGAGAAATATGATACAACCGCGAGCCATATTTGACATGCAATTGTCAGTGTTTCTGTGGACAGATTATTAAATGATAAATATCTTGACTGGCTTTCGTCACGTAAACAGCGGCCATAAACTGGTTGATGTTTATACGCTTTGTATGTGTGCCAGTGATAAGACGGCGAAGTGTGGGGAACCTCCTTTAATAAAGGGGCTAAAACATGTCAATTTGCCACCCAAGCAGTCCGGGCGAGCGCTACTGATGATTCGCAAGAAAATGTGAATGACTCGAGGTAGCACAATTGTTCCTTATCTTATGAATGAACACACAGCGCTTTCTCTTAATCTTTATGGCGCTTCATTGAGTGCGTAAAAATTCGGTGTCTGGAGGTTTATGAATTAGCAATAGTTGCAATCCGTAAGTGGTAATTGTTGCGTCTGCGTTGCTTTGACAGCGAGTAACGGTGGGTGATGAAAGAACATTTGGTCAAACCGAAATGAATCACAGGACAAAAGCATCTGCCGACCGATCGGCAATTGAAAGAAAAACTGATCTAATGTCCTGTTAGTTTTCTTTGTTTTCGTGCAGATCGCATAGACGTATATCAAAATGCATACAAAAGCGGGGTCTGCAGGTTTGTATATATATGGTGTGCATATGCACCGTGCGTCTAACTACGAGGAATCAATGCCATCACGGCAACATCATGTGCAATACCACAGCCTGATCTGACCATGAAAAGTGCGCAATTTACCTGGGAATTTCGAAAACTGTCAGCATTGATTCATAATAAATTCATGATCTTCTCGGTGAATATTTAAAAGCTTGGTCAGTATTAATCACGCACTTTCGGTCTTAATCAACCTCACTGCTCCTCCAAAACTTGACTGTTGCTGTATTCGCTCTAAACATTTTACAAGGCACATTAATTTAAACATAACTTATGATTACAAAGTTGTGAGTTGCTTAATTAATTTATTTCTAGCGCACTGCTGTTAGATCAGTCATCTTCACATTTAACTAAATATGCTTAAACCTTGACCAGTTTGGCTCTTCTTCGGTTCAGTTGTTCATTGTTTCGGATGAGGTTTTCGACATAAATATTTGTGGTATTAATATTCAAATACGCTAATTATATGTCGGTTATGCATGACTAACCTTGAATTGTTCTTTGCCAAGCACGGATTCCAGATTGCTTTCCCCGATTCTTAGCGATACATTTCGATACCGGATCATGTCAAATACACCGGAGGCCAAAGGGCACTCAAAAACCACTTTACAATTCAGACGGAGCACCGCCCGACTGGACTCCAAGGTCATGGCAATACTGTGCCATTGGTTATCGGCCAGACGATAAGGAATTACCGCCGCTGTGAAGTTTGTTCCATTGCGCATCAGCAATATCAGCTCGCTGAGTTTTCCTCGGCTGATCAGTTCTATCATTCTATAAATTGCATATGCACAAGTTTTATAAACGGTTAAGATTCTATGTTGGCTCAGTCACAATTATTTTTGTACCTAAAAGTATCGATGTCCATGGCAAGCAATGCGCCGGTGTTATTATAATTCTGGCGTAATTTCAGAAGCAACGTCATGTCGGTAGAATTTATAAGCAGCCGCTGCAGACGCTGGGCAAGTGAGGAATTCTGGGTGACGTCGGCTTGCCGGTGTCCATCTGCAACAAGAGTAGTCAAAGTAAAATAAACATAGCAATTAGCACTTGACAATTTCATTGTACCTTTTAATGCCACATTTAGAAAAGTACATATCGATAGAGAGCGCTTTAAAATAGTAAAACATGATCCGGTGAATACAGCAGCCAGTTCAGGCTCATAATTTCCCGAATCATGCTGTTTAATGGTCTTGGGAACAGGCAAATCGATATTAAGCATTGGCTTACCAACTAATAAAACTGCTCGCGAATTCCGGTCCATGGCCGCGCCACTCGTAACGGATGCTGGATAAGCTTGACGAGCAATCTGGGAATCATTATTAGGTATTACTAGTCGCGGTAATAAATCCAGCTCATTTGGATACTGCTGCCCGATCCTACGATCGATAACTGCAAGATAAACAGGAATAGTGTAATTTTTAACCGGTTGAACAGTTTGAGCTGTTTGATTATGCAGTTAAGCCTGTATTTATAGGAGATTCATTTATTAAGACTGGAATATTTTATTCTGTTCCGCTGCACGAAGCTGTAATGCTTCGAACATATTATTACTCTAACTGTAAGGGCACAGCAACGCCAAATGTTAATTATCGGCAAAGCCGCATTCGGACTTTTCTGACATTTATGAAATGGCATAATCATCATGATCGTCGATTCTATAAGAGCTAAACAGCGGCGTTATTCACAGTTCACGTTGTCTTCGCTTTGATAAGTGTAACCATATTGTTTCATGTTTTCGAGACGATAGTAAAAACAGCCCGGGCATTGTGCACAAAATTTTAAACATACGAGTAATTGACAGCCTAATTGTAAAATAAACGCAGTTCTCCAACCTCAAATACACAAACCGAGAATCAGCCAAGAGCGCTTAACAACTTAATACAGTAGTCAGCCCAGCCGGAGAAAGAAAACTGAAGTGTAATTAAAGTATGCGGATAATGGATCGCCAACAGCTTTAATAACTAGTAAACTGGTTGCTGATGACCTTTTCTCTTATAATAAACCTTTTCTCTTATAATAAATAAAGATACGGTCAAAGCTTAATACATTTACTTACAAATAACAAAAGTAATTAAAACAATGACCACCATTTACTTTATTTATGAAACTTACGGGTAAAAAACGGCTGCAGCAATGGCAAAACTTTACGATGGCCGTGCCAAATACTGCAGCCCCTTAATGGGAGGCTGGTCATCGCCAACCTCCCTCATCGCAGCAATGGAAATTATAATAATTTATTACGGATGATATGGGCGGTCGCGTCATCTGCCTTGGGAAATTGAATGACATTTAGCTATTCTTATGAAATGGCATGGAAATATTTTCCACATCCGGGCGTCATCAACTCCACACTGCGACGCATTTCGGAGTGTGCAGCCCCGATTGCAAAATTTGCACTCTTTGGTAGGGTAACATGATACACATGTATGAACTTTCCGACCTTTTATCAGATGTAATATTATGCTGCATCACAAAGGCCGGCGATCATCGGTTTATTCGATACATGCACCATATTTTAATGATACAGTATCGCCATGATTCAAAAATCCGCTCCTCCTCACTTCTTAAAGCGGAAATATGGGTTATCTTGTTTATCGCCATGTTACCGCCATTTTCAAAAATAAGGTTACTTATGGCTACGTCCTACCTAGGAGTCGTATAAGAGTCGTAAATGAAAGAAATCTTGAATTCGGTGCCCCACAGACATATGATAGCAACTTTTTCTAAAATGTACCCATTACATTAATTAGACAAATTTTTAAGTGGTAATTTTTAGAGTATCAAATTTAAAATGAACCTGAATGCTTCCACTGTTCTATAATACCATTCGAAAAAACTCTGGTACCCTTTACCAAGCACACAAATATATGCGAATCTTGTTGAAAACATGAATGTCGCAAGGTAAGATCCCGATTATGGCATATAATTCATTGCGAACAATGCTGGGGCAAAGGGCATAATGAATAAGTAGCTAATCAATAAATAGCACAAATTTAAATGGGACAAAAAAGGATTGCAGCAGCAGAATCTAACGCCATGATTATTTTTCTCTTGGCGAGCATCAGCTCATATGCGCACATTTGCTTACCTTGATAATTCCTTGCCTTGGTCATCTGGCCACCGGCTTTTGGTATCAGAATCAGCAAACAAAACGCCAAGCGGCTAACAAAGCTTATAAGAATCTGTTTTTCCATCCTCAGCGAAGTTTAATAAATAAGATTTCATAAAACATATTTTCTCCATAACAGCGCCCATCCAAATCAGCAGCAATCATAAGAAATGCATCACGTGTATGGTGTACTCCATTGACCATCGCAGCTCAACTGCTGTTGCAGAACGTCTTTTATCCTTGCACGTGCGGTCATATATATGCCAGTACCTGTACAGATTGTATATATACAGTAAAATATAACGGAACATCAAATAATAACAATCTGCTAAGGGAATTCGGAGCCGACAAGAATTATGAATTTCTCAATCGCGTCCTTTCGCGCGCTAACACGACATTATCGTACTGTGAGTCTATTCGCTGACCAACCGCATGGGATATGACTAACGTGTTTCAGAAGTACGGCCCACATCTACCGGTGGCTAACTTTTCGTTGGTCGACTGGACTAACGTTATCTGGGCGCAATATAGTTCTCTACAAGTGCTAGAACACGCGAATTATACTATAATACAACGCCACTCTAATGCGACTAAATCGAAAATGTCCAAAGTGCTACTTGGTTTCGACAACAGAAATATTACAAAGCATTACACTAACGTCTGTTCCACGGAATTTTTAAAGCTTCTTGTATTTTATTCCATTTGAAACTTTTTAACAAAGCCACAAACGTTATAAAAAGAAATGTTAAGATCGCTGTAGTTACCGGTTAACAAATAAGCTGGTTGTTTTCGGCACTTTGCCTGTTTTTTACTCGCGATCGAGGGAGGATACGGAATAGAAATTTTAGTTTTCTTTTTCAGTTTTAATGTAGCGGGGATATATTATGCGAATACACATGTGGACTGCAAATCCCATATGCATTATAATTAACGTGTGGTGTTATGCAACAACGGCAGCAGCAGTTAATTCTTGTGTGCTATCCTATCGATAAGTTTCTGCTAACTGCTGATTATATATATAACCATATACCATTTCCTCTTACACAATTACTTATTGTGCAAAAAAATTCTGACTGATAAAATTACCGAATATTCCTTGATTCCGCATCTGTCACTACCTTCTTTATATTGCAGTACTTTATATTACCCTACTTTCTCGTTGCAGTTCCGAAATGAAAACCACAGATAGTCAAAACATTACTAAGCTACAAAAGAATGTGTGTACAAACTATCGGCGAGCAAGTATTAAAGGTCAACAGTTTCATACACCGGTTTCTTACAATAAAGAGGTATGTCTTGTACTTACTCCAACCGCATTGTCAGAGTCTACCGGCGTTAATAATTACGGACAACTTTACGTTAAACATTAGGTGAAGGCTCCGCATACCACCTTTATACCACCTTTAGCTCCTAGTACCACCTTTCATACCACCTTAGGCTCCTTATACCACGTTCTGCACACCACGTTTGACTCCGCATACCACCATATGACCTTTTCCACAAAAGAAGCCCGGCAGAGACATCATATACCGGCAAAAGTATTCGACAATGGATTTTAAAATGTTTTGAGAAAAAAACTGCTGCTTCCACTAAAAGACGCACCGGAGGACAAGCCGAGAGAATTACCAATCCGGGGTTTGATTTCGTATCCGCTATAGATGCGGGATCTGTAGATATGGGTGTAGCTGCGCAAGCTACACCCATATCTACACCCAAAATGGATAGACACATGCAAAAGTTTTTAAGTATTAAATAAATGGTGGTATGCGGAGTCAAAAGTGGTGTGCAAAAGGTGGTACTAGGAGCCAAAGGTGGTATGAAAGGTGGTATTAGGAGCCAAAGGTGGTAAAAGGTGGTATGAGGAGCCTTCACCTAAACATTATTCAACCACAGATAAATAAAACTAAAAACAAAAATATCGCTATCTAGTGGTTGAGCGAACCTATGCGAGATAACGTTTTGACTTATAAGTACCAATACAATATTAGACAGCTTAGCGGTAGTTGCTGTAATTTTATTCCTGTCACTTTGCCGTAACACTACACTAAACCAAACTGACCTGGCTGTAGTTACATTTGATAAGGAAGGTTGCAGGTTTGTGATCACAGTCGAACTTTTTCAAATAAGCAAAGGCCTGTAATAATGTTTCAAAACTTAAATTTTAAATCGATTTTGAGACCGCTCAAAAACGAGTCGAAAAAAAGTACCTCGTGGCCACTTCGCGGAGATTGGCCGAGGCTCTGCTGTAACATGAATTAACTGAAGGTGAATATTCGCTCCTTAAAGTTACTACTTTCCGTCATGGCTATTTTTACGCAATAAAGCCAATGTTGGTACGTTTATGGACATAACTGCGGTAATTCAATTTTTCATTTATTCTGTTACAATATACGCTGTACCAATTTATTATAATATCAGTGCTTGGCCAAATAATAATTTCAAAATGAACTATACGTAAAATTTGTTAGAAGAAAAAGTTGTGCAGGCAGTAAAAAATGAAAAGGCTACTATTTGAGAGTAGTTCACATCAGTATCGTGGGGTGCAATGGATGCAAAGATGATCGTGCTGCTCGTATTTCCTTGTTACCATTAGTTCTTATGTACAAAGTACAGAGTATTACAGTAATTCTTGAAATCGACAGCGCTTAGATAGTCCTACTGCAACTACTCTAATAATTTTTAATAGAATCTGTGCGTGTCTTAGAAAGCGACACGGTACTGCGTAATATATTGCCGGCACATTATTAAATCGGCATCTTGAAAATTACATTCGAGAGTTCAGAATACAAAGGAAAGTCAGATGGGAAGCGTGGTATTTTCACGCTTCTCCGTGTAACGTACTTCAAGGTGCAATATATATTAATCAGATCGCATTGCAGTAGTCTACCTGGACCACTTAATAAAATTTGACAGCTTGAGAATAACTGAGTCGAAATATGCGTTACTGCTGCAACGATACAATAATATCCACAAGATGACAGTTTCGCTTAAGCGTTCTCTGTGTATTAACTTCATGAGAATGGCATTATTAATGTACCTTTTTAAATTTTGAGCCAGATTCTGAATCACTCTCGAAGTGACTATGAATAAAAATAGAAAACACGGTATTGTTGTAGCGATAGAGTTCGATTTAGTTTCCCTTTGAAAATCCTTACAATTTATGCATGTTGGTACCTACTTTACATCGCCAAATAGCCGGTAGGCCAAATGCATGGTGCACAACAATAATTCTATTTATTACGATTATCAGAGCGTTTCCGCCGACACTGGAACACGCGCCGTACTTAATTATGCAGCAGCTGCCGCTGCTGCCCTGGCGCTTTTTTATCGGCAGTTTGTTCCTAATCAATCTGCTCCAGTGATTATTGTGGATGCCGCATATACACGAGGCATCTGAAATTTATATATGAGTATTAAAACTGTAAACTCAAAATAGAGTATATGTATTGTACATCATTTTCAAAGCCTCATGAGTGAAAACAAATTTGAATAATCATCACGCTAATAGTAGATCGAGTTAATTACTGTAACATTTTTTTGTAAGTACCGCATTTGTCACCCGTTAGGTTGTACAAATACAAATTACAGAATATCTGGCTCGTAAAAGGATAAACTAACTTTGTACCAGACTTGGCCCATCTTTTGGGTGAGGTGAAAATTTTCTCCATTTTTTCCAGCCCATCTCATCTTTTAGGTGAAAATGGGGATGAGGTGGGAAAGAGCCGCAGATGAGGTGAGATGGGCTGGGATTGTTGAAAGATGGGATGGGACCAAGAAAACAAATAGAAATAAAAAATGTTGATATTTTCATCTGTTTTCCACGCTAGGAGCATGTAAAAATGCACCATTCGAGCTCCGAAAACAAAAAAATTTCGCGCTCCGCGCGGATTTTGTTAATGAGTGAGCATATTTTCTTAATAACCGAAATTTTTTTTCGCCCGGCAACTCTATCGTATGCGGTATACTTGCAAAATTAGCTGCGTTGAGCCTGTAAAAAATGGGGATGAAGATGGGATCGAAAAGGTGAGATGGGCTGAAAATTTGAGTAGCCGGAGGTGGGCTGGGCTGGAATTAAACTGCGAAGGTGGGGGTGGGATGAAAGTGGAAAAATCGAAAATGGGCCAAGTCTGCTTTGTACTTACCAAATTAAAGAAAACTTGAGAAGATCGGGAGACTAATGATTATTAATTAATAAACTGCAGTTTGGAAATATTGTGAAATTTACATTTATGTTGAAAGTAAAACCCAATTTTACGCTATCGTAAATTATAATGACGATTACATGTGCAACCCTGCTGGTGGCAAGTTGGCATATTTTGGCATTGACGCGACAGCAAAAGACGATTCCTTTTCATTAGTGGTAATGTACGAAACAGTGGTACTGCCAAAAGATTTTTGCCATAGAGAACGTTCTGCAATATTAATCGTAATAACATTAGATACAAGTATCGGTCGCGCTATAGCGCGACCAGTTGTGTTTGAGGTATGGAAGAATGAAAGAAATACAAAATATACTTCGTACAGCAATAAAAAAATTTTTCAGAAATATTTCAAATATAAAACCCAGTGAGGCCAGCTACGAAAATATTTTAAACATGTAGAAATGCGGAATTTTTTCAAGCTTTCCGGTTAAATTCGCCCATTTTCTGAAAACTGTGAAAGCACCCGTAAGTTCTTCTTTTTTCATGGTTTTTCATCGCGTTTTTAATGTAACTTTATATTACCGATCTAACGAACTGAAAACTTGAATTTTTTGGTACCACAGATAATGTTTTAACGGTGATAAAATGGATTGAGTGGGGTCATATATCTGCACACGATGCCCATAAAAAATCATTTTTTCAGCGCAGAATTAATGGAAACTTGCGGGGAACAGTTAACGGTCGCCCAAGGCGTCCTTGCAGGCTGCATCTTTAGATACTAATTGTAAGATTTTTTCAGCCATCAGTCAAGCTCTTCAGTATTTATTAAAATAAAATAAATTTATGTTTATTAGATTTCGAGGTTAGTGAATGCCCAAGCTACCACCAGTATCACAGAGCCGCCACCGGCCACGTGAGTGAATACTGTAAACGGGCCGCGGGCCGGCTTTTAGATACTTCAGTATTTAGAACTTACATATAAATTAGACAATTAAGGGATCTGGCCCAAATACCCACATACATAGTACCAAATTCGGGTACATACACGGGAACTTTCGCTGTCGCGCAATCCTAAACACTTTTTTGCATGGCTAGGTATGTACCTAATATTCATAACGGCTCTCATACTCATACTCATAATCCTACTCCTAATTCCGAATACATACTCATAAGCCATAACGGCCCTCATAATCATAATCATACTTTGGTCCTACCGGTCATCATATTAATTTATTCATAATTATAGTTCATATCTTAACCATTACTCATGCTGGTGTGTCAAAAATGTAATATTCAATTACAAACATGTGTTCATGTAAATCTACTCAACCTCCCGCTTTCGTCCACTCGAAAAAATTATTTCATCTGAATTAGTAGCGAAAAAATATTTATCAGAAAATGGCTTCATTACAAAATCACTTCAGTAAACTTGAACTGACTTGTGAGTACCGAAAGCTAAGTAATTTAATCTGCATATAAAAACTGAGCAAGAAAATCTACCGTTGTCCACTTTCGACCATTTTTTAAACTAGTCCTAATGATAAAAAAACCTGAAATGGGCTTACTATGTAGTTTCCACCAAACAAAAAGTGAACGGGCCGTCAACTTTTTATTTCCACAAAACTAAATTTCGAAAGCATCGTGTACACTGTACAGCAATGGAACACAGGAACAGTAATAACGCAGTTTAATCGTTGCTAGCCAGGACAAAAGCAGATATAAAAAAAAATATCTAAAAAATGAAAAAACTCAAGAACGGCGCACAATTTGTGCAACAGCTATTACTACTTAGTGTCAATAATACGGTTTTACGATTAATAAATAATATAATGCTTTTACTAATAACATTAAGCGCAGTAGCGCACTGGTATGAGTAGCGGTAAAAGTTTGAGTTATGATTATGAACAAAAATATGATAACCGGTAGGATCAAAGTGTGAATATGATTATGAAAGCCGTTTTGAGTATGAGAACCGTTATGAGAATTAGGGTTTGAGAGCGCGCGACAGCGGAAGTTGCCGTGGATATATACAAATTTTGTGCTATGTACCGTGCCAAATCCCTTAAGACCGCGAGATATTCAGGTACTCAGACATTTCTAGACATTTTTAAAATTTCGAAACTCTGGAGGCTCAAAAAATTAGAGGTAACGGCCCCGCTGCGCGGGGCCGAGTCGAAATATTTAGAAATATTTAGAAATTCTGGAAACGTAAAAGCTTTGGAGCCGACTTTGGAGAAATTAATAGTTACTTTGAGGTATTCGAACATGTTTTAAAAACATCTTAAAGGTTTCAAGAATTTAAAAAAAGTTATAATTTTGATGGAATTGACAATTCAAATAACATACACAGATCTGTAGTTTATGTATGTTGCTAAGCTGCGAAACTTGTATTTGCTCATTCGAGACATTTCCAGTACTTACTGGAAATTTCTATGAACTTTAAACGCTAAGTACAGAAAGTTTGAAAGGGTTCTGAAAACGTTCCGGAAACTAGAAATTTTTTCCAAGCTGCAGGTAGGAAGCTTTGGAAGATGCTTTATTTTATAAAATTAACAACTTAATGGAAAAATCAATGTTGATTTAGGAGATAATTTCCAAAACTAGCAACCGTTAAGTACTAACAACCCTTAAGTACTACAACTTCTAAAAATTTTTTTAGACCTTCTCCAAAACTTAAGATTTTTTTAAAGATAATGGTAGGAACGTTTGTGCGATGCTTTATTTTATAAAATTATCGATTAATTGAAAAAATCAATCTTGATTTAGGAGATAATTTCCAAAAAATAAGGACGTAAGGATATATGAATCTATTGACAAAGCTAACTGTACAGTACGTACGGTACGAGTAGGTGTTGTACCTAATTTTACAAACTGCCCCAAATAAAACGGTACAGCAAACTTCCTGCGAGAAACTAACTGAATTTTTTACGAAAACTTCTCGGCCTGCTCCCAATACTCTGATGATTTCGTGATACGAGAAGCAGTAATGGAACTGGAACACCATGATTGTGTCGTATTAAATCATGCTCTACTGGGTAGTATGCGAACTGCAAAAAGAATACGATATCGATAATGCACTAATGCGATATTAACTCACCGGTTGCAAAATATTCCTACAGGCAAAAGTGCAAACCATTCCACATAAACAAAGATTGGTTTCGCAAAAGCACATGGTGGCAAGCCCCGAAACCTATACGTTGAAACTTGAAAGTAGCCCGTACGTGCACCAAGACTGGTATTTTTTCAAGCACCGAGGCTTCGAAAATCAAATTAGAAAAACTGCAAAGTGTTATAGACATCAATGAAGTAAATATCCACAAAAACAATAGGGACTGCCTACGGAAAGTGGATACGGAAGGTTTAACTGGTGATTCCTCTAAACTGCCGACAGGTCACGGAGACAATATGCCGCTAGCAAGGTGCCACAGTTTACGTTCAACGTTAACAGCCACGTTATCACATCACAAATTATTACTTCAAGTTCAGTCATTGTTATTATGACTGCATGTACGAACGGTGGCAAAGGTCACAACGATCGCCTTTAGACTAAATTTCGGATGTAGAATAACCTGTTATCTTGGGAATTCCAAAAAAACTATCCGAAATCTCTGGGTTCGAACCCTTAGTGATGGACAAAAATGATAAAGTGGGGACAAAACCACTTGCACTGATGGTGCCATCATGGTGGGCACAAATTTAATCGAATCGCACGTACATAGTAGCACATACAATTGCGTCTAGACTTGATCGACAGTTGTCTGACCGAAAAAACTCGATACAGTTCAGAGATAACAGAAGTCTAATAATTTAAGTGACACATCACACAGTGCCGCAATCTTCCCTAACTTACCACGTTAGCATACAGGCTGCAACACAGAAATGTATTTACGGAACCTGAAAACATTATGACTACTTCTATTACGGATGAAAATTATGACCGAGATCGACATGTCCAATACAATCAGCCGTATACGTTGATATACAGATAACCTAAAAAATCCTTTTTGGGTAATAATCATAGTACGTAATCATAGTACCTATTGGTTCTTCGATATTTTTATGCGTTCTTGTTCACTATAATTAACCATTGTATTAATTTTTCACTTGCATTTATTGTTAACAAAACCTATAGTGTATTATGTATGGAAATGCAGCTCTAACCAAACAAAGGTAACTGTTTTTTCCTCTTAATTATAAGCCGACATATTTTTGAAAAAACAATTTTAGAAGCTATTCAGACGCGAATTTTCTACTCCACATTAGAATAATGCTCACACTGGCACTGTTACAGCCAGCACAAAAATTCTGTTTCAAGTTTTATATAGATATAAGTAGAAGTAAGTATCATTAATATCAGTTCTCCATATACTGAATTAATAATTTCGCTTACAAGTTAGTCTGGTACATTGCCTAACTGTTACGTCAAGGTGAACCGCATTGTGTGCCGTTATTAATTGGTTTCACAATCAGCGGGCATCCCAGTGAAATTCAAGCCCAGCGGTACATCTCATACGTCCGATCGTCGCCCAGACGGATGCACCACCTTCGCCTGAAACGCGGTAGACATGTTTGGCAGACGTTACCTGTTTGGACTCGGTCGCCCCATCGCACATATCAAGTCCACTTCCGGGACGCGGAATCCGCCGCCGCCCAGGCCGAAGACAAGAAATCGAGACTATGCGCATATCTTGAGGGAAGATACATTTCTGCTCCGCTAGAGTAGGTTTTGAAACTCTCGGCCCTTTGGGAAGGTCGGCTTCCATTTTAATTAAGGAAATCGGAAGGCGGCTAAAGCAGCACACTGGCCGTGAACCTCGCTTATATCTATATACTATATACACAATTTCTACACAGAATCCTACGCCAACGCGTGCCGATCAAATACAACGGTCAACGCAGTTTCCGTTCGCGGGACCATGGACGGAACGGACAATTTTAAAGAGTTGTTGTTGTTATAATCACTGATCAGTTTTGTTTTGTTACAGGATTTGCTCACTGTGCCTGGCTTGTGCTAATAAAGAGGAGTCAAGGTACTGTACCAACTGCAAGTTAGTAGAAGTTACCAAACGTACCATACGCACGTCAAGTTCACGTTGCTCTGGTCGAAAGTCACTCAAAATTACATATTAAGTACAAGATCTATACTACGCGCGGCGCCCCATAGTTTTGAGATCTCTATAACCATAAAACTTCTGGAAAAACGGACAACGCCATTAGATCCGGGATAGTTCAGAAGTGGCCGGCATGTGTTTTTTTTATGAAAATATCGAGCCGCATCAAGCCGGCATCAGGACCAGATTGATCCAACCCATCTTAAAGGTCACCTTGAAACTTAGAAATATTTGCCTAGATACAATACAAAACACCAATTGACATACTTATTACACTAATTAAACCGAAAAATAAATAAATTATTGTACTTATTCAAACACTCGCGTTATTCAAACATTGCTGCCGGTGTTGCCGAGCTCGAAACACGTTTAAAATCAACCGATATAAATGTAAAAATATGAAATATAAAATCAATACGAAAAATCACTGGACGAGTGAGTGACCGAAACACTATCACCGACCACTGAGCGGAATCTCTAGATGAGTGGGTGACCGAGCTACCACCACTGACCAGTACGAAAAATCTCTAGACAAGTGAGTGACCGAAACACCATAACTGCCCACTGAGCGGAATTCTAGGTGAGTGAGTCATCGAGCGGGCTTTGCTCTTGCTCACCTAACGGGCTCTGTGCACTGGACAGTAGTTGTAGCAGGGTCACTTCCTCACCTACGAGTAGCGATTTTTCTCCTTACCCAGCGATTTTTCTTACTGGACAGGTGGAGCTCGGTCAGTCACTCACCTAGTGATTGAGTGCTTCAAAAAATTGCTAGGTCAGTAAGTGACCGAGCTACCACCACTGTCCAGTGCCCAGAACCCGTTAGGTGAAAGAATGACCGAGATACCACTACTGTCCAGTGCACAAACTCCGTTAAGTGATCTAGTGACCGAGCTACTACTACTGTCCAGTGCATAGATCCCGTTATGTAGATGGCTGACCGAGCTACCAATACTGTCCAGTGCATAGATCCCGTTAGGTAGATTGGTGACCGAGCTACCAATACTGTCCAGTGCATAGATCCCGTTAGGTAGATGGGTGACCGAGCTACCAATACTGTCCAGTGCACAGAGCCCGTTAGGTGAATGCGTGACCGAACTACCACTACTGTCCAGTGCACGAACTCCGTTAAGTGATCTAGTGACCGAGCTACCACTATTGTCCAGGGTACAGAGCCCCTTACGTGAACGCGTGACCGAGCTACCACTGCTGTCCAGTGCACAAACTCCGTTAAGTGATATAGTGACCGAGCTATCTCTACTGTCCAGTGCATAGATCCCGTTAGGTAGATGGGTAACCGAGCTACCACTACTGTCCAGGCACAGAGCCCCTTAGGTGAACGCGTGACCGAGCTACCACTGCTGTCCAGTGCACGAATTTCGTTAAATGCTCTAGGGACCGAGCTACCACTACTGTCTAGCGCATAAACTCCGTTAAGTGATCTAGTGACCGAGTTACAACTACTGTCCAGTGCATAGATCCCGTTAGGTGAACGTATGACCAAACTGCAATATTACTGAGCAAAATAGAAGAGGGCCCGCTAAGTTCTTAGTGGGTGACCTACCTAGCACCATTGTCTAGTCTTAGCGTCCTTTTAGTTTGTAATGTGGTACTCTCATGGGTGATTAGATTCGGATGGTTTTTCGCTACGAAAATTTAACAAAAAATGATCTGTAAAGTAAAAGTAATTGCGTTCGACTGCACGAAACCTAAACATCCATTTTTTTATAAAATTTTTGTTATCGGGCTCTTCAGATTTATCCGTTCTAAGTTAACAATCCGTAAACGGGCGTAGGAGTTTAGAACCCAAGAAACGCGGAGGCGAAGCCGAGGCTGTTTCTTGTATGATATATCTCATGATATATATAAGCAACATATTTAATATTCCACTGTATATTCCACTGAAAGTAAGCACTAAACATGTACTTCTAGGCCTGCGTTCCTTGATTAAGAATATGACAAAAAAGTGAACCTCCAAGATACCTTGCGCGATTTCATATCCTTCAAGTTCTTCATTCGCCTGAAAGCGGGAAAATGGGAATTAAATGGGAAGACCCGGTTATAAAGTACGTACTGCTGTAAAGCGTTTTAGCGGTGACATCGCCCAGGCGCGCATGTTGCATGCGGACGTCAGGACACAGCACCCATGGCCAAGCTTAAGGGGTCAGTGCACGGCTCCAAGCGTTCCCGCGCGGAAGCATCCCTTGAGTACGAGTACGGAAATCCACGAGTACTAACCCACTGCAACCTTACGATTCTATAGCGCTGCGTCTGTGTGCACGGCATGTTCATCCGATCGGGTCTGCGGACGAGCGCGGCTATCAGGTGCAAGCTTAGCGCGGAACGGAAACCGATTTACGCCTATCTAAATGCGGATATAAAGCGCGCATTCGCCTCGGCAGGAACAGAAACGCAACGAGAACTTCCTGGAAATTCCCGTTAACAGATGGCAAGCGACCAGAGGGCGCGACACTAACGCCATGGGAAAGGGGAAAGTGAGGCACATCCCAAGTCAACCAGTTTGAGCACTATAGGGCCCTGTCGCGTGCGTCACCGTAGCTCTCACTAGGGCCGGAGCAGCACAAGCAGAGCCGAACAAGATCGGAGAGTAAGTGCTAGTACCGTAACATCTCGCTGGACTACCGACTACTTATGCAGCACGCTAGGCTTTGACGTTCTCGTGCTATGCGGACCGGAAGCAACTTGCCTGATAAGTGAACCAGGAAAACTATCCGCCAGGAAACAGAAAAATCCCGAGATATTACGTATTGTGTGACTCGAGCCATGCTTGCAATTTACGTCTGGCGACGCGATAACGTGGATCAGCAAAGAGATCCATTGAGGAAACGCACGATCCATTGTATACTGGGAATTTGCAGCGACACCGACGGCGAATTGCATGCCTGATTGTGGATTGCGGTACTCTGTGTATGTCCAAAATTTCTAACGATGAAAAATTTATCGTTGAACTGTGCTTCCCGGAAAAAAAGTTCAATAATTTCGAGCGAACCCGCCTAGCCGAAAACCACCCTTAGGGATGCAGTCACGTAGAAAACAATAAGTAACAAATCAGCAATGGCGGCTTACATGGCACACTTATTATAAGGATGCCGCATTTGAACATGCTTATGGCAAGCTGCAGGACTAAAAACTATTCCGTACCTCGCAACTGCACGCCTAGTCGCCTACTGAATATACACAGGCCAGTCACCGACGTTCAAAGCTGCGCGCTACGCATGTGCAGTAGCATAACTTTGAGCCGAGCCACTTGCTATAACCAGGTTCTGACCATGTTTAATTAAATCAGTTTATTTATTTATTTTTCCTGCACTGCACACGGTTTAAATTTTAACAAAAGTGAAGTCTGTTTACAATTTGCAGTTTTTGTTGGTAATCTGCATGTTAAAAATAATGGCGAATGCTTTTCACAAAAGTTTGAATTCTATCGCATGATGGCAGCCTTATGCACCGAATCACGTTATTTTACGGAAATTATGGATTTTGAGTGCTTTGAATTCGAGACTGTCGTGGAGACTGTGGATTCAACGGCCGATACTGTGAACTGTCCATATTCTGTATATAATGTGGATCCGGGGATCCAGGACATCATTCTGAAAGTAAATCAAGAACAACAATCCGTCGATACCGTTCCCGAAAATGGAAAAAAACTGCCGAATTATCCAGTCCCTCTTTTGGCAAAACGGAAAATAAGGAAGGTGATGCAGCGGCCAAAGAAGATAATAAAAGCTGAGCAGATGGAGAGCTGCAAACAACTTTCGATTGATGAAACTACTACTCATCCGAAGCCGTCCGTGGCTGAATCCGCCGAGAAATATTCTTCGTTGTTTATCCCTGAACCGGATGGCGATCCGGGTTCTGGAAATTTAGTAATCGATGTCGGAAACGTCGTGGACGAAGAGCACGCTGACGATGGGAAAATTTTCGTTAATAAACGGAGAAAAGGTGAGAATGAACGGACGATAGAGATTTTTAAAGCTAATTAAACGTGTGCTTTAAAGCGAAAACAGAGAGGTTTTAATTGCTGCATTGAATTAAATATTTCAGTATGAATACGATTTTGCGTGGGTTAAGTGAGTGCAAGCGGCGCTGGAAGATTTTTGTTGGAGTTTTTTGTTTGCATTTTGAACCATTTTCTGTTTTCATTATTGGATTTAGTTTTTCTTCCCTTTGTTAATTCATAATTAGTGGTCTTAAAGGAATTCTTTCCAGCATTGGCCCTTTTGATTGCTAAATGTTGTTTCCTGAGAGACTAAGTATGTGTGACCGTAGAATTTTATTTTGACTTTTTACTGTGAGTGTCAACAATTAACAAAAAATTTCAACTGTGAGTGAAAGTATGAAAAGTCCTACATTTTCCTCGATTTTCGAACTTTGGTACGTCCTAGTCTTTGTAATGTCTTTTGCTGCCTTACGTGAATTTTTGTAACTAGCAATCGTTTGTTCTCAGTTTTTGCGAAATTTTTGCATCACAATGGATGACATACCAGTTGCTCTCTTTTGCTGCGTTTTCCACAAATAAACTGATGTACGCGTACCTGCTTATATTGAAAACAGAATTCGAAGGTTTAAGTCAACCAGGACCAGCTCTTACCATAAGAAATTTTCTGGGGTGTATTTTCTTTGGTGCGTCGTGCAATATAAGTACTATACTTACTAGTATAAAACAAGGCTAACGTTGTATTATCTTTACAGCTGTGGAATTAATTGATTCTTCAGCATCGAAATCTCTTGAAATTAGCCCGGTGATTGTTGGTCAAGTTGAAATTACGACTCCGGATGCTCAAGTCAAAACGGCGACCAGTATTCAACCGGAATGCAGCAAAGCGGAGAAAAGATCGCCCAGCGTTAGCCCAAGTCTTAAAGTTCTGACATCGTCCGTTCTAGGGTAAGGTTTTGGAGCTGAACCTTGCCTGTTCCATTTTTGTAGGAGTAAAACCTTAAAAATATTAACCAGTAACTACATAAATATCAAGCTGTCGGTTTCAGTACTTTGACTTTATTCCAGAAAAGAATCGGTGAAATCTGACGGAAGTAGTTCAGAAGAAGGAAAGAGTTTTATTTGCACCCATAAAGGATGTGGGAAAACATTTCGGGACAATGCCAGCATGAGAAAGCACCAGCATACTCATGGCCCCCGAATACATGTGTGTGCTGAATGCGGAAAAGCTTTTGTTGAGAGTTCCAAGTTAAAACGACATCAGTTGGTACATACCGGTGAAAAGCCTTTCCAGGTAAGAATTAAGGCATCCAGGAGGCTTTTTTTGAATGTCGCCACATGGATTGTGTTTGCACAGGATACACTGTTAATAATGATATTATAATTTGATTTCGCCTATAGTGCACCTTCGAAGGATGTGGAAAAAGGTTTTCGCTGGATTTTAATTTGAGAACCCACGTCCGCATCCACACTGGGGACCGCCCTTTCGCATGTCCATTTGAAGGATGCACGAAAAAATTTGCACAATCGACCAATCTTAAATCTCATATCCTGACGCATGCCAAGCCAACGTGAGTTTTCGTTTCTAATAGTTTGAAAAGTTTTTTGCATTCTTTTAACTGAACGTAGGGTGCGGCGGAGCACTACCCTGGTACCATTGTGCGATCCGCCAGCGAAGTCACCGTCGGTTATGAGTGCTGAATCTTCGAGCAGTGTTACGACAACAGAGACGATAATTGTGAAGACACCGAAACTTCCTCGGAAAAAACGCCAAAGGAGAATTAACAAGGCATCCCTAAGCGCTGCACTGACTTCGGCCGTATCATCATCTATAACGCTGCCCCTCACCTCGACCCTCGGCGTCCCGGCCATATCTCCCAAAATCCAAATTCGCAAACTGCAGACCACTCCCTCCTGTATTACCCTGGTCCCAGGGCAAATAATCTCGTTTCCGTCTGGAACTTCCGTTAGTGTTCCCATTCAGTATGCGTTAAGTAGTTCGCTCCAGCGTTCGTTTGCCACGGAGCGGACTGGTTTAAAATTAGTCGCCAAAAGCACATCGTAGCGTTAAGTCGTTCTCTTTTTTATTGTATTGCGTTCTAGTTTTGGATTTTTGGTTTCAGCATTATTCTGGTCTTCTTTTTGCAAGTGAGTTGCCAAAAGGGAATGATTATTTTTTGCCGTGAATGGTTGATTAACAGCTTCACATGGCTATGTCAGAGCTCCCTGTATTTGTTTATTTTTTATATCGATTGTTCGATGGAATCCAGTGTTGCAAATTTCCTGATACGATTTGTACTTTAAAAAGTGTGAGTTGTAATGTAATAAAGCTTGATCATGAAATTGATTATTTTCAAAAGGTAATAAGCCCAAAGACGATGATTTAAACAATTATTCTTACGTGATTACCGATCTGCAGTATAGTCTTGTTTGAATTCTCTTTTTAAAAACATATGAATCGCCAGCCAGCTGACAACGGTCTTCGACATTGTCAGAAAATTAGAATAAATTCTTTTATTCAAATGCATCGTAGGGCAACTGCGTACTTATCTTCGCATAACAACAGTATAGATACTAACCATAAACATTCCGAAAATACTATATAAAAATACTAAAACCATGGGTTACCAAAAATGCCGCCAACAAGGAGCATGAAATTCAGAAAAGTCTATCCGTAACAAAATTAACAAAAGCTCAACTATCAACCGCAAAAAAGTGAAATGCAACAAGATACTACAGAGTACAGATACACAAATATGTGCATATAGATACTACAAATGATACGGTCACGAATAGCGAAAACAGTAAATACAATGCAATATTAAGATTAGTATGCCACAAAGTGGACAGGTTAAACGTTAAAAGATATTAAAACAAGACAATGAAAGGCAGCCATGCGCAATAGTTAAATACTATCCAATAGGAATCAACACTACACAGCGTAAAATGCGCAACGCTAGAGCTAATCCGCTCAGAAGGGGACCAGCTCCTGCAAATTTTCCGCCACCAACTCCATAGCGCGTTCGCGAATCATTCCCTGGCGCTCAATGCGATCCAGAATCAAAATGAAGTTGTTGTTCTTCGCAATTGTAATGATGCATCCTTCCAGTGTCATCACCAGTCCGCAGCAGCGGCTCACCTAATGCACCAGAAGCCATATTTGCAGATTTGCTCATGCTTTTCAACTTTACTTCGAGTCCGAGTGCTGACTTTTTCTCCGTGATGTAGTACAAGAAGGATTTTAGATTAGGGCGTTATGTACTAATAACCAGATGCAGAGTTATTTTATATGTATATTTTATTTTATATATGCAGAGTTATTTTACCTTCATATGCGGACACTCGTACTCCGACAAAAATTCTCCGTCGTTGCTGTACACGGCCACATGGAAACGATTGCCATGACTGTCGCCCACATAAACATTTCCATTTAGTCCAACAGAAATGCCGTTAGGAAAATTAATGATATTGTGATCCCCAATGCGTGTCACAAAATCGCCCTTGCCGTTATATACGCACACGCAGTGACCTTTGAAGTCACAAATATAGAAATGGTCGTTGGCCACCACAATATCCGATGGCTCCTTCATGTGTGTAGAGCAGTCAAACCAAAATGTCACATAGCCATTGGGCTCAAAGGCTAAACAAGCCGGGTGGACGCTGTCCACAATCAGAATCTGAAACGCATCACAGATGACGACAGTCACCCATGGTTAGATCAAATTAAATGGAAGTTTTGACGTACTCTGTTACGGTAGACTGTCATCCCCGCAACGATAGCAACGTAATCCACCTGAATCGTCTGCTGATACGCCAAAGGATCGCGATTCCCCACATTTTCTCGGCTGAATGCACAATAATCACGGCGGACAGTGAAAATCTGAATACGCGAACGCTCCTGCCCACGGTCACAAACCACCAAACGCGCTGGCTGGTATCGAGTTTCACCCAACCACGCCACTTTTCGCGGATACCACAGCTGACCATCTCGCCGACCAGGCGTTCCGTACGTCCAACGCAGATTGCCTTGTTGATCAAACGAGTGAATGCGATGGTTATTTGTGTCTGCAACAAGCCAAAATTGAGATACGTTTTACTTATTAATTTCACGACAAAAGCACAAACACCGTTGTGTGTTCTTATGACTTATCATTATCTATTCGTGTGTGGTAATGGACTATTTATGACTAAAGCAGTTTCAAAGTTTAAACCAAATCAGAATCCCTTTTTTGATCTTACCTGCAATAATAATCTCCTGCTGATTTTCGCTCAAACAGAATCCATGAGGAGCATTCAACTGGCCTCTTCCTTGACCTAATTCTCCAAAACGACAACTAAAAAGGCAAAAATTGCGTTTTAGTTAGCTAACAATTAAAACAAATTGCACTGAATCCTGTGCTAACAGTTTCCTCCTGTTCGTAATGCTGATGCAAAAGCTTGCAGTGTTTGCATTATACTAATGCAAAAGTATGCGTTATCTCCTATTTCGCCATACCATGGCCATTAATACCGCCTTTTCGTTGTCCCAATATGAATGGAAATACCACCAGTACACCATCAATACCATACAAGGTCACAGAAAATCCAGTGGCCAAGTGATAAAATCAAGAATACATTGACCGCTACCGCTTTATGAACATGAAATTCACCGTCTTACGACTTCCGTTAGGTACCACCGTACCACTACAGATATACTGTACCACCCAATTTCAATGAATACAGAATATGCACACTGGGATATTTCCACAAACATCGAAGCGAAACTTATAGCACATTTATAGGTGTCTGGCGCGGTTATGAGCGGAAGATCGATAAGTGTCAACATTAACGGTAAGTACTGTATAACAAAAAGTAATGTATTGTCCAGAATATTGAGATTTATAATAAAAGATATAAGCTTACCGAATTTCCAATTCTTGCATGTTGCTGGAACTGCGCGTAACAGTTTCACTGGCGGCGAACGCTTCGTCAGCTCCAGTTTCGCCAAAATCTTCACTTCCATTCCCGACTAGTTTAAGGAAGCAAAGAGCACTTGCCGTGGTATATGACCTGCATTTTGTGGCGCAATAGATATTTAACGTTAAGATTATTCTTACTGAAACTTCCAGCGCTTGGACGACCAGAATATGCGGCAACCGGCCAGCCTGATCGATTGACAGAAAAAGCATCTGGCAGTGACATGCGACGATTGCGTCGGCTGTTCTTCGAATTGCTGCGACGTAGGCTAGAACCACCAACCACCGCGATGCTGGACGTGGATCCACCGCGACTTTCCGGGACAACGTTCAATCCCTGTGCACCTGCAAAACATTCGTAAACAAATAGCCCAACTTATCAATCCAAGTACACCCACCGGCAGAACACGTGCGTACAACGAACGAAACCCATGTCTTTATAAGTAAGTACACACTAACATGTACCGCACACTGTCCATATTATGGACAGTGACTGTCCATCATAACTGATAAATGCAGTAATTCTTACGCTTTGCCAAAGAGTTGGGCAGGCACATGAAGCCATTGCCATTCGTCCCGTTACTGTGTCCGTCCAGTGAATCATTATCCGAGCAAGACCGAAAGAAGTCGCTGCAAAGTAGATACTTAGTACTTACCAATTAATATATTTTGACTTCTCGCATTATAGAAGTCTATAGTTTTGTTCGACAATTAATCTAGTTCAGAGATAAACATTTCCCAGTTTTACCACAACTTGTTAATGCAGTAGTTGCAGTGACCATTTGTGCACAAGCAACAGCTTACACATTTGGACGTGACTGCAGAAAATCGTAAGCCGAGGAACGAGGCTGTTCCGCCATATTGCCAAACCCTGAACGACCTGGTGACGTGAATGGTGTGACAGCGCCAGATGGGACAGACACATTCGGAGAGTAGCACGCATCGTAGCCCTATAAAGATACGCGAAAGAAATGTTTCTTTAAAAGCTACATGAAATTAAATTTCGTTAACTTAGTATAATTAGCGCAACGAAATTATGTCATACTTGCACAACTATTTATCACTAAGGTTATTGTGTGTCTGTAACCGTTTTCACCGGTTGCCATTATGGTTGCACGCAATCTGAGTACTTCCTCTTGGCATAATGTCATAATGATTACGAATTAATACTTTTATACCAGTACTACTGATTTCTGAATGGTCTATTCTAATAAATAAAATTCTATCCACTTACAGGCATTTCATCGGATTCTCTGTGATTTTCCTGGATTGTAGGAATGGCGTCTCCATTCTGCATTGGTTGAATTCCTTCCAAGTAGCAGATGCGAGTATTCAACTGCGCCAGCGTACGCTGCAGTGGGGACATTTCCTCTTCCATCAACGCTTTAACGTAATTTTTCATTCTTTCTTCCAAGTAACTCTTAACGTCTTCCCATCCGCTTTTTCCGTTGATTACTGGGGAAGGGTTGTCGCTGGCGGTTGCGATGACGGGTGATACACACTTATTATCCCTGGAGCCATTCATTTTTTCCACTTTCACCGTTCTACTGTTTAACAATACTTGGTGATAATTAGGGCGACGGATTCGGTAACTTCCCAGCCAACGAGGTCTGGCGAAAAAAACAACGATAATTCAAGCCGGAAATTTCGGCAAAGAAAAGAGAAAAAACAGGAAAGGAAAAATGCAAAAGTAGCTTCCGTAAACGATCAAAAGATCACAGCCATCAGGAAGTACGTTAATCACTGGACTGACAGTGATCGTTTTCTCGATCAGCTCTTGGCATCGATTCTTATGGTAACCCGCAAAATTTGCGATATATGGGTGCATTCATTGTTAAACGGCTAAATTTTTAATTCAAATGACCATCAGAGACCGGACCGGCTGCCACCGTCTTATTCGGCATCCGCCAATAGCAGACGCACTTGTACGTTGCCAAACGTCTAATTTTAGAGCCGAAGCCAGGTTTCTAGACGTTCATACGAATATGACTCATCACTCATCAGTTAAATCTCTCAGCGATTTCTGAGGCGCGCTGTGGCACTGCCAGTGCCAGCAAAGTTAGTATAGTAATGAGAACGTCATTGTTGGTTCTCATTATTCGTTTAAACTTTGGAATTAATAACATCGACATACTAAATTCAAATTGCTGTAATAATACGGAATTCACGGTCGTGATTCGGCTCCAGATCCTGAAACTATCCCCATGTCAGTACGTCGGGGATAGCGCATACCAATGAAGAACACTGAGAAATACCTATTCGTCTAATTGCCTTAATACAGCATAAATTGGTGAACAAATATCTATACTATCTATATATACCAGTATTATACGTAGTGGAACGTACTAGAACCGTAGGTTTTTTTCTTGGGCACATGAGTTAATTCGATTAATATTTGTGTGAAAGTTTGCAGGAAGAATTTCAGTGACAGAAACTCAGAAAACCAACAAAACAATCGGAGAAAACCACATAAGCGAACCGAAAATAGCCACTACAACGCTACCGAATCAGATCAAAAAGTCAAAATTCAACCGAAACAAACGGTAAAGAAACCGGGCGGATGTTCCGGATCAGCCATTCACCAGAAACCAGGAACAATGTCGCTGCTGCTATTTAACCCGCCGATCGGATGACACTCTCCACTACAGCAATCTAAAACAACAGCAAAGCGTTTTCAAAGCTAATCATGTACCACGATTTGCGCCTGAAGCACCCAGTAATGTACCAACGATTTCAGAAATGCACCTTCGATTCGTGACTACAGATAAGTTCCCAAAAACCATGCGTTTTAAGCACAAAAAATTTTTGTTTTTTAGATAGGTAACTATTTAATGGTAGCAGACTATTGTACATTGTATCAGAACATAAGGTAAGTGACCGGTTATCTAGTTGCCGACATTAAAGTACAGACAGACATTCACTGTAATAAATTCAATAATAATAATAACATATTATTGTATCGTTCTATCACGTGGAATACGTTTACGCCCCTTTGCCTGTCTGCGACGAAAGCTCATACTCTGCTATCAAGTCAAATTTTTTTTTTACGCAACACGTATGCTGCGGAAAGTCAAAATTTACAAAAAATTAAGTTTTATCAAAAAATTCAAAAATTTCACTTTTCAGTTTTCACACTGCACGCATGCTGCGGTCAGTAGAAGTACTGTACTCATGTGCAATAGCTAACCGGTATATCCATGGTCTGATCGTCCATGAGGACAATATCGAAACTGTCTCGATATAGAGGGAACGAATCCTGCACCTACAAATATCATGTGAAATCACCCATCAGTCACATCGAGGTAAAAACAGATCGTAGCCAACAAAACAAAGGGCCACAAGCATGCACAGGTAGCAATTTACCTTGGAATTCAAAAATCCGATTGTGATAACGTTTTCTTTGGCACGCATGCCATCCGCCATACGGAGATCTCCCAACATGTCTCCCATTAGCATAACATTCCTCCGTTTTTCATGTTTGGTAAAATAGTCTCGATGGTGAGGAAAGATTTCATTTTTGTTGAAAGTGTGAATAAGCTCTTCGCTGAATCCTTCTAATAATCCCTGTGAAAAGAAAAATATTAAAGAAGCTGCCGATAAATTCTCTTATTAACGTCGGAAGTACTACCGGTAGACAAACAATAAAAAGACTACTCTAACTCAGGCAGTGACGAAATTTTTATAAGACGTCGGTAATACGTAACAACTATTTTCTATCGTTGTACAGCCTGGGTATTTGCATACATTCGCATTTTGCGCTGCATCTTTACAGAATCACAAAAGAATGTTATGACTTGGAATAACCAATTTTATACCGCCAGTCAACATGGAAAAGCTTACCCTGTTATTGAATCGCATATAATTTGCCACGATAAGCGGTTGCTGCTGGAAAGCCTTGAACGTGCACTTCTGCGAAAGCACCTCTACAAAAGCAGACACCAATTTGACAATTGGACGCTCTAGTCAGGTACTGCATTAAATTATATAATGTCGCAATTTCCAGGATCACCTCGAATAATATCACCAATTCCTGCCGAGTAGATCAACAAAGGAATTCCACAGTGATCGATAATTGCAAATAAAACACCCGTGCGCTCTCTGCAAATGAAAATAATTTTCATTACGATCATTTCCGATATACGGCACTGCAGAACTCTAACAAGAAATACAGTTCATCTTGCCTGAGCTCAACCGAAGATTCCTGAACCATCTTACTCAGCCAGGACAGCTCGAAGTTAACCTTAATCAGCAGATCATGCGCCCTCGTCCACCAGGTTCGCATGTGAGGCACTTTTTCTTCCACCGATAACAGGGGATCCAGTTCAATAGGGTAGTACTTTTTCCTTAATTTGTCGCACTATAAGACAGATGCTGTGACTGGCCAATAATGGTACAATCATTGTTTTTAATTTCTGCACCTTTTCAGAAATTCATTAACCACCTAGGCAAAACTCACCTCTTCCCTAAACCACGAGGGCATACGCTGGTTTGTATCCAGAATCCCTAAACGAAAAATACCATGCCTGATATCTCACATTAGAAGGTGCAATTTGACAGTATCCACAAAAATATATCAGTACTTCCGTTCATATGCAATGATAGTACAAATGCATGCAGACTGAGCGGTTGCTTACCATATGAAGTATCGCAGCGCTTCCCTTCGCGATGGTATCTGGTGAGAGTTGCATCAAAGTCGCTAACAACTTGGAAACGTTCACCACCATCTGCGATCATTTTTTCCAGAAGGCTCACAACATATTCAGGGTTGCCTATGAATACGCCATCCCGACATAAGGCGTCCTTGAGCTGCAAGCACGCAAGGTGACGCAGTTTATCAGAATCCAAATTTTTGTATACAAGTATCGCAGCTGAATTATACAAGTCGCAGCGAAGCACCCACCTCCTTATTCAGTCTCGACGAACGAATGTAGTTCCTGAAAGCCTCTTCGCCTCCCATCGTTATTGGCCGCACAAGCGGAAGTTCTCCCGGAGATGATTTGGCTTTCTGCAGCAGACGATGGGCACGTGCATTACGATCCGTGGCTCGACTATACCACTTGTAAAACTTCCACGAACTAATCAGACCAACCACTGTCACTGCTACGGTTGGCACATAGGCAGAGAGTAACTCGCTTCCCGTCCACGTCCACTGATTTACCACGCCAGGATTCGCCATACGTTTCTGACAGCCCAAATGAAATCAAATTTACGAAAATAGTTGCAAGTGCAAAAGCAGCAAAATTACTGCAATCAAATTGGGAGATCACGCACTCCCAGAAGATACGCCAACTGAACTCCGTTACTTGCACAACAGAGCTATTCAAGTCAGCTGCGGAACTAGATTAACCAATTACGTAAATTCGAAAAGTAACCACTAATTTCGCATTCACCGAAGGCTGCTTCAGGTGTGTACTGTAATGCCCGTGGACAAAATTGAATGTAAAACAAAATTGGGTAAGCGGTTTACCGGTATATGTACAACTGGTTAATTAAAGTATGTTTATCATCCTGTGCATAATTTGCTACTAAAAATTGTGTGGTTCGTTAATTTAGTAAAGGCTTTCACAAAGTCACTTTGCAATGTGCTTCTGGATCCATAAATTTTTATGCCAAAATTTTATTTTTCTAAGGAGTCTTCTTGGCAAATAAAATCAATGTCGTTTGATGCAGCATTTGATGTTCGTTGCTTGGTGATATAATTTTGTTTTATAAAACAAAACAAAACCAAACCAAACCAAAATTTTATTAAAATAATATTATTAATCATGTGTTTTACTTGTTTATCTGAGTTTGATAAGTCTTCTCTTGTTACTGCTATCAGTAACAAATTAGCAACCGAACATATTCAAAACATTAACACTGATCGGGTATTTAATTTATGGTAATGTGACCACTGGTCACTGACCAGTGTGAAAATGTCCATCGTAAAAAGACCTACCAGGCGATTAATGCTAATTTTATGCACTTATTCGACAGTAAACAAACTAAGCTATTAAACCTTCTTAAATTTTACATATCTAAGAAACGGTTACAGTACATTTTTTACGCCAGTCAAGCTACAGCTGCCGATTTCTGCGTTAATTTCAGCATTAACCTGTTTTAGCAATTCATTCCTTTATAATAAATTTCTTATTGCACTAAAAATGAAATTCCTGCGCACATATCTATTCTTATTGAACCGTTCCTTTTCTTATCTGCTTTGCAATTCGCTAACTGAATCTGTTGCTGCGTACATTCCAGTACGGTATTTGTAACTCATACAGCCAACAACAATTGTATGTTTCGACAATGTTTAAAAAAAGTCCATTTAGGCATTTTTTAAATAATTGTTTGTGAATAAGATCAGCGGGACGGCTATTCGTCTTGAAATCGGACGTAATGTACCGGACGTATCCTAAAATCAGTGACAATACGTTGTACAACTTCAAATTTTATTGTTGTATTGTTACAGTTGTCCAATACATTATTTTGTAATAACAAAGACGCGATATTTGCCGACGATTCATTTATCAGTTGATACTTTACATTCTTAGGTTGGCAACGCCGCAAGACAGCGCACAGTTCATTGTTTAAAAATTCGTTATACAGCATTTACAAATAAATAATAAACAAAAAATCAATAACAGTTTCGTTTCACAAAGGTACAACATTAACTTAACTTCAAACCGGTAATATGGCAACAGGTGGCTTCAAGCTTGCGCATGCTTAAATTATCTTGCAATGAGTATGCTTAACATTACGTATATTTCCTCCCCGACGCTCACATTCTCTTAGGAATGCCGTTATTGACTGGCATAGACATGCTCGGTTTTTTGGACAATCACATAAATCTTCCAGGCAGGATCTAAAAGTAAACAATACGTTTTGTTTTTGAGCCCAATGTATGATTTCCAAAATTAGTATAACAGATAAAATTTAGTATAACAGATAAAAAAAAATTTAGTATAACAGATCAAAAAAAATTTAGCATAACAGATCAAAAAAAATTTAGTATAACAGATCCGAGCAAAGAGCTGTAGAATGCAAAACTGTACTACATAATTGTGCAAAATTTGCATAGTTATTTGCTTATAGTAAGAAGTACACACTTACCTGTAATACGGTTCGGCATCCACAAGTATTCGGCATGCTCGCATCGTACTAGCTTTGAAGATCCGACAGTCACGCAATACCCGTATGCTTTTCTTGATGGGATGGCCTGGACAAGGAATATTTCTCGCCGTTCGTGGGCGTATTCTTTCGCTGTTAATCATTTGAGACTCCATAACGGCACACTTCTCTTCGTCAGTTTTTCGGTTCACAAGCCACGATTGTGCGAATTCTGGAATGTCCGAAGCCATCGCAGCTGTATCTCTAATAATTAGGTCATCCGTGGCATTCCCATTGTAGTTTCCACATAAACCACACACTTGATTGCGAAAAATCGCGGGAAGAGTGATTTCAACAAAGCTGTCCCCATCCCAAGTCAGTTTTAAGCCTAGTAAAATTAAGCACATAAACAAATTTAATTTTGCCCATTTTCTGTTATTTGACTACTCGTACATAATTACAATTAGTCACGATTAGGTAATACTATGTTGAACCAGCTCAAAAAATTTAATATTCCTTGAAAGTGTCAGTTGATAATATAATTTTGTAACATCGAAACTTTTGTACTGTTAAAGTAAAGGTTGAGATAAAAGGATACATGACTTGAGAGTGTATAATCTTGCTTAAGCCTGCTTCTGTACCGAAAATTGTTCGAAGAGTGATGGAATAGCCGTTACTGATAATGGAGACCACTCCCAGCCGAACGTAAGGTAAGCGGACTTCTTTGCGGTTTATCCTGACTCGCAATTTTTGGAGCAGTAAAATCTTCGTATGCTCTAAATTCACAGCAACTGATTTCGTCCACGTGAAGTGCACCGATTTTCGTGCATCATTACGCAGATGTATTTCAAAGCGCTTATTCTTCGCATCACATTCTTCGGCGGCAATGTATTTGCATCTTCCTTGAAAGCTGTACGAATTTCCATCAAAGGTCTTATAATGAGGGTCGCCATAAACTGTACACACAGCCGTTTCTGAAAAAAATCTGTATAGGATGAAGGTAATCTTTCTTCCATACGCTCACACACACACTTCCGAAAAGCCAAATTTAAAAAAAAGAGCAAAACATAGAAAACGTCCAGGGTAAACCCTTCCAGTTTTTACAAGTTTTTTTTCACCCGGAAGTTATATGGCAGCACTGGAAAGCATTTAGATAGAATAGCAGTGCAATTCGAAAATACATAATATTATGCTTACTGGGAACACATTTTGGGCAACAATCGTTCTTATCTCGATATAGCTCTTCTCCATCATTGCAGGTAACATCACTTGGGCAGCTTTGTACGGCACATTGCACAAGTCCATCTTGGCACTGACATGTTACGCAGACATCGATTTTCCACGAATCTCCATTCTGCAATTTACAAAGCACTGTAGTTGTTAAATAGAAGTAGTCGTTAGTCGTTAAATAATAAGAAAATACTTACGATTGTTAGATAGTACTTTTGTACACCTACATTAATTAATCATATTCGACCGCTATAATATGCGACATCTCATCTCGGTTTACGAAACCATTATTCAAAATATGTATCATCATAAAAGAAAGTACAGTACAGTAATTTAAGAAGTAATCTTAGCATTCTGCAATCGCATCCCTGCTCACAAGCATACAGCCGCCTAGGTAGAATAATTACATTATATGTGGCTTCTTCCATTTCGCAGAATACTGGAGCAGATGGCAAGCAGCGCGGGCAACATTCACCAGATCGCCGCTCCTGATAATCTGGGAGGCACGTCAAGACCGGACACACATGACGTTTACATAAAAGGGTAGAATTCTGCAACGATATAATATGGATGATCGGTTTGTGCTAATCACTTAGGTCCACTTCCAGAAAAGCAGCCAGCCCACCAAAGAAATACAAATGCAGATGTTAAAATTTAAGACAGCTTAAACGTGTTACATCGTTTTTGAGCGTTTAACTGACCTGGCATAAACATGTTGTGCAGCTATCAATAGCAATTTGCTGGTTTGGTCGTAAAATCTTTTTGCCGACAATGCAGCGGTTCTCCAATGTGGCGATTTTACGAGATCCATGGCAGTATGGACAACAAGATCCCGGTTCGTGCATATACAGATTAACAGGACAAGCCAATACAGGACAGGCAGTCTTGTTGCAAATCAAGTTACCATTCTACGAGGTTATGGTCAAACCAAAAAGATGTTAGTGACCTTACAACTATTCGAACAACCATTTTAGATTTCATGCTTTTTTACCCTGCACGAGCACCGTATGCAAGGATCTGGAGCTGATATTGTTTCTCCTTCTGCGTACAATTTCCCGTTCAGATAACAACCTGGTGATTTAAGAGGTACTGGTAAAATAATATTCAGTTTGCAACACCCGCCAACAATCGCGGAACAGACACTGACACTATTTTAACTTTATTACATTTGACTTAATGCCATATAAAGCGTATAAATCGTACGCAAATCGCAGCTGTTACAAAACCGGCAAAGATTGTGTGTACAAATAATACGAAACAATGTGTAAGGACTAGTTAGAAGTAATTATGTGGTACCTTGGCATACCGGACAGCAACTTCCGTTCAGCGGAACTGGGTTAGAACAAGGTGTGTAGCATACAGTCTTTGCCGTTCTTGTAACGATTCCATCCTAGAACGAAACACATAATTTATCCTTAGAATTTATTTATTGGCTAAAGTACTACAAATATTATTGGATCATATTTACTGAATTCTTCAATACGTTTGGCAAATGGCGCTTTTTATTAATTGCAGTATCAGCGAAATCAAAATCGGTTTCAGTTAACATGAGATCCAAAAGACTAATAAGAATTGCCATGTTGAATCTCGAGGCTTCCTTATAGCCGCCGAAGAATACCAGTGGAGCGTTTTTCCCGTTCAGTACGAGTATATTGTACATCGTTTTGCCATCTCCTTCCCAGAATTAGGTAACAGGCGACTTCACCATGAATCAAATTTCAACAAACACAAATACAGTACCTTGTAATATAAACAGAATTTTTGGAGGCAACTAATAACAATCTACAAAAGTAAGATTTTGAAGTATACCAGGCAGTGATTCGTAACGCACGAATCGCTGTCCGAAGTCCACATTTCCCCACTGGAGAGCAGTTTGCCTTGAATCGAACATCCTTTACAACGAACGCAGCATTTGTCTTCTTCATTATCTTCTTCGTCCAAATGAAAATAACACTTCTCCGATGACTTTGGGCATGTTTTCTTTGCACATGTAATTTTGTAATGCTAAAAAAATTTATACTGTAAGTATCACTCTTACTCGTACATAATTTACTTTAAAGGTTACACAAAAATAACTACAGTGGCTTCACTCATTACTGCTACACATAAAACTCTAAAGCGGCAGGCATTGTACGTACTTAATAACACGTTGGAAAAAATTTATAATATGATAATATCATCCAGTGAGATTTCGCAGTTGATCTTCCAGGTGCATATGCAGTCGGCGAACGATAAAGAGTAAGTAATAACATGTCGATAGTCCCCTTAACATTTGTAAGCTCCATTTGCTCTACGGTTTAATTGACAACCTCCAAGCTGACTGTTTAGTGTTTAGTATCGCTGACAGAGGAAATTACACGACTTGTTTCCTTCGATTTCGACATAATCGTTTCCAATTATTTAGAAAGGACTTATTACACTTTCGTGCACCTATAAGTCTGCTAGTTAAGAGAGCCTTAAATTATGTCTTAAAAGTCATGTCGACTTTTCAATTCTCATTGAAGCTGCACCGGCGAACCAGCAGGGAACAACACCTGACCGGTGAGAGATTAAGTCTGTGATCATAAACAACCGGTGATCATATAAATTTTGAAGAATCAATCAAAAGATTTTAAAGTGGCAGGCGGCAGGAGAAACTCATCATTTAATTACTGACGATGTAAACTTTTGCGTTGTTTTATTATAATTTCGTTTTAACTTCAAATGCATTAATTCTAAAAGTTGACATATGCATGCAAAGACTGGAATTGTTGCCTACAACTGCACGAGTGCACGCACTTATAATTCCGACATTTTTAATTACGGTTTTAACAATGATAATCTTGATTTTGGCAGCACACCTATTGTACACGGCTTTTAATAAAGTGCGAAGGAATAAAATGCGTTGTGGTACAGCGCATCAGGCATTAAGTGTGTTTACAGAGACAATACATGCGTGTGATTAACCGGGGAAATATGCTTCGGTGTATATGCTCCTGTAGATAATTTTACGCTGCAGCCGTATTAGTATTGTATTCGTGTAGGTGAACTCTGAAGATTACTGAAGGATTAAATTAAGAGCACTCAACAAAAGAATATGAATCGAGACAAGATAATTTAACTATGAAGCCTAACTGAAGATGAAGAACACTTTACATTAAAACAAGCGGCTTAAAAGAATTCTGGAGTGGTATTGTTAATATTTTATTCCATGACAGAGCCTGGGATTTATGCGCCAGGACTGCCCGCGCCAAGTACTGGTAGCGTAGTGGCGGTGAGTGTACCTACGTCAGGGTATGGTACTACGTCAGCAGACGTTCATAAAACGTTTGTAACTCAAACTGTACTATTAATACTGGAATCCATTTTAACAATTCCATTTTCTGTTTTAACTTATCATGTCATTAGATTGGTAGTCAAAATCTTAAGAAAAAATCTTATGGCGCAGTTCTTGCGTTGCGCAAGACTCACGTACTGAAAACAGAAGCGGTATCGTCGTTACTACGAGGATGCCAGGCAATTCTGTCCGTGTCTAACTCTATTAGCAGCACGCTACCATATATCAACCTATATGTAATAATTTCCATTCAGTTGGAAAAGGCACTGAAAGATACCTGCAGCTAATTGGTCTAGAACAATGACTCCATTATCAAAGGGATGGGCAATAATTTGATTACGGATCAATGCGTCGCGCGACCGCATTTGTCCTGTTTGTTTAGCTACTTACAAGTTTTACGCAGGCCAAAGTCCACTCATTTGTCTTTATTGCATTAACGTTAATACTTTCATCGTATCAGTAGCTACAGTAAATTAAACCGTGTTTATTTATAGTAGAAAATATTTCAGCCAAGTTAGCCAACTGCCATTGAATATCAAAAATCTTTAAATCTCTTCTTCTAGATCTTATACAAACAAATTTTGGTAGCAGGGAGCATTTACGTACATATGTGCAGTCTGTAATAAAAAATTTACGTTTTTACTAAGGATACGTAATCGTAATATGTACCATCTACAGTGAAATCCTTCTTTATTAATTATGCCAGTTCACTTACCTCGCATTTGCAAGTAATGCAGGGATTGTTGGTAATCTGTGGAACATTCACAATAGCACCTTCGCTGGAGCAGTATGCCGGTTCTCCTGTAAGGGTTAATTTTAAATTTTAGTGGGACATGTGAACAAATTTACGAACAAACACAGCGTATGCACGGAACGTGCATCTTGTAACCCGGTAGACCGTTTAATTTAATATTCAATTGCCGGTAAATGTCCTGTTTTACTATGTCCAAGAGGCTGTCGGTCGCGCTTCAAGTAGCCGCCAGTAGCCAACGCTGTTAACGTAAACGCTCGCGCAAATGACAATCTAGTCGCAGTCAACATTCGAATTAGGCGCCGTGTATAGCTTCTCGACGCTTCGGCCAAGCCGTCACTGGCGCCATACGCTTATTACCTTGTAAAAATTGTCCTGAAACAACCCAATTTCTCCACGTTATCACATACAAAAATGCTGTTATCACCAGTACAATACTCCATAAAGGTTGCGTAGGACGCCGCGTCCACGAATTAAATATGGATGGCATGAATGGAGAAAATACGCTACGGATCTTTTTGGCATAAAAAGATCATGGATGGATGAGCTTTAGTCGACGTTTGGGCTTCAGTCGACGTTTTGGCTTCCACTTATTGATATATTTATAATCCGCAACATAGCCGAAAAGTTTTAATTGAGACAAAATCCTGAACGACAAATCATCACAGATTAATTATTCATGCTGGAAATCAAGCATAACCCTTTCAGTACCGTCGTCCTCGAAACTGTGTCCAGCAAAAGGGCAACAGATAAAATACTACAGCGGTGCATGATCTTCTTTGCCGGTATGCATTAATAATTTGTACCGGGATTCCAGATATTGCTGTTCAAATCATGTGTAAGTAAAACAGGTATCACTGTGCCTCTTAGTACGTAACAGTTTGTAAAAACTCGGCAAAATGCGCTAATGATAGGCGAAAGTGGCACGACACAGTTGCGGAAGAATAATGAGCCTTATCGATAAAGCGGATATATTCACTACATACTCGTAGTGAACGAAGATTTTTGATTTATCGTGAACCGCTAATCAAAGATTGAATGAGGGGCCGTCTATCGCATAGGACGAGCCATATGTTTGCATGTATCTCGTTAAAACATTTAATACTAACCAGGTAAGGCGCAAAACTGCTTGGGACTTATTCAAGCTCCATTTTCTCTTCGTCTTTTAGTCTTTTACTACCTGCTTAATGGAGAACAGTAATGCGCTCACTCTCACAGACCCGCCTGCTTCGTGTAGTTATTGGACAAAATCATAGGGTCATTTATCGCTTTGAAATTTTGCCTTGCAAGTTTAGATGATCATGAGTATTTGTACAAAAGTTTGCTGGCACATGTGAAATTTTTTGCTAACAATATTTTATTATCATACGCATTTTTATTTTCGAATCGACTAGTTGGAATCAACATGCGGCTTGATGCGCAGCCTTTGTATACATAATTCCTAAATTTGTTTTGAAAGAACAAAGTATTTGATAACATTTATTTTGGTTGTTTTTTTAATTCTTGATTGTGCAATGTCGGTCGTATACGTAGTGACTGCTATGTACTCTGTATGTGACTGCAAAAATAAAAAAAATATGATTTCCCTAATTCGTACACTTAATACAGTACTCAGAAAACGTTCACACAATCTTACCGTCATACAGGCTCGCATGACTTTCTGCTAAAAAAGGTTCTTGGTTAGAATCCTGAACGGTTTACCGGCTTACCATAATACCAATATAAGACGTAGAGTTAGATAAAGCTGAGTTACTGGCCATTAGCTCTTGCACATTTTTGTGCATGACCTTACTTAGCGGGATTCCTGTCGTAGGAAATGCCAATATGAATTAGCTAGCAGACTGTCGGCAGTATATGTGTAATATGGTGCAAGGGCTTCTAACGCGGCTAGAAATAACAAACGTCAAACAAAGAGGATAACCTTATCAATTTTGAGGCTGTTTTTCTTAGATTTAAAGGTGCCGCACGAATTCTCTCAACGGAAAGAAGTGTTATTTCCGACAGACAGCTGCAGTAATCGGTTACCGGCTGCTAGAGCGATAAAAGCTGTAACCACCAAAGAGGTATATACAGGTGTTTGTATCGCTTGTTGCGATAACATCCGGCAATTTTTGTGCGATTTTGCTAAGTACTGAAGGATGGTGAGTAGGTGCTGGAAAATATTTCTTTTCTTAGTACTTTCGCTTTCCAGAAATGACAAAATTTCAGCACTACAGATATTACAAGATCTATCATAAAATACAATATATACTAACACGTCTTTGGTAATACGACTGGATGTGCTGGATCAGTTAGTAGTGCGCTGTAAAACAATTACTGCAGTTCAGAACTTCAGATCCAGGAACAAACAGTTCTGCTGTAATTTCCGCAATACATGTTGTCTACGCACGAGAAAACTCGCACGTTGCGCATATGAGTTCAGACTTAGCGGGAGTTTCCGCTGCGCCACTGTCTGCAGCGAAGACCTTATTAGTCTTTCCAACGTTTTTATGGTTCCGAGAGCGTTTTGGAGCTTCCTATTAATATTTATCGTTTTCACACCGCCAGTACATCTACCCCAACAGTACAACGGCAAACGTTTCTGACTAGTTGGTAGTCGCAAGTCGACTGCGGTTACCTTACGTAACATCGGTTGCGGTTACTGTCAATAATGATTACTCACGGATGTGTTTCTTCGTCCCGCCACTCTTAGTGGGAGTGGTAATGTTCCATTTCGTACTATTTCAATTCTCAGGTACCACTCAAAAGTCGTCGCTTCGGAGGTTGGTTGCGCTAGCTCTGGATTTACTTGTCCAGCAAAGATCATAACTTCTCATAAGCATAAGCCAATGCGCCAAGCATAAGCATCAGCATAAGCCAATTAATGCGTCCACAAGACTTCTGACTGACTGATCATGACCGTACACAGGGATATATTCGATCGCCACCAGGTCATTAACTTGGAGTCGGGCCAGTTTCGTTCTTCTTTAATTTTCTTCTGGTACCACGATTTCCCCCTCACTTTCATGGGTTTGTGGTTGATTTGTTTTCCACACTGGGAAGACTCTGTTCGATTAATTTCAAGTTTTACCGACATGATGTAATGAACATTCTCAAAAACCAGCTCAAGTCGCGATTTTCCGAATTTTCCCGATTCACCGGGCACCGGTAAAACTTTCATCGTTAATCAAATACAAGGGTTAGATTTCTTTGTTGAATTTCTATGCTGATCATATGGTCGCAGACATTAATATCTGCGACAAAGTTCAACATGTTTTATATTTTATAGGTTCGACAGGCCGGATGCAGGCGGAACACGAGCCACAAAACATTTTATGGCTCGCCTTCCGCCTGCATCCTGTCGAACCTTTTTCTGAAGTTTATTTAGCAAGCGAGTAGTTTCCGGTCTCCATAGTCCCAACGTTTTGAAGCCCATCGGGCTGATCAAGTACAGTAGTCCGCGAGATGTAACGGCACTTGCTGTGCGGTCTTGTCCCACTCTGCTTGCGGTGCTGTTGCTTCGGCCAGGTTGATGGAAACGTTGCTGCGACATATTGAGCAAAGCCATGGATGATGCGTCGGCAAGTTACATACCCTGTCAACGCCTTCCCCCTTTCGATGGTGTTACGAAGGCATCACAGGTGTATAAAGGGCAAGCCTTGGTGTTTTTTTCTGTATTCAACCTTAATTTGATTGGTGGTACCAAAGTCACAGTTTTTCTATCAAACTAAAGATATACTGATTGTACAGCCTCCACCGACAAAAGGTATAGGCGCCTAAGTATACAAAACAAATCATCAGATAATCTAATTAGCCGTGCTGTTCAGCCTGTTCCCATAACAGAGGCTGCATTCCCGTATTGGATTTCAACGCCGAACCGCTGGCGCAGATACTTGATCGCCCGTATCTCGCTTGTTTTTTGTCGTATTATCTTCCCGAGTTCGGAGACCATGCGAAAGGCGTTTGGTCCCAAAGGTCCTAGTGTTTCGACGCCTACTGCACGGAATATGTAGTGCGGTGTGATGTCACGGTACTTCGCCACTTTGGTGTTTGCGAACTGTTTGAGATGTGCCAGGAGGCTCAGTTCTGTGTCAATGCATACTCATGCCGAGAAAAATATGCGCGCTTGTAGTTTGATATGACAATTTCTTGCTTTCGTCGGCAATAATATAACCATTAATGACTATGCCGTATAATCAATAAATAAAGCAATTGCTGCTTTTCTATACCGGTACCAACTACCACTGGATGCGTAACACTGGGGAAAAATTTCTTCTGCTATTAACAACAAGACTACAAGTACACTTGCAAAGGCGACCAGAACATTACACCGCACAAAGCAAACTATCCATAAAAACTGTCCAAAATTTCAGAAACTCTTCAAGAAAAAATACAATCAACAAGGTTAACAGGCAGGCGAGCTAATAACTTACTACTCGGTAGTCATCTGAAATAACAAATACAACACCACTCGAAAACAGGCGTCAAGGCGCGGTACAGCGTTACATATCACAATCAAACTAACTGCCTTCATTTCGCTTTCGCAGGTCGCGAAAAAGGAACACCGCCGGTGTTTATCGCAAATATTTCTTCTTCGCTTATCGGTAATCTTTTGAATCCTGACGGAGGCTCATCAAAAGCAGTCATGGGAGACCGGCTTGAGGATGCCGTAGAAGGTGATGTGTCTTTTTTTGTCGACGGAGCAGCCAATCCTGCTAATCGCAACAAAAATATCTATAGACAACTGCAACAGATGTTATTCAATCAAAACTCAGACATAATAATTTTTTAGAACGCTTTCTAAATGATTTCAAATACAGAATCTACATAGCATTGTGCCCAGCACGGCTACCGTTGATACAGCGAAGTGTACTGTACATGGTGACTGTTTCTCGTAAGACGTAAGAAAACCTAATATTTGCAGCCCGCAAGGAAAATAACCAAAATAACCACAACAAAACTCTTCGATATTTACCTGAAACATTTTTCCCAGTAAGGTCTTTTCTATACCGGAACCTTATCAAAGGGACATGGGGCTTTAACTAAACCAACAAGAACGAACCTTTAAATTACATCATATAACCGCGGAGAAACAGAAAAGCAAAAAAACACGTAACCTCCGTAATATAAAGATCTGCATTTCGCACTTACGTTTGCTATTTTCGTCGCTACGGATGCCATGACTGGCTGAGAGAAATTTCCAAAAACTTCCGCAGATTTAAGATGGGGATCAAGGGAAATACGACCGATAATGGGAGCTTGTTGCGCTTTCTCTCCAACCTATCCCACAGGTTAAAGTCACCGTTAAAGGTTTAGAGTTTAGACTGCAAAATGTTGAACTGACACAAAGCACGAGGCAAGATGCAGCTAAGTGAATCGAGTCGCTGGTGCTAATATAATGTAAAATATAACGACACGAACTTTCGACAACGAACTCCGTAACGAATACAAGTCCAAGTCGCGTAAATTTGGAAACCGGAAACCATAAGATGCTAGTACAACTTACCACGATAAGATCACAAGAAAAGCATGCTTACTATGTCGAACCTGTGGGAGCTCTTGTTCGCCCACTGAGGCTATTTGGCGGAATAATCCGAAGAAGGAGCGCAGTCTTCGCAGGAACGCGCTCATCAATGCGGGATCAAAGTTCGTTAGGCACACAAATTCGCAACAAAACGACAACCCAGATTATTTAAACTTTTTAATCTATTATTTATATTCTCAATTTTTCCTAAACAAAAAAGAAAAATCACTGCTAAATCACCACACTGCAAAAGTTAAAACAAGAACCGCAGACGGTCATTACGTCACACATAGAAAGGCGTGTCTGGTGATATACGTCACAGTAATTTCTGCAGTGTGATGAGACTTAAGTTGTTGTTTTTTTACCATAAAATAATAAGATTTTTTGTTTGGGTTTGTGTTAATCGGTAGGGTCAGAAGAAGAATTGTAACTGGCGGTTCGAAATTTTTACAAATACTGTAACTTGAAAGAAGCGAATCACACTGTAAATAAGCGAAGCCGTATTAGTACGAGTAGACTATATATTATTATTAGTACTTACGACTATCGGTGCGATTTGGACTGGCAGTCAGCTGATTATTTTGTTATATGAATACTAAACATCTCTTGCAGGTTTTCGGCCTCTCTCGTTAGACCGCGGTAATCTCAGCTTCTACTCATCCGATTTTACTGCTTCAAAGTGTTCTAAAAACCTCGCGGTCTGGCGGGTGATCTAAGACCAGTCGTTGTTTGCTATCTTCACAATATCAAGTCCAGTGGTCACTCAAAAGCTTGTTACCATGGTTGCCATAGGGCCAACATGGCTGGGCTGTTACCAGGGGCACATTATACTGCGCTCAAACAACAAGAAAAGCGTCGGCTTGCCCTCTGCTTTTCTTGTGTCCCACGGGCTGGCCGCTGCATTTGCTAGAGTAGCTTAATAATTTGGCAGTTTCAGTAGAATGAACGGAAACCTAACAAAAAAGAAGCTCCAGGTGTGAAAGGTCAACAACGCAGTACGCTCGTCGCGGACAACCATCCTGAGCAATTGTCTGGCTTTGCCATTCTGACGTTTTGGGAAACTGAATTGCATGCTAAACAATATACTGCACATGAAATACAAAGTTTTTAAAATCGTCGTAAGCCAATATTCATCCGTGCTCAGCTTGTTATCTATTATATGAATACTAAACATCTCTAGCAGGTCTTTGGTTATCTACATCCGTAACCTCTTATACATGCTAAGCAGACGACCACGATGATCGGGCGAACGGATGGTCCGATTTTGACGCGGTAAAGTGCGCCGGAATCGTCGCAACGTCGCGAGTGACATAGGAACACTGCGAATATTGTGCGCCTCAAGAGGGCAAGACAGCCCCCAAAAAAACGACTTGCTGCTATGGGCCTCCATAGACATACATGAGCTAACGCAGAGCGACAAAGACAAATCGCGCCTTTCGGCCTCGCTTCGCTAACAATTCATGCAAAAATTGTAAATGCGCAACAAAATACCATTATGAACCTGGCGTTTCAAAATACCTAATCATCTCAGGTTCTGTTAACTAAGCTTTCTTAGATGTCTTCGGATTCTTAGGTTTCTTAGGTTTCTTAGGTTTCTTAGGTTTCTTAGGTTTCTTAGGTTTCTTAGGTTTCTTAGGTTTCTTAGGTTTCTTAGGTTTCTTAGGTTTCTTAGGTTTCTTTGTTTTCTTGGGCTTCTTAGTTCTCGTAGGTTTCTTATGTTTCTGAGAATTCTTAAAATTTTCTTATGTTACTTAGGTTTCCTCAGATTTGTTATACTTTCAGTTTTCTTGAGCGGCCGGAATTAAGGTAGGGCGAAAGTTTGAAACTAAGAAGCGGCACAAAAGTCATGTACGGATGTAGATCCCGTAAACTGGTTATATGAATACTAAACATCTCTTGCAGCCCTTCGGCCTCTCCTGATTGTAACGCATGATCTCCGCTTCTACTCAATCGATTTTTCTGCTTCAAATTGCACACGAATCCTCCCAGTTTGGGGAGTGTTCTTAGACTCTTGACCTTTCGCCATCGCGATCGCGGTAGGCCCCGTGGTCACTGAAAAGCTTGTTACCATGGATGCCATAGGGTTAAGATGGGCAGCTCTAGTGCCACGAGCATGATAAGTCTGATCAAGAAAAATTTTCGGCTTCGCCTCTGCGTTTCTTGTGCTCCCCTGACTGAGTGAACACTTAACAAATCACTTCGCCCACTGATAAGACACTACAGTAGCTTCTCAGATTCAGTCGGATTCAGTAGAAGAAGCAGAAACTTAGCAGCTGAGCCATGAACCAAAAAACTTTAGGGGCAAAAGGTCATTACTCCACGATTCTCACCGCAGGCAACCATTCTGAATAAGTAGCTATACGGCCTTGCCATTCTGACTATGCAACACAGTCAACACATGCAGATGCGACGTGATTTTAAATAGTCGTAAGCCAATATTCATCCATGCTCATCTTGTTTTGTTACATATTATGCTGCTAGCCTCCTAAGGTAAGTAATCAAGCGAGCGAGCGAAGCGAGCGAGCGTTTTTAATCTGCGGTGCGACATGCGGAGAGCTGGGTCCCGGGGTCCAGGGGCCAAGCCCCTGGCCGGGGTTGGGGCGGAGCCCCATTAAGCAAGGGTGCAGGGGCGCAGCCCGCTGAATTGAGAAGGTAGTCCAAAAATCGAAAAACTAACCGGGTTATTTTGACGGACCTGGTGCAGTAAATGCAAGGAGATCGTAAATTTGGACCCGGTACACTCATACAGACCGGCCCGGGTGGAGCGTTTTTGGGGAACCGACATGCGGGGAACCACCAGGGCATTTTCACGAACCCGCCATACATCTAGTATGGACGGCCCGTTTTGGACCCGGTCCGGGAATTTTGCCCGCCCGGTTGATGCGTTTTGGGAACCGACATGCGGGGAACCACCGGGGCATTTTCACGAACCCGCCATACATATAGTATGGACGGCCCGTTTTTGGACCCGGTCCGGGAATTTTGCCCGCCCGGTTAATGCGTTTTGAGGAACCGACACGCGGGAACCACCGGGGCATTTTCACGAACCCGCCATACATATAGTATGGACGGCCCGTTTTGGACCCGGTCCGGGAATTTTGCCCGCCCGGTTCATGCGTTTTTGGGGAACCGACATGCGGGGAACCACCGGGGCATTTTTCACGAACCCGCCATACAAACAGTATGGAGGGTCCGTTTTTTAGATCCCGGTCCGGGAATTTTGCCCGCCCGGTTGATGCGTTTTTGGGGAACCGACATGCGGGGAACCACCGGGGCATTTTTCACGAACCCGCCATACATATAGTATGGACGGCCCGTTTTTTTGGACCCGGTCCGGGAATTTTGCCCGCCCGGTTGATGCGTTTTTGGGGAACCGACATGCGGTGAACCACCGGGGCATTTTTCACGAACCCGCCATACGTTTAGTATGGAGGATCCGTTTTTTAGATTCCGGTCCGGTAATTTTGCCCGCCCGGTTGGTTCGTTTTTGAAAAACCGACATGCGGGGAACCACCGGGGCATTTTTCACGACCCCCCCTACATATAGTAAGGAGGGTCCGTTTTTTAGATCCCGGTCCGGGAATTTTGTCCGCCCGGTTGGTTCGTTTTTGAAAAACCGACATGCGGGGAACCACCGGGGCATTTTTCACGAACCCGCCATACATATAGTATGGAGGGTCCGTTTGTTAGATCCCGGTCCGGGAATTTTGCCCGCCCTGGGTGGATCGTTTTTGAGGAACTGACATGCGGGGAACCACCGGGGCATTTTTCACGAACCCGCCATACAAACAGTATGGAGGGTCCGTTTTTTAGATCCCGGTCCGGGAATTTTGCCGCCCTGGGTGGATCGTTTTTGAGGAACCGACATGCGGGGAACCACCGGGGCATTTTTCACAAACCCGCCATACAAACAGCGAAATTTTGTAACATGATTCACAAATTATAAGGCTTTGTTTGAGCAAATGTTGGAAATACTCAAAGGTCTTCAACCAGTATATAACTTTGTAGACCAGTTGAGTTCGGTCATTCAAGCCAAACGTCACCTTAAGGTCATAACGGGTAGCATTACCTTGAAAGAATGACGTAGCAAACCATGCTAATCGAAGTCAGGAACCGGTACTATCGTTAGCAATTTCACCTACATTTGCACTTACTTTACAGGATCAACTGAGCCGCTTTCATTTTGCAATGACTCATGGTAACGCGTTACTAGCTTTCACTACTCTAGTTAAGCGTCACCAATAATAAATATTACGCTACCATAACTATAACATGTTACCGTAACCGTCTCTGTTTCTGTCACGGTAAGGGTTACCGTAACTATTGTTAAGGGATTGCCGTCACCCTTGCTGTTGAAACTGAAAACGTTGCCATAGGCAACGCCGAGCTGACAAGCAAGCGCAGCGTGGCAAACCGGAGCAACAAATAAAACAAAGGGTTCGGTTTTCTTTTCCAAAAATAATTTTTTAAGGTGTAGTTCAAACTTTCCATTACGGCGATGAGCAGAAGCGAAAAGCGCGCAGCAACAAGAAAATAAACTCAGATTTCGATTTTTTTTTTCAAAAAAAATTTTTTTACGGTGTAGTTCAAACTTTCCATTATCGCGACGATACAGAAGCGAATAACCGTTTCTACAGAATTCGAAGGCGGAGCCGAAGGCGACGCCGAGCTGCGCGTGAGCAAGCGCAGCGTAGCGAGCGGAGCAACAAATAAACCAAAGAGTCCGATTTTTCTTTTTTCCAAAAAAAAATTTTAACGGTGTAGTTCAAAACGTTCCATTATCGCGATGCTACAGAAGCGAATAACCGTTTCTTCGGAAATCGAAGGCGAAGACCGAAGGCGACGCTAAAAGTGCGGTGAAAGCGCAGCGCAGCGAGCGGAGCAAAAAGTAAAACCGAAGATTTATTTAATCATTATTATATCTTTTTCGGAAATGGTTTTGTTAACGGTTCAATTTAAACGTTCACTTTTCGTGATGATACTGTACAGTAGCGAGTAACTGTTTTTAGGGAAATCGAAAGCGGAGCCGAAGCGACTCTGAGCTGCGGCGAGAGTAAGCGCAGCGAAGCGAGCAAAGCAGCAAGTAGAACGGAACGACTTTCTTTCAGCCTTTGTTTTAAAAAAGATTAAACAGAATTTAAAAGATAACTCTATCGAAGTTCAAATTTGAATTCTTGTAAATAAATTGCGAATTTTTTGAGAAATGATCAACGTTTCTTATTTTGAGCTACACCATTAGTTTTCGACTTCTAAGATGAGCTCATTTACAGTTTCATCTCAATTTAATTTGAAAAATAATAAGATAGACCTAATTGATAAACATTTCTGTTTCTTAACGGGGAAAAATAATAGAGATCCATGCCAAGGGTTATGATTACAGAAAGCGGTATTCATGAAGGTGAATTTCGGCGTGTTGCTTTACAAGCCGCACTTAATAGTCACTTTTCACGGAAACAGAAAATTTGATAAAACTTTCTTTCCTGGATTATTACCACAAGCACTGAATGAAGTACTGAAACGATAAATCGTTTTCGCAGCAAATTAGGAAAATTATTGAACACTGAAATTTGAAATCTCCGCCGGTGTGTTTCAGAACCAGTGCGGTTCCACCGGCATTAGCGTTTCCTTTTGTAAATCGTTGTGCAGATGCATCCGCAGCCAAAAAGGGCTCTAAATTGCGGATGCATTTAAAAAATATCTCCAGTAAGTAATTCATCGTTTTTGTCTTCGCAAGCGGTTGCTTTCAGATTTCAGTCGTGAAAACGATTGATCTGAACTGACGATGGCCGGGATTGGGGTTCTTAAACGGGCTTGAACACTTCCCAACCAATATAAACGGACAAGCTGAGCGTAGCCACTGAATTGGCTCTGGCGGTTAACTGTATAAGTCTTATCGGTTTTTGGGAATAAAATATCGGTACTGGAAATGAGAAACTGAAGAAATGAGATCAGTATCCCAATGTAAAGGATTTAGTGCGGCGGAGAACAAGCGGAATGGTGGGCAATGTGCGGTAAAGCATTAGCAGTGCCCGCGCCGTAGTTGCTGAAGGAATCGTTTTAAAATTAATATACCGTATCGGCTCGATTCCGTAAAGCGTCATAAAAATGATAGTATCGCGTCGGCATCGCAGCGGTGGCAAAAACAAGCGGGCCCTTTCATAAGTTTTAGTCTTTGCTGCACGGTTTTGAACTAAATCAAATTTACTTTTTCGAATCCATAAAATCTACTTCTCTACTCTGTCTGCTGTGCAGGCATCTGCTCCCCAATTCTTGAAACGAATTCAGAGAAAAATGACGCGGTAAAGAGGAGATCAACCCATAAAAATTCTGTTTCTCTTCTTTTTATGCTTTTTGCTCTTAGACATCTCATATTGCATTTAAAGTGAAAATTATTTTGAACTAGTAGAAGGTTAGGCTATGTTGATAAAATGGCTGCGTCAAGATATCCTTGCGTGATGTTGCAAAACAAATGAGCGATAGGACGAAAAGTGTAGGTGCGTGCTATCTTGGGGTTGCCCCGTGCGGAGGCTATACCGTGTCAAAGTCAATCTTCTCCAAGCTTATCTGCGAGGAGCTGCAGCGATTCCTCGAAACCATTGCTTCCTAAATGTTTAATCCCTCTACTATTGCTTTCATGGTTCAACGAGATTATTATTGTTCGTGGCTGTTTTAGAAGAGACGTTGTCTAGATGTAAACATTAAAGTATGGTTCCTCAATTCCCTGGTCTACGTCACAGAAGATTGCCCAGCTCGAAATAGCTTAACCAGTCCACAAACGTTAGAACGTGATGGCAATGAATCAAGGAAAAGAATAAATAATTCGCCAAGAAATAAAACTCCAGTGTTCTTTTTTAGCAATTTCTTGAAATATGTAAGGAAAATCCGCGGTCGGTAAAATGTTAACTCATTATTGACGCGAGGCATTTTGAGCCTGGGTGCCTTTGCACGAACGGATGCCAGTCGCCAGCCGTGGGAGGTATCACCTCGGCCAATGCCCTATGATCTAGTTATGAATGCTATAGTTTTTGAAAAATCAGATCATAATTTTATTAATTTTGGTTCGTATCAAAGGCGAAAACTTATGAAAGGGCCCTCGTAACTCAGCATATGCAAAAGATACAGAAAGCTAGGTAGACTCTTAACTACTTGGTTAGGTTGCTGTCTCACGGGCCCGCCACAAGGTTTTGGAAGGGGGCGCAAGTGCGCCGGGGGCGGTCTGCCGGACTCAAAGTATGGCGAAAAGTAACACGTGACACGTCGGCCAGCCTCGGCCCGCCCCCTTTCAGTACTTTAAATGCGCCCCGGCGGTCAAAATCCGAAAAAGGGGCGCCCGCCAGTGCGCCCCCCCTTTCTGGCGGGCCTGTTGTCTCACCGTGCCAAGTTTTTTACAACAAAAAAACTTACATGCTCGCTCGCTTGCAATAAGGGCGGTTACGACCTTCTATACTAGTTATCTTTCTGATTTGCGAGTACCTGCTAAACCCGTAAGTACGAGTGTTGCAGAATCGGAGCAACTTCGGATGTGCACTAATCTGGGGTGTTTTTCTAGTGATCGATGCATCTGCTGGGCTGACATGGCTCGTCTCCTCCAAAATGATTACCAGCATTTTAACGAGTGGGTTTCGGATCACCTGGCTGAGAGGGGTTTCACAGGAACACTGCAAAAATTTCGAGGAGAGCTGAAAAATGACAAAATATCAAATGTACGTCGAATACTCAGCAGTCATTTATTTGAGTATATCTGCACAACGTTGCTGAATATTGTCAGATCGATGCAACGGTGGATTACATCAATCAGTGCATCTTGAATCTGCACATGCAGGAACTTGTACAGTTGTGGCAGGAGCTGGACAAAAGGTATGCTGTTCGTGCAAAGTTTAGGGCTTCTTCCTTTATTTGTTCGAGTATTCGGCAGTGTCATATTAAGCTGCCCAGAATAAAGTGATTTGTCATCATTCTCCAGGATCTTTTCCCGTTTACATTCGGAGCATGGCAAAGCCGCAGCCTCGTTGGAAACGAGAATGTTCAAATTTTTAATGGTTACGGCGGTAATGAGAAATCAGCCTAAGAAAGCTCAAGAAGCTTTGGAACATATGATGAATTCACCAAGAATGAGACAAGATCCCGATCTGCGAAACTGGTTCCGTAAGACTTTGAATTTAATTTTAATTGGATAACTTGCGCTAATAAGTGAAATAAAACAAAATCTGAGCTATGTGTGACATAGTGTACAGGTTCATTCCGTGCGGTGCATTATCTTGTTGTTAATTTTAGAAATCCCGTACATCAAACATCCAGAAAGTGATTCTCTTTGTGCCAAATATTGCACGAAATTCTGGCAGGAAACATTCACGATTTCTCTGTACAACTTCATCAGCTCCGCTTTCCAAACTGCTACGACGTCACTGCTAGCTCACAGTAATTCATAATTTTGTGTTTATTAATCTGACGTTATCTGAGCCACTTAGATTTCTTTGTCGGGTTTGCCGATTTTTCGAAATTATTGCCAGAGATGAAGACGTTTGCCCGGCAAGATACTCCTTCTGAGCACAAGTCTAATGAAAGAAAACTGCAGGGAGGATTTACTTTTGGACGTTCTGGGTAAGGTTACGTGTAGAGTACGAACTACGAAATATTGCTAGGTAAAAAAACACTATTACGATACAGCGCAGACAAAGGTTTCCTTTAGCCTTATGAATTTATTGCTAATTAAATATAAAAAAATGTTGAGCATAAAAAGTAGCCCGATATCCGCCAAAGCAACTAAATGCAGCGCTACAGACTAAAAAATTTATTTGTTTATTGCGACTGGCGTATATCTTACGCTACTGAGTACTGAGTTTTTCCAAGACATCTTAGCCGACGATACAAACGCCGTTCGCGGCCAGTATTAGACGAAATAGCCACAGACGACAGTTAAACGTTTTTTTGCCGAAATGGTTTTCTTGCTAATAATGGTTTGTTTGCATGAATTTATTGAGAACAGAATTTGTTGGTACGATGTTGAATTTTTTCGGGATTTGTTTATTTTCATAAAATAGTTATAAAACTGACAATATTTAATTTTTCAATTGCACTGGCCATAATAGATTGTGTTTCTTTCGAAAAGACCATCGTTCGCAACGTTGTCCAAAAGTGGTTCGCGGTCAGAACATCTTCGGAGTAAATTCAACAGAGCTATCGCCACCATGCAGTCCAGATCTCTGCCACAAGCGATCTTTACGGAACCCGTATCGGAAACACCGGAGCCCAATTCTGGCATGACATCTCCGGTTAACACAACAACGAGACCCCGGCAACACAGCAGCGCTTCCGAGTCCAGCGTCCCGATACCGGCACCAAAACCGACTCGTGTTGGCTCATCGCACAGCTTGTCAGAACCAACCGTCACTTCTCCCTCTAGACCAATTTCTTCAGCGGAAAAGGAACACGAAGTGAAGTGGATCAGTAATAACTTGCCCTTTCGCGAATCAGCTGAATATTTATTCCATATGGTCTGCAATGAAGATCTTGGTAGTCATGATGCGGCTGTTACTGACTGTATCTTTTCCCCATGCGCTACAAAAGTTGCCAGCGTGGATACTAAGGGATGTATGAAGGTGTGGAAAGGCATCCCGCCGGCAACGAAATTGTTGTCGACGTATCGTTCCAGTAGTACCATTACGTGTTTACGCTGGAGTTCGAAATCAGACGATTTAGTACGTACATAATCATGTTTTTCTTGATAGAGTGTATGGAGAAAACAAATCAGAATGTTGCAGATTGTTATTGGGGATTCGGCAGGAAACATTTCTTTGGTAGATGGTGGCAACGGAACCGTGGTAATGGAGGTCAATGTTGGTTCGGAAGTGACGGTACTGGCGACACATCCTTCTAGAGATGGCGGCTGTATCGCTTGCGGTACCAGTGGAAGTGCGGAGTCCCAGTGTAGGAAACTCTGGATGTTCTATGCAGAAAAACCATTCTTATGTGTGCTTTGTACTAAACTGAAATTACGAAGGAAGTATTCTTATATCTGTAGACGGAATTTTCGTGATTGATTTGGCAACATTCACCATACGAAATGAACTTCGCTACGCTTCCCACTTGACAGCTTGTAGTTTTCATCCAGAGAAGTCAGTATTGTTATGCGGCTTTAATACCGGAGAAATTTGTGAATATAGTAAGCGATTCTAAAGCGTTGCAGGAGTTTTTGTTGATTTGGTTAATAATACTACTAGTAACTTACTATACTAACCAAACGCTCTTTGTTATAGATATAAAGTTTCAAAAATTTGGAACGAAATTTATGGTCCATACCGCTACTGTGCAGCAGGTAGACTACTTGAAGGATGAGTCGTTTTGCTTATCAGTCGGAGATGATACCAAGGTAAATCAGGGCACGACAGCAATGACAAGGATGCCAATTTTTTGTGATGGCATTTTTCACTTTGATTGCAGTTAGTGATATCTTACCTGTCCTTCGGCTGCCGGAAGCTGGCAGAAATGGTTCTTAATTTACCTGAAAATGGAGTTCCGTATCCGTTCCGGCACGCGTTTGCTTCGAACTTTGACGGTTCATTCATTCTTGTACGGTGTCGAAATGGGGCCAAAGTATATAAGGTGCAAATTTTTAAATGAATTATCTCAGTATTTATATACAGATTTTTTAAAATTGTTACTGTTGCTTGCAATTTCAGATCAAAGGACGTATGAATTCTTTTTTGTATATTGAACGTCCGAATTCCTTGGCTACCAGTTTGGACTGGTGTACTTATCAGGATAAAAGCACGGGTATTATTGGATACAATGATGGAAGTATCCGATGGTTTCGGCTGTTGCATTTGGCATGAAGTGTTTAGTCGTAATTTTATGTTTGTGATAAATGTATTAAAGCGAGGAATCGCTGCACTCATGAATACGTTATTCAAATTTTTTACAAGCTGTATTTTTCTGATAAAATTATTCAGGCAGTCTGTGCAGCGGAAGCATTCTGCTTTATTCTGGTCTTCGAACTTTTTGATGTCGCGAAGAGAAGACGTGTATCCAATTGATACTGATTATTATGCACGAGATTGTCATAACTATAGTACTGTATTATGTACGAGTATGTAAGTATTGTACATTGTCATATTAACGAGATAACAATAAATAAACTTTTGTGATAAGTAGTGCTGTACTGGAAAACCCTGATTTATAAGTTTGTTTTTTTGAATTACCTGTTTTCGTCCAACTCCAATGGTTTTGACTCAGACAGTCAAAAACCAAGTGGGATGTTCGGAAAAGCGGAAACATGACTTATTTGTTTTGTTTTTTTTGTTTTCTTCTGCGGATTATTGCGTTCAGTACTTCTTGCCTCTTGGTGCGCACGAAGAAAGCAGTAATTTTGAAACCCCATCTACATATCTGATAGCTGCAAGGCGCAAGCGAAGCTACAGCCCTGCTATGCCAAGTTGGGACACTTTAGAAAACAAATTATTAAGATATTCTTTTTTGCCGTCTTCTGTCGCTCTTTGCACTTTTCTAGTATAACTTTTTGTTGTGCATCTGGCAATATCAAAATCAGAATCTTTTGGTACGTCGGTTGGGAAACAGGGCGAATTAAGGGCATGGGGTAGGGGTCATCATCGGACCGCTTATACCGGCAATTCTTGTAAAATCCCCAGGCAATGTTTTTGCGTGAACTTTTTTTAAATATTTTCAGTGACCGACAAGGTGCCTAGGACGGGTTAACAAAAGAGTCTTACGCGATTAGTGCGCTAGGTTAGCGCGAATAAAGATATATCACCCATAGACTTGTATGTTAAAAGGTACCTCCCGAAGAATGTGGTTGCCTAGCGCGCTGATCTCACTTTAGGGAAGAAGTGAAAGCTTAAACAGATGTTAGGAAGGGACCATTAGTAAATCGCAATATCACTTGGATTTTTTCAATTTTCCAGAATTTTTAAACTTCTGTTGATTACACATGGTGATCTTTTAGTAAGCAGTGCGCTTTTTTGGAAAAAAGTGAAATGCACCCGTTTTCGGCGTTGTAGCTTTTTAAATAAAAACATAATTTAATAAGTTGCTATTGATCAAAGTCATAGTCAAACTCAATCATAAAAAAATTATGGAAGACTTTTATACATCAACAGTCGTACAGGAGAAATTTTTGTTACTGTCCCAACTTGGCGTAGCAGGGCTGTAGATAAAATTAATATTTAAATCCAAAGAAAATTGCTACAGCGGTGCATCGTACATAGTACACTCCTACCGCAAAGTTGATTGACAAAATTATTAATAAACCGTAGCGGCTATATATACCCGCGCGGGTATAGCTCGCGCTGTATGCCTACTGCGGCCCTACTCCTACTGACAGCGGTGCATCCTAGACTTATTCCTACGTCTCCTACTGTACGTAGGAATACAGACGAATACTGTACTGTACATAGGAATATCATTGCTGTACTTATTATTATTCTTTCCCACCGTACATAGGACTTACCATTAGGAGTACTGTATTTGGCCAGTGCTACTCTAATTGAACAGTACATATTTTAATTAATTTTAATTAATACAGTATAAAATGTACTAGCGGTGGTTGATAGCCGCATCGGTGCACCGAGCGAGCGCCAATACCACTGCAAAAATAATGGCATTGATTTGGTGAACTGGAAAAGCACGTACTCAGACTCACTAGTACGTACTGTATTAAACTCATCGATCTGTTGTACGACGCGGTCGACGTACTGTTAACCATAAACACAGTGCAGATGGTGAATACTGCACTCGTACTCGTACTGAAAGTGGTACAATACAATAAAACACGCGAAAGCACGAAACCGGTCTTATGGTTAGCTTGAAAGCAGTCAAACATGCAGCCTGAGCCTGTATTACACTCCTGAAGTGAACCAAAGCATTCAGCTGCCTGCGTGACAGCAGATTTTGTCATTTTGTTGAGCTCGTGCACCATGGACTATTGTATGCAGTAAATATTACTTTACTGTAAAATTTGGAATAATGGATCCAGTTGGTAAATTTTTCATGTTTGTTTTGTGCGTACAAGATTTCGATAATTGACATGTAGTATATGCTGTGGTATGATTGTTATCGGGTGGGATTACGAATTATGCTGCATATCATTATCACTTTCCTTGGGAGGACTAACGGTTCTGCTGGGATAATAATAATATTATGATCACATCGTTCTGAAGCGTTGTGCAATGTTCGGATTTTAAACGGAATACTCATTTATATCTGAAAATCGGCACCTGGTTTATTAATCTTTTATTTTTCCTCGCATCACTGCTTGAACTTCTGATTATAACTTAAGCACGGTAAGGCCTGAAGATGGAAATGTGATTAGTAGGAGTACAAAACATAAAATTAATCATTAATGTTATATACGTTTACTGGTTTACACAGTGATACAGGCTATCATCATACATTCTAAATTAATTTACAGATAATTTGCACAAATTTAGGTTAAGCTTACGTTCGGGCTAAAATTACGGCACACAAAAACCATGAAACAAGCAAAAAACCGTCCCGGTAAATTTATAGAGGTTATAACTTACTCTCAGTCTCCCATATTACCATATTGTATAGATATGTATATTTATCTCTGAGACTCTGAATCTGTGGTATTTTACATTTACTGTAACCGTCTAACGTCATCAAGATATCTATCGGTACAGACCAACCCTGCCAATAATTATTATCAAACGCCAGTGGATATTGTAGTATCTTGTCTTTGTTTCATTACATATGTATTTCAGATATTAGCAAATTATTACAATATTACTGGAAAAAATAACTGAACAAAAGGAATGTGCCAGTTAGTATTTTTATTTTCTTGTTTGCATGTGATTTGCATTTCATAATATTGCTATCAGACCGTCATGTTAATTTCATTATCATCTTCGTTTCTCTTTTAGTAAATAGGACGTTAATCGGAAAGTGGCGCCGAGAAGCTAGCTACGGTTTTCGCGGCGTTTATTTAAAAGAACGCAAGACAATAGCAGAATAGCTTAACAAGGAGACAAATCACAAGTGCCTTTGCATTGTCAAACGATGGGTATGTTTTGGCTTGGGTGTTGGCATGGGCGCTTCGATGTGGTCGGATGCACTGAATCCGAAAATAAACATGGAATGATTTGGTGTATAAATTATGGTTAAACCTTTCCTTGTCCTTTCTCGATAATATATTAAGCTGTAAGCACCGAAAATTTCTCTCTTGAAAACTCAGCGACTCACTGTAAGATTAATGCACCGTTATAGCTATTAAGAATTAAACCATTAAAAGTTAAGCAAATCCGGATTGAAGTGTGGCTACGGTAATAATGGTGCAGTTGGTTATTTTTCAATAATTGCAGTTCTTAGTAATGTATAAGCGACTGACTCACGACAAGAGAAACGTTATACGCGCATATACGCCTGTACAGTGGTACACCAAAATAATCAGGAAAAAAACTTGTCTAGATTTAGGTAAGAATAGATCAAGTTGCCGCCTGAAGATTTAGTAATGATGAATGAGGTGACATCTGCAAAACGCATTGGTTCAGCGAAAACTGCATTAAACTTAAGTTTGTTCTGGGCCAACATTTCAGTTGCAGGCGCGTAGCTATAAATTGGCAGTAAAGAAACTACACAATCTGTATGCGCGTATGCGTTATGACATTGAGATTCGCATTACCATATTTGCAATTGCAGCTTCCGCGAAACTACTCTTGCCGTAGATGGTGAAATTGCAGCATACTGCGTAGTAGATGGTAAAAGCAGCGTAGAATTTATGAGGAAAATTTTGGATAATTAAATAATTACAGTATCGTTATTATTATTGAAGTCGACGTCGGGTTTTCTTGCAACTGTGTCCTTGAAATATTAATTCTCGTATTTTCTGAACGCTTTAGATTTCAGTCAGCAAACTCTCTGAAGTTATTATTTTTTGTGGTTCCGGATAAGTGTGCTTTTTTCGACACATTGCCATGTAAACCGTACGTGCAGTTGGTGTTAACTGAAATCTATGGGCGTTTCTCGTGTAGGAAGACGAGTGAGTGCCTTTATATCCACTTTGAAAAAATTCCAGTTTGACGTTGTATGGTTATCCTGGCCGACATGCTCGGTATCCGATAGATGTTGTACAAATATGCACGATGTTCCATAGCTGCAACTCTTTTGCCCATGATGGAAAGTGGAACGAAGAGGGAATGATAAAACGGTCAAACGCGTCTTCATCGCAATTGCCCAGCTTTGAATCGCTCTCTCCTGTAGTCCTACGCTCTTTGTCGTCTGTAAATGTGTGGGGTATGCGTTGCGCGTGTGTACTGTAGTAACTGTACTGCAATAAATGCTGCACTTCTGTACATACTGTAATAAGTGGCAAATACTATAATTCGATTAATTTTAGTATTTATAGTTACTAAAGTTGAAACACTTTATTAGCATGCATGGACAAAACCATACTTGGTTGATTTGTGAGAAAAAAATTTCACGAGCTGATTTTTCTCTTGTTGAATTATAAAGTGCTAAAAACCACCTTGTTGCTTAATTTTTCGCAGAAGGTTGTATTTTTTGAAATAATTTAAAGAAGATTCCTCGTGATTTGGGCATAATTATAACTTAGCCGACTTAGGTGTTTAAAACGATTACTGGACATGGAATCGTATTTCGAGGCATCATGCTTAAAGCTTTATAATACCATTGGGCAGTGTATAAGTAATGTTATGGATGGTGTTGACTGTTTACAGAGGGAGAACGTTATTTGGTCTGGTTTGGTATGAACAACAATTTCAACAATCATCGTTTTCAGTGGTCTTATAGGTTGTTCCGTTGCGCCGGCATTTCTGCGAGCTAGTAACAAAGAACTGAGAGTTTAATTATGTGTGACACTTTACCAGGTAAACTACATTCTGTATGCAAAGATAACAAATGCAGTCGGTAATTGGAGCCGCGGGGAGAAAAAGATGGTCTTACTGATGGCTGATAGCCTGATAGATGCTACGTATGGTCGGTACCGTACTCGTATAGATTATTGGAGAGAACGAAAGTGCCATACAGCTGACATCGCTACAGTCGGGATATTGTTTTTGTAATTGTGGGTAATACAAATATATTTAAAATTTAGTTTATTGCGCTCATTACGGTCGAAGTTGGAATTTAACTTATTTAAGCACAACGAGTGTGCAAGTGTACGGTTATTGGTTATTCGATTTTATGGATTTTGACAATACAAATGAAATAAATACTCGGAAACAAGATTTCACTATTAATTTCAACAATAATTTTTCGTTTTTATGCCGCAGAAGGTGCCGATTGATATAATTATTGCTGTAAATTGCACCGCAACTATTGATAGGTTATTGGCAGTACTTTTGAAATGTCACAATATATCCGAATTTGACTAAAAAATATGATTGTGTAGTGTAAGGTGGACATACAAGACTGTCTATTACTAGTACATAGCAGATCGTAGCTGGTGAGATGGGAAGACTTGCAGTTCTTATTTAGCTGCTGATCGGTGGGTGCATAGAACTGCAGGTCTCGAGCAGTCATAGGCATCGTATCGAAGTCGCAGAGAGAAAAGCTTGCGAATAGATCAAGTTTCCGTCCGCGAATAAATTATTACTGCCTAATATTAATGGGCTGGCAGTGAAGCACTGAACTGTGCCAGCTTGGTAGTTACTAGTTACAGACCTAGAAACGAATCAAGCAAAACGTGTAATAATTATACAGGCTGCTTAGTACTGAAATGTCGATCTTTTTCTGGGATCTATTTAATTCATTTCTGAAATAAAGAAATATTACGATTTTAAAATTTCGTTTGTTTCGTTTTTTTCTTTTGAAAATAATACTGAGTTACTGGGTTTATATTACTGATTTCTTGTCAAAATATTTTTTTATGGTACATATACATGATTTTAGTTAGGTATATTTTTGCCAGTTTGCAGATACAGTATGCAAAGTGTAGTTCTCGGCGACGATATTAATTACGTCGTTTAAGGATGGTTACCCTTACTTACTATTTTGCTTTTGTGTTTTGCTGTCTACTTACTTTTTACTAAATTAGTAAAACAAAAACGGCTTACTAACCAGTAATTGAGTAACCAGGGTTTTATTTTTATTTAGTTTTACTTTATTGTTACCTGAGTAAAACAACACTAGTTTTATGGCAGCTGAAAAATTTTGACGTTTCAGATGACGCCATAAAAAGGTGAGTGTTTCTCCTTATTATAGTTGTTCTCGGTTAAAACAAAGACCAGCGACATTAATTAAACAATTGTTTGGTACTCTTAACTCGCAGTCATGGTTTGATGCTTCAATCACTTTAACTAACAAGTAAACTATGCATAATCATGACTAAATTTTACTAAACTATTGATGATTAATCTGCGGCCAAGTACGATAACTATTGTTTTGTGGAGCATGATATGGAAACTTGTGATATGATATGACATGAGCATGATATAATTAAATTGTTGATTTAACTTAATATGTTAGTATAACGTACGGATGTATACTTCGTACTGCTAATAGCAAAGTCATCAGGAATCGCGTAATTTATTACTATTTTCTACATCTTTGCGTAGAAAAGCTAGAAAGTAAGTAATAAGTTTTCATTTAAATACGCATATGCTCATGTTGTGGTGTATTTGGCTGTCCTCAGCGTCCTGTGCGACATGAGATTAATTGATTATTAGTCACAAATTTTTGCTTAGTATAGTGGCTATAGTCGTTAAAAACTGCTGACAATATAAATTCTGTACTCGTATTCGTAGCCGAGGAGAAGAGTAACTAGCACTGGGGCCTGCAGAAAGGAGAAGAACTATGATCTCTTCGAAAAATGAAAGAGTTCGATATACAGAGTGCAGTAATTTAGACGAAGAGAGAGAGGCAGTCATTCTGGTCAGGCAGCGGAACATCAAACAGTTGTCGATCGGCTTTGTTTCTACCAACCACTCTGGATGAAGTTCACGCGGATACTGTACAACAGTACAGTGTACACTCGATACTTGATGATCGCCTCCGATGTCGCAATTTATACACGTAATAATTTTTAACGTAGATGTACAGTGTACAGCCAAAGTAACGTACTGTAGTAATTACTATAATTGTTATAGTAGCGGTCTGATGTCTAATTAATCGTAAATAACTTGATATATGCACTAGAAAGTGCAGAAACGTTAATTGAGAATTGTTTTTTTGAAATTTTGCGTTTTATATGTAAATATGAAAACTATCTCAAATACTGCAGCGTTGGGGAGGGATCGACACAAACACCACAACCATGGTAAGGACTAAGGCAAATATCTGACGTGAGGACTGCCACGATGCCGCCAATGTCATTTAAATAATTATGTAGCCAGTAAAAAAATATTGCGTTTGTACAAAGGTTCGAAAAGGCAGCGTTCTATGGAAAAGACACTATAAAAAGTATAAACTACGTTTGCCGGCCTGCCGTGTACAGTACACTCCGTATTATTCGTTATCATGCATTATTTTGGTGAGGTAGCTTTGGTAGCGTTTGGTTGTATTAACCATAACATACCAAATCGCGAAGCGAAAAACCAAACCGAAAATTTTTCCGGCTGGATAATTCATTTTTGCCTTGTTGTGTGTGAATATTCCTTTGTACTGCGGTGCCATTGAAAATGAAAATTACAGAACAAAAGTGTTTACTGTTTAGGTTGGGTGTAAGCAGTCTAAACGCATAGACATTCGGTATCGATTTTAGAGCTTTTGAAGTTACCTAATTATTATTTATTGTTTTCGGAAGTTGCTTTTTTGTTATGGAATTCAAACGTTTGCAGGAATATACTGTATTAATCGTTTCTGCAGTTTTAGATCCTGCGTACCTCTAATTCTGCATCATTTGAGTTTACACCTTGAGAATGAGAAATTCCAGAGTTGTAACAGTTTCCCGTTATGGGGACTGATTTATACAGCTGTTGTAAAAATTTGTAATAAGTAATTCGTAATACTTTGTAAAATATTTTTCACAAAAGCATAATAATTAAATGGAATACCTAATTGCTATATATTAATTAACGATAGCGGATCTTGTCTGAAATTTGGTAATGATTTGGTAGCGTGGTCGGACACTCTTATTACTGTACCACAGTCGCTTTTACTATAATGATGAAAAGTTGTGTTAAATATAAAAATGAACGACTCACTCGTGAACACAGGCCACAGCAGCTTGACAGCAGTTTCGACTCATCCTCACATCAGAGCCTTTGTGAAAGTTCTCCTTACAAGCAGCTAGCCGCATATTTGGCTGCGTCTCATAATTTCTAAAAGTAAACCTCCATAGTATACTTAAATTATTCCTACGTAGAGTGTATTACAGTAGGTTTAGACTTCAGTTCTTAACAGACGAGTTTCGCAAGTCATGAACTTATTCATTTTTTGAAAACGAGAGCAGTATCGATTATTTGACCGCTGGATTCGTATAATTTATCGATTGATATTTCTGCTGCCGCCTCTCTAGAGTAAAATTCTAATTGCTTTGGTTTTATTCCGATAACGATTCTCTTTTAATTACCAACATGGCCCGGCTTGGAACCACTAACGCTTCAGAAAGGGCACTTCTATTGCTGGTATATTCCTATCATGTATGTACAGGGTTGTTATGTCGGTATCTCCTTTTAGGACTGAACAAATGCGTAGGAGGGATTTTCATTAATTAATTCTAATTGTAAATACTATAGATATAATGCAGCTCGTTAAATAAAACGTTGCTTACGATATTTTTATTTATAGCACAGTGTAATAATGAGATTTCTGGGAGTAAGTAAGTGAGTATGCTGGACACATTCATGTGACTTTTCTGTCTCGTTTTTTCACTCTAATTGATTATCCCAGCGAGTTGCTTATTGTGGGTGAGTGTGAGTAGTTGTTAACGAAATGTCTGTTGTTGTCTGCAGATTAGATGTGCTTATGGAGAAGATATGTAGCAAGCTGAATTGATGCGTTCAAGTGGAGAATTCATAAGTGTTCAAAGTAAGGAGTTGGTACTGCAGCATAAAAAAGCCGAAGCAGCAGTTTTTCCGCAAGCCAGTGTTGGTGTCACGCTCGAGGCTACATGCTTCGTGGAAAACAACATGAAAGAGACCCAGTCTGTGCTGACAACAACATTAGCGTCACCAATTTCCACTATTCTATCCGTAACCAGTGAATGCAATGCAGCCGCAGCAGCAGCGAACGGTACTCTCAATATTCCTCTTGCAATCAATACATCGACTGGCCAAACCCTGTTACCGCCGGTTACCAACATCACTCCAAGTGCAGCGTTAAACAACATAAATATTAATAATTTATCCTCCGTTCCCAGCCATCACGCCGGCACAGGCAGCAGTCGCCTATTAGGCAGCGGCACGGTGGAAAAAAATTGCTCCGATTCCAACGGCAGCGAACGAGAGAGTCCTAATAGCAGTTTCCTTATCGATGTTGACAGCGATGAATCTAAACTGTCGCCAACGGGAAGCATGCCAGTGTCTTTGCTTGATCCAAATAACAAGCTCGTCCAGCCTAGTTCCGCCGTTGCACCGGCCTTATCACTGTCCAATCTCAGGCGTCAGGACGAACGGCTAAAACTGAAGATAAAAAATCCCCGCAGTAAGCCCAATGGGCGGAGTCAACCGCTGCCCCCACCGGAAGGAGGCGGAACAGGGGCTGCCAGCCCTAACAGCCTCAGCGAAGCAACGACGAAGGTTAGCAGTATTGCAAACGGATTGACGAATGGAACGGGTGGGCTGCATATTAATAACAGCACTGAGCAGAGCGTGCACGATGCCAACCAAAATCTAACGGACAAAGGGAAAAAAAGCCGGAAACGCCCCTACGAGAAGAAAGAAAAAGCACCACGGAAACCTGCTTCAGCTAAGGGCAAAGGCGGCAAAGCAAAAACAGCTGCCACTACTGCTGCACTTAACGGCAATGAACTGGATTTGGAGCCACCGGCTAAAAAAAGCAAAGTAAGTGTGTGTATGTGTGGGTAGACGTGAACATCTTGACTGGGGGCCTGTTTTGATTATTATGATTGATTAGAAAGGCCAATATCGTAATTATTGAGAGATATGCGGTAGATAGCATTATTGCCACTCGAGGTTAGCCAGCAAGCGGTGTGGTACTGGAACGCATAAAAACATTAGGTAGTTAGCGATTGCTAATGACAGTAATAACAGAATTATTGGATATCGGAGATTTCTTTCATGGATTTTTGTAAGCCTATTCATTTCCTCGGTCGAAAATATTGCAGTTTAGTTATAAATTGCCAAGCGTCAGAAACCTTGCTTGAAATTTTGTTACACTTGATCTTTTAGTCGCAGTTACTAGTACCAGTATCTGCATTGACTTCCAAGCAGTGTATGATTTTTCAGACTGGTTAATAACAACAAAAAAAGTAGACTAGGTTTTATGTGAAAAAATGTTTTGAAAGATATATGACGAGATGTTCGTTTAAAGCGAAAAGTCTGTGACTAGGTAACTGTTCTTTTGTTGTTCACGTTTGCTGTGTTTCGGAGCAGTGGAACTGAGTGGATACTCGTATGGCATCTAAAATGCTACAATGTCGTAAGATGCATTTCTTGGACTAACTTGTAAAGCATGTTGTAAAGTTGTAAACGCTCAGCGCTGGGGTTTCTTCACTATTTTTTATGTTGTTACGAGTAGTTGTTGATTATTTGCGAGCTATAGAAAGTAGTGTTTTGGCAGTATACAAATACAGATACCGGTACATATACAAAAATCTAGGATCTACTTTTAAGTTATGAGGACAAGATATGAAATAAGTCTGCTGTAATAGCATTAGATGAAATCATACTCACATCTCTGCACGGTATTTTGTTGACTAAAGGCAACGTTTTCCCAGTTTAGTATTATATTTGCCCGCATGTTGTAATCGAATTGGAGCTGGTCTTGTCTCTCAAGAGTACATACCGGTATAAAGATCGCAGGAACGGTAACTGTTATAAGGCAAATATGTTTTAAACGGTTGATAAGATTGCCCGGGTTGATACGGCATGTTCCTTTGGCCGCCTGTTCGTAGTCAGCTAAAATTGTGAAACTAATTCGCAACGAAAGAAATTAAAAGGTATCGGCACGATATACTGGGTATCGGTGACGCTGTAGTGTAATAGATTAATTTAAAGTAAATAATATCATGGTCGTACTGGATTATTACCATACCACTTGCAACTGAAGTATTTGCCATTATATGGAACTATACTTTTATAAATACTGTCAGTTAATGTTTGAATTTCAGGTTTAGTAATAATGTGGGGTAATGCGATGAGCGTTTGGGCACTATACCGTCTCACATTAGTCGGGTTAATCCTGCCCATATGTCTTAGCTATGATTGCCCACCAAATTACCGATGGTTATTAGTATTTACGAGTTATGTTGGCGGCAGAAGCGGGTTTTGACTATAAACTTGAAACTTGCCGAAATTCAAGGGAAATCTTACACGCTTGTGCAACAACGAAGGTGGCTTGTACCAAATAACATTTTTTTCCTGAATTGAATTTCTTGTTTAAGTATTGATTGTTGTTGTGCAGACGGACCGGCACAGCAGTGGCAGCCAGGATGCTGGTACGGGAACATGCTCTGTGTCAACATTCACGGAGCCCGACTTGATTGGACCACTGGAGCCCGGCACACCAGTGACCCTGGAGGGCATCGTATGGCACGAAAGTGTCACAAAAGGTAATAAGCCTTTTTAATTTTCCTCCCCTTTTAATGCCTGTTTATTTGATCAACATTTTGCGATCATGTTCCATTGCACACAGGGTTTGTCGTGGTGAACATTACCTGGAGAGGTAAAACGTACATGGGCACCTTGATGGATTACGCTCAGCTTGAGTGGGCACCACCGAGGTAAATACTCGTAAGTCGTAACATATTCCAGACTGATACGATTTGTTGCTCTGTAGTTTGTACTTCGGTAGGCGAGCGTTGGATGTCTTTAGCTAGAACAGAGCGATTGTTTATTTTCAAGTTGATTTATATACAGATCGTTAAAGTGAACACAATAACAGTATATTGACGAAGCGTAAATATACATTACGCACTGCGCAGTTCATCGGAATATTTTTTCAGTTTAGGCGGCTTCGTTCTAAATTAGTATTTTTGTCGATTGTTTTTCCGATCAACGAAGCGATCCAGCCCGGCGTATCATGTGTTGTTAATGCTGCGGCTCAAAGGGGTTTGTCAGCAGCACTAATAGCCATTGTGCTGTTTGTACTGGATTGTGTGCTTGTTTGTTTTGGCGTCAGCGTTTCCGTGTTGACACTGCCGGCACAGTGAGAGAGAATCTCGTGCCGGCATTCAATCATCTTCGCACGCATGTTTATCTGCTCCATAAACAGCTGAAAACAAATATGTATTTTTTTCATAGACACTGTGATTCCCCGCCCAGTGATATTGACAGTACCCGCTCCCCTGCTAAAGATAAGACCGTGAAGCGTAGCCGGAATGGAGTATTGGGATTGACCGAGGGGGATTTGACGTCGCAACTGCGTGGGGGAAAAACCCGACGTGGAGCGAATTTCCAGACCCCAGCTAGTCCAGCGCGCTCGGATGCTAGCAGCGGTAAACGAAAGGGCCGCGTACCAAATACGACGAAGTCTTCCACTGCACCAGACAACAATGCCCCGTCGGATTTGTTGCCGTGCGTTACTGATGAAGGAAAAGCCAAACGAGGTCGAAGGGCTGCCAGTGGCCCCTCCACACCGTCTTCCGAGCAGCCCACTCCGTCCAGTGCATCCCCACCGCTCTTGGAATGTCCGGAGGCTAACTGCAGTAAAAAGTTCCCAAACCTTAACGCACTACGCTTTCATCAGCAGGATCAGCACAGCCGACTTGTTGAAGACGACAGGAGCTGTGATTCGCAACCGGAAACACGCTGCAGCAGTGAGAGTGCCAATGCTCCCTCTCATGCTGTGCCGCTGACGACGGAGAGCAGTAACAGCTCGCTGTTTTCGAAATCCGATATGGACAGCCTTACTGCCATGCAACTGCAGCTTGTCAGTGCCACGACACATCAGCCGGCCAAACCTGGTTAGTTATTGAATTGTCTTTTTGCCTCATAGACAGTTAATGACACTTGCCGACTATGCGCCGTGTCAAGCTTAGACAGTCAATTAATCTGTTGTGTGCTGTTGGAAAACGTTGCTAAAGGCCAAATACATACGTGTACTTGAACATACTTGGACAATTTAAATACCGCGCTGATCGGGCGCTACGTGTGCCGAAGGGGTTTAAAGGTTATTATGGACTTTGTTTGGTATGATCCGTTACAAGTTTAGCGTAATTTGAAATGCGTTGTGGCTATTAATCAGGTTCTCAGTCAAGCGCACCACCAAAGATAACCTAAAATCATTCAAACGAGCTCGAGCGTATTGGGAAGAGATTTGATCGTTTTCCAGTGTATTGTGTGCGGTAGTGTATACTGTATGCAATACTTCCACGCGTATAAAGGATTTGGGTTAATAATCGATTAGGTGATTGATAGGCCTCGCTTTTTAAGTGTTACAACCATTAGTCATATGAAAATACCTCTCGTTCGTACTTTTCTGAAATTTTTTTGAAGTAGGAAAGCGCAAAAAAAAATTGTAGGCGTTGTGGGTTATAATTGACACGTTGTTATTAATGAATTATTTATTTGAATTAGCATAATGCCGTTTATGAATTGCCGGTTCTTATGTTTCCTTCTCTAGCGTTGTCAAAGTTGTTTATTTATTCATAGATGCTTCCAAAGCCGTACTTCCGGAAATAACACCAACATCCAACACCAATGCGATGCCGATTTCCGTCCCATCAGCCACCGTTGCCACTCTTCAGAACCCGTCAGTATCTTCAGATCCTGCCTTGAAAGCGGTTTTGGAACCTACTCTCGCTGCTCCTTTATCGAACAGTGATAATGCGGCGCGTGGTGAAGACAGCGTAGAAACCGACAACAAGGCCGATAAGCAGCGAAATAGCGGGCGAAGAAAACAATCCAGACCTTGCCTTAGCGAGCAGAAAGGCTCCACGACAAAGGAAAATACCACAGTCTCAGAAAAAAATAACCGGCCTTCGGAGACGTCTGTGTTGGATGTGCTTCGTGGAAAAAAACCGGCCGCGGATCTTTTAGAGCCAGTGAAGAAGCAGAGCAAAGTTGGCTCATCGGGTTCAAAGCCGGATGCATCTTATGATTCTGATTCATCTGAAAGCGCTCTGACGGAGGAGCAGGCGAGGAACATAGTAACTGCGAAACTCGATCCGACGATGCTGGACACTCTGAAGTCATTGGTACGTCATGTGCGCGCCAAAATGTTAAAATACACTTTGTAAACCTCGCTGTGTTGTTTTATATTCGCAGGGCATTCGTCCTTTTGGTGTCTCCAGCAGCATTTCCGCTGAAGTGAATAATCCGGCCGTTAAAACAGCTGTTGCCATGTGCCAGAAACTGGGGAACCGAATTCGCGATCCGGAAATCCCACACACGTCGGCCAAGAACGCTTCTCTGAATCGTCCACTGGATCTCAAGATAACCCCCTCCGCTGCTCCTACCTCGCCTTTGGTGACCACAGTAAAAACGCAGGAACACCCGGAACGCACAGAATCTGCTTACTCTGATATATCGGACGACGGGGATGACGTGAAGCCGGATAAGGATATCGAAATGCCGTCGGTCCCCACCACACCCATCTCGTCAGCTTCCGACAGACCGCCTTATCTTGGATTTTTTCCATCGTCGCCGTTTTTGCTGCAGGGCTTAGGGGAACCGGATGGGAAGCGGAGTAGCCCTTCTGAACTGCCGAAAAAGATGCCGTTTGCGCCTTATGTTTATGGTGGTCTTCCAATAGCGTCTCCGGATCACTTTGCCAACAGTGGATTGACTTTCCCGAACATTCTGGAGTTTCCGCCAAACAGATCCGAAGCAGACAGCAAAGCACGGCCAACCGATCCCGGCGCCGATGCCGGACCGTCCGGTTCGGCAGTTAAGACTCCTGGACGGTCTACCGAAGCGAAGGCAATTAAAGAGGAAACTGTTAAAGGAGATAAAGGCGAAGGGAAGTGCAAATCTCCTTCTGTGAAGGAGACGTCGAAGGTGCCGCTGGAGGCCAAAAACGAGCCCGTAAAGCCCAAAGAGGAAATGGCGAAGGCTGTTAGTCCAGTGGCGAACAAGTTACCGCCTGCGAATCCGCCCTTATACGCACAGCCACCGTATCTCCCGCCGCCGGGTTTCCGGCCCGGAATGCCACCGGGTGGTTACCCACCACCCAATCATCCCCTATACATGGGACCGCGACCACTCTTCCCTCAGGATCAGATGCAGTTCTTGAATATGATGTACGGATACGGAATGCAGAGAGGCGGTCCCATGCCGCCGGGAATGCCGCCGCTGGGTGAGCCTCTACCGTACGACTTACAGCAGGTACTGCAACCTTCCTCATCTGCGCAGCGACGGTAGATTGTGACGCAAATATCTGTCTGCAGAGGCTTTATTCGCCCGGGCAGTTTACGCATAAAATTCATGAACTCACGGCGACCAAAGAAGGAAATAACAAAAATACGCCCCCGACATCTGCGTCGTCGATTCTTTCTGAAAACAAGAAACCTGTGATGCAGTCGCAAGAAAATGTTAAAAAGGCTGGAGAAGCTCCAGCGGTAAAAGGGAGTCGACCAGTTAAAACCGGTTTGGCGGATGGTCGATTGGATAGAGTTAATCTCGAGCAAGCGTCTTCCCAGTCACGACGGGGTGCAGGGCCGCATCCCTCCGGTGCATCTGCTTCTGCGCTTGGGCCGGATGTTCCCGCTGCACACACAGTTGATTCTCGTAAGTTCGCTGCTTGCTTAGGCGTGAGGTTTTTAAAGATAAATTTAACCAAAACTTTATCACGACAACTTGTAGTCTTATACTCTGTTTATTCGTTTGAAACAAACTTGTGGACTTGCTGTAGTATTTACTCGACTTGGTCTCCTGCTCATGTTACGATTTTCTACCGTAGATCAGGCATTCGCCTCACAAAAGCCTCCAACTTTGCATTTACCTTCCAGTAATTCCAACTGAGAATTACCCTCCGAACAATGCCAACCGGCTTTCCGCGTGATATGCGCGCCGCAGATACATCACCCAGATGTTCCGCTGCAGAAGCTTGTGGCATTGTGTGAATATAGTTGCTGTATATGCGTTGACTGATTAAAGCATTGTGGTATAACTGCAAATTCTATTTGTTGGCTAATTTTAAAAATAATGCTCTTGCGTTATGTTTTGTCGTTGGCTTTGACGCGATTATATAAGGCATTCGGTAGATGTGGTTTCAGTTTTTGCAAGGCTTTTGTGATACGTCATCAGACCAAACGGAAACGTGTTGTTTCGCACGTTTTTTACATCTTTAACTGTGCGAATTGTTTTTGCATTAAGTAATCAAAGTTTTTGTTGTTTTATTTAGTGTTATCCGTCACTAAACGCAAATAAATATGATTTACGAACTTCGCGTACTGCATTGGTCTTGGCTTGCGAATGAAGAAAGATAGCACACTAAGCCACACTTTGTAGACTGTAGAGAGTGAAGACACGAAAAACATTGTCGCGTAGGGTCAAAACTCCTTAATCGGAAGTCATTAGCGTTAACTTATCACTTTATCTAGAAAATACCCAACGATTTCAAACGGCAGCAGAAACAAAGCACGTATGCATTCTTTTGCGGCTATTCTTCAGTCCCGGTTGATGTTCTGCTTTGACAATGTCGCAAAAATGCAGCTTCAGCCTTCAACGGAAAACGGCATAGAGTTGCTGCTACACCCTTGCGTAACTATTAGATCACAAACCAAGACAAACGTAGAAAAGATCCGCAGTGGAAAAATTTACTACATTTCATCCGGACTGTCGAATTCGTCCCGAATGTCATATCTATCCGGAAAGGAATAAAAATAGCTCTCCTCATCGTTATCATCATCCCAACAGCTTCGTTGCAGACACGCAAGAGCAAACACAGTGCATCTACTCAATGTCGACAGACTGGCAACGGTATTCAATTTTGCAACTTTAACGCCCTGCCACGATGCTGGTGATCCAAACCGACTGTCAGACTTATGCCATTTCCGCAGTATCTGAAAAACAAAAGAAAAAAACACCATAAAACTTTAAGAAGGCGCAGTAAATTTACCAACTTACAGCAACAATATTTGTTCGACGGGCTGAGATCCATCCAGCCCCATGAATAAACCTCGCCAACTTCGGTAAAACGTCGGGAACTGCATAGCGAGCTTCGTCCACACTGCGTGCGATCAACTCTAGAGTGGTCAAAAAGTCAGTGCAAGGATGGACATTAACAGCAGCGAAGCTGACGGGTAAATCCTGAAACGGCATCACACCCTGGTAGCCATCATTGTACACCCCAAACAAACATACAAACTCCATTTCCTTCAAGATAAGACGGCGGCAGAGTGTTCCCAAACTCTTAGTTACCGTGAAGTTTTGATCGAAAAGCTGATCACGTTCGATTTCCATTTTGGTCAAGACAACATTGGGCACAACCATTTTTTTACATTTGGCAATAGCGCAGAGTATGCGAATAGTCCCGCGGATGCGAACTGCGCGCATTTCCTCGCCGGTTAACATCACGTACTTTGTCGTTGGCTTCATGTAAAAATAAAACGACGAAGCTAAAAGATAGTTGATCGAGGCCGACAATTCCTTGTCCAGGGCTCGAGGGATACAGAGCACATTCATGAGAATGTGCCCTTTGCATTCCAGTGAGGACGATACGCCATTAAAGTAACGGCAGACACGGCGCAGTGCAGTCAGACTCCTAACGTCCATGTTGGAAAAGACCATCGCCAACAATTCCGGCGGGATGCTATTCAATCTTGCCAGTTCTTTCCTGGTGCCGCGAATAATCTGCGGCGCACCTCGCATTCCCAGCCCTTCTCGAAGTGTAAATTCCTGAGAGCATACACACTCTTCAATTTCACGGAAAAGCAGTTATGACAAGATTTAATCCCAAATTGTCCAATAACAATGATAGCATACAAGTACAGTTTTTACTCACCATCATATGCTCCTCCAGCGCTTCATCGCACCGTGGCTGCAGAAACTTGAAGGAATTTCTGGAAATAGTGATCGGATGAGTGCGCTTGAAGCGCTTATTCCACAACGTTGACATTGCGGGCGTGAGCGCGGCGCCGCTCGGTGCCGGAAATGTTTCAACGAGAAAATCGTTGTAGCGCACCGTTCCCGCGCTTTTTGGCCAATAACACACGCGCCGTGGGTGAAAAACTCCTGCAAAGTGTTCGTACACTTCCGCTACAACAAAACCAGGAAAACAGGTGATCAGAGGCCGCGCTTCGTACCACGTCCATGGTTGGTCGTCAGATAACTTTTCCAGAACATACAAATCGGACCCATCTTCGCCGAATTCCGCATCGCTTGCGGGCTCTTTGTCGTTATCCGCGCTATGCATTTGTTCCTGCGGAACACTGCGATACACATTGTGATACGGAATCAATTCCGGTAACTGGTCTCGGAGACCAAAATCCACAAATAATCCTGAGGCACCTTTCCCCACAACGAGACCGCGCTGAAATATTTCGTCCTGCTCAATGCTGTGATGGTCCTCCCTGACCACATTTACCGCATTCCACTGATGATCCATCTTGTCGATCTCCTACCTGCCGACAGGGACTTCCACCACGTTTAGATATTCCGTCGCTTTATGGTTGCAGATATTTCTAGATAGTTGTGTGTGCAGCAAATCAGCAAATGCAACGTTTTTAAAAGAAAGCACAACAACATGACAACACGAACGAAAAAGGATAAAAGTACAGTACTTTAAAGCTTAAGGCACACCGGAAATAAAAAAGCACCCGCTGCTAAACGTAGGTGCCATCTGCAAGCAGAACGAGCGATGCAAACTATCTACTGCACGGGTGGCATTCTCATTGGCGTGTTGTTGGCACTTTCAGATTTCTCTTGCGCAGTAAGCATTTCACATTACTGTAATTTTTTCTTTTTCGGTGAAATAATAATAAAATGTTTAGCTCTTTTTATATTTACTTAAAACGGTGAAAATCATCTAAAATGATACTGTAGTTATCTTCACTAATGGTTGAATTTGCTACTGCGCAAGTGATCAGCGATACAAAATGTCTTATTTATTACTTTTCTGGGGTTACTAGACCGACTGCGTCAAGAGTTACTTGATCCTTCTTCCGTTCTTGCGGTGTATTTTCTTTCCCGTCATCCTCCTCCATTTAAATCTTTTGTGAAAGCCATCACCCAGATTCAACATGTCTTTCCTCTGGAAGCCTTTCAGTGGAGGAAAAAATGAAGGCAGCGCTCCGGACAGAGCCAAGGGATTAAATGAGGTTTGTTGCGTTAGACTGTGCGTCTAGACTATAGACTTCTGTCCTTTCGGAATGCGACCGAAACTGATCTTTTAGGTGGAGAAGCTGCTGCATCGGATTGAGTCCGTCACCTTGATTTCCGATCGCCGCGACGGCTTGCGTTCGTTGCGAAAAGTGGCTGGCGTAAGGAAGATTACATTGCAATTTGAACATCGCATTTCCCAAACACTTGTTGGTGTTTTTCGTCTTCCCCAGGAACATAGACTGGAAGTTGGAGCGCATGGAATGAGCGTTTTGTTAAATATTCTGGATCAGGATCGCACAGACCATGAACTTGTTGCTATCGCCTTGGATATCCTCTGTGTAATCATGTCTGATTCGCCTAATATCGAAACAGGTTATTAATTCTTCCGTTAAATTACCATTGTCGAGTGTATACAAAATTGCTAGAGTAGATTTCGGTTAGGTGGAGTGATATGTTTTCCTGCTGCACTCGTACAGATACGAGTATATAATGCGACTGGTTTTTCTTGCATTTCCTCATCCTGTTGCGAAGCATGTCCACTGCCACAACCGTGGAAAAGCAATTTATATATTTGTTCTTGTTTCGATCATTTTGCTTTATTTTTCTGCTTTAAATTTGCCTTGTTTTTGTAGAATTATTCGAAAGCACAAAGAAAGTCAAAAGTAGGTTGCCGCATTTGCGCTTGTGTAACATCGCCATGCATTTGGCATTTTATGACGTAATAAAGAATTATGTCTTGTTTGGTTTCAGAAGGAAACGAAAAGATTGAAGATAAGGATCCAGCACAAAGTCAGGGCGCTCAGTTTACGGAAATCTTTTTGAAGAAAGCTGATCATCTTGTATTACTGCTGGATTTTGTTAAGGTGATTTGCAAGTGGTTGCAAGCGATAAATAGCGCTGTTATTTGCAAGAACTGCACTGAATGTGCTGACTTTTTGCAGGAATTCAATTTCCAGATACGTTTGCCAGCAGTCCGTCTCCTCTGCGTAATGGCCAGTAATTGTCCGAAGACGTTTCAGGAATGTCTCTTAGGTGTTCCTGGAGGCATCAGCAGTTTAATGGATTTACTCACTGACAACAGAGAAATTATCCGGAACGATGTGAGAATCTTTTTTAAATTGGTGTTATTGCTATGCGTCTCTGGTATACACTAACATTTAATAGTTTGGTTAACACGAAAGTTAATACGTATTTGAGTGTTTTAGAACTTATTATTTGGAAATTCCAAATTTGTTTCTTTTAGGGTGTGTTGCTGCTGTGTTTTATTACACGGAGTAATCCTAATCTGCAGAAAATTGTGGCATTCAGCAAGGCCTTCGAGACTATTCTGGATATGGTGCTGCTGGAAGGTTGCAGTGAGGGTGGAGTGGTCGTGGAAGATTGCATACTTCTCTTGACTCATCTGCTGGCTAACAATGCCAGCAATATCAAGTTATTCAGAGAAGATGGGTGTATCCATAAGCTGTTGAAATGGTTTACTACGGACAATTTCAGTTCCGCCTCGTGGTCTGATCAGCGCCGCAGCAACGCCATCGGGATGATGAGTGTTATTCGTTGTTTGGTTTCTCCACTACTCATTCCACAAGTTGTACGATCTTGTCAGGATGCCATCAGTAAATGCGGACTGTTAAAACATGTTTGTGATATCCTGATGACTCCCGGTATCCCATTGACTGTGCTCGTACAGGTTTGTTTTCTGAAGCCTTTGCGTTTTCTGAAGCCTTTTTACGCTTCGGCAGTTCTTTGAGTTTTAATGTTGCACATGTTTTTATATTTATTTATTTGATGATATTTATTTGAGCGCTTATTTTTTGCTGTAGACTCTTAACACTGTTGCCGAGTTGATTCGCGGCAATAAGCACGCGCAGGAAGATTTCTCTGCAATGGAAGCTCCGTTAAATCCGCCTCGACCGGCTCTCGCAATCCTGCTGTTATCTATGTTCAACGACAAACAAACATTTACGCTGCGTCTTGCCGTTTTATATGTTTTGAAATGCTTCCTGAATAAGAATGAATCCATGCAGCTAAATATATTACACTCCATAAATCCAGAGGGAAACGAGCCGGCACAGTATACTTTGGGACACCTGTTGGCCGGTGCACTCTTCAGTCCAGATTCGCTAAACCAGTGGTGTGCAAATATTGCCTTTTTGCACTGTATTGTGGACAATCGTGAGCACAAAGAATTTTTACTCCGAAGTGAATTTGCGCCATCCCAGACGCTTCCTTTGACGACGATCATGGTGCAGTGTGGAAATATCTTGCGCGATGTATGGATAATTACTATAGTGGGGTTTCAGGAAGTAAAAGCTTGAACTTTTTTCAGAGCTCGCAGCTTCGAAGCAAAGTTGCCGTTCTTCAGTTGCTTTGTATTTGGTTGTGCGATTGCCCATCGGCTGTGGCTGTTTTTCTGCGGATACCGCAGATTACCACGATGGTATGTAATGCAAAGCTACAAATGATGCTTGCTTACTCTTGTGTATCCGTGCCTACTTTTCAAATGTCCGGCACATCGTGAAGGTTTGTGTTTCATGCTAAGATGCTTACATGTTTCCTTTCTGTAGCTGTTGATACAAATCTTGGATTCCGCTTTGGAGCCTTCGCAGAAATTGTACCAAGGGCTTACCGCATTCCTTTTTGCTATTTGTATAAATTATGATGAAGACGTTGAATCGAGGTGCGTTGTAGTATACTTGTAGGCTGTTGCATGTGCGTCATAGCGACTTTTGTACTCGATTGAATTTTACATTCTGTAGGCGGCAACTTCTTGATATTGTGCGCAATCGTATTGGGTTTGACCTTTGCAAAGAAAGAGTCGTAGAAATCTCAAGACACGAAAGCTTTGTCAAAGCAAGTCAACATCCGGACCCCGCTGTCGAAAGTTTGGACGATTTGTATTTGGATTATGAATTCGTCAAGTTTTTTAAAGCAGTTGAAGGTGCACTAGTGAATTCTAATCGATTAATCCTATTGCGAGTTTTTGAATGTTAAAATTTCTGGAACAGTTGAAACACATCATTTGCGATAATTGTCACCTGGCGGTGATTCTGGGGATACCGGCAGTGACACATGCTTGTATATTTGCAGGAAAAATTTACGAATCACTCGATCCACATTACGAGGAACGGCTAAACGAGGATAAAGAGCGCGCTGCCGGACTTCTAAACCAGCAAAAAGAATTTATTCAGGCAAAAGATTCACGAATTTCAGAGCTCGAAGCCCAGCTGCATTTTGCACAAGCACGCATACATGAACAGAGCAAACAAATTGATGATCTACGTAACCGCAGCGATGTCCTTACAGCGGAAATTCACAACAGGGAAAGCGATATGGAGGCACTGCAGAAAGAAATCCGTAACGTGCGATCACAAGCTCAGACCCACCACTCTGCGACAGCGCAGCTGGAAACTGAGAACCTGCAATTACGAACCCAGCTGACCGCTCAACATCAAACCATCACGGAACTGCAGCGTGCTGTCGAACAGTACCACAATTTGGGAGCGGAAGTGGAACAATTGCGCACTGCCAATGCTCAACAACAGCAGCAAATATCAGCGTACTATTCTTACTTCGAGGCTCAGCAACAGGGTGGAGACGCTTCAGCTAACCTCGTCATGGAGAACGCCGACCTTACTACGAAAGTGACGCATCTGGATTCGCTTCTGTACAGTTGGCAAGCTGAGTGTCAGCGGCTTCAGCTGGAAGTGGCAGAATTGCGGGCGTCGACGGCTAAGAGGGATTCTGTAATGCAGCAGACGAACACTGATGGGTTTGCGACTGGTCATCTTGAGGTTAGCAGTCGTAGTGGCTAAAACCCGACTCATTATTAACTTCGTATGGTACTTTTCGCCGTAGCGAGGGTATAGGCGCACTGGCGCACGCTTACCCCTTCTCGGCCAACTTATGAATTAAATTCGCGCCCCAAACTGGCGCACGGGCGCAAAATTTCTGGATTTTTTAAAGGGTGCAGCCCTTGCGCCCGTGGCGCAGACTGGACCTAGGCCTGGTGCACCTTTGGCCTGATGTACGGTGGCCAGTAATTATGACAATTAAACTATTTCTAATATTTAAACTGTTAAAGCGTGAAGTAGAGCGGGCCTGTTTTTACGGGTGCAGGCTTTGAAATTTATGGGCGCACTGGGCGCCGATCGAACTTCAAAACGGGCGCAACTGGCGCAGCCAAATTGCGCCTACCCCATCCCGCGGACCTCGCTACGGCCCTGCTTTTACCACAAGGGTGTTGATTGTTGTATTTTGCAGTGAACTCATTTTTTTAAATTTTGTCGCTTCCCTTTATTTTTGCTAATGTCAATAACGCACTTGTTTTAGTGGCATGTCTCGAGTTATAAAAATTTTCCATTTGCAGGTTAAAGATATACCTTCCACAGCTATACAACAGGAACTTGACCATTTAAAGACTAAGTATGCTGACTTGAACGGTGAACACGCTGATCTGCTTGAACTATTGACCGATAGCGACGACAAAATCCAGAAATACCGAGACAGATTAAGGCTGCTTGGAGAATCAGTAAGAAAGAAGTGCCTTTTAATTCAACAAGTTAATACGAAATTACAGCGCAGCGTTGTTCCTTTTCAGGTCAGCGACGACGATTCATAAAACCAAGAAATCCGAGCTTATCTGACCACACATCAAAATTGACAGTTTTTAGAGAACACTTTTATTTTTTTTTACGAAAGATGGTTTAGTCCAATTACGGATAACAGTTTTGGTGTTAGAAATTGGTGCATGCTGGATGAACAAGCAGGGCACAAATAAACTCTGACAGTTTACTTTCGACTGAGATTAATAAGACTTGCGTGTGGGGTCCATTTTAACATTAGTAAAGAGAGTACGTCAAATCACAAAATTTTCTTCAGCTGAGATACTGGCCAAGCCAACGGAAACCGTCGCCGTATCCTTGACGCTGAAGGAGACTGCACATGAACAGTTCCAAGGGACGTCCACGAAGTTCGTTTCTTGACACGTTACCCTGCCGAATAAATTTAAAATTATTACCAAACAGATGCAAATAAAGCCAGAACATGGGCAGTTTTATCCTCCACAAGTGACACAGTACACTGCGTCCAGTTTGTGCAAAGAGAGTATCTTCCATTTGTACATCATAAGACGGGCAAATTCAACAAATATTTCCCAAAAATTAAATGTATTTTCAAAGCATAACGATTTCAGGAGCACAGTGAAACTTATCGAAGATCAACGATTAACGGCAAAACTTAAGATCAATAATGAACTGTTTATTCTATAGCGATAAAAGTGCACGTATTCAAATAATAGATAATAAAAGAATATCGCTTCGATCCAGTGCCGTTCAGAATGATAAAGTAAAGGTTATGCAATTTACAGGGTATGAACATTACGTACCTTGCCAGTAGTCTGTCCATGCAGACCCAAAAAGTGCCGCAATTCTTCTTCGGAAACGGCTCCCGGACGATCAATTTTGTTGCCAAGAATCAAGATCGGACAATCACTGATTTGTTCGTCGTTCAGAAGACTCTGCAAATCATTCCCGTAAGTACCAAACACCACAAAATTCAGCGCACAGGCTGATTCCGCCAACCATATGAACTTGCGTATTACAACAGTCAACAGCTGATTAGAATTATACCGTTTCATAGTAAGAAAAAGGTTTTACATTCAAGTGTATAATATCGATATCGTTGTGAAGCTGCTAATACTCTTATACCAGATCAAAACTCTTTGTTACAAGCCAAGTGTAACAAGCATAAAACTTACATCTAACTCCACTTTAGCTTCGGGCAGACGACCCCGATCAAACGCATCAACAATGAAGACAACGCCGTCGACAGCTGGGAAGTAGTCCTTCCACACACGTCGCGCATTAGAATGCCCACCAAGATCAAACGCCGTGAAGCGCAAATTACCCATGGTTAGCTCTTCCGAAGCTGTCAAAATTTTCAGTATTCAAAATTTGTAATCACATGTGAAAGTTCATGCAGGAGATCGAAGTCGAACGGACTGCGTTACGCAACCACGCAAAACTGCTTACTCGGATGTAATGTTGGCACGTGCTGAGCCATTTTGTCGTCTTTCAGCATGTGCATTAATGTCGTCTTCCCTGCATTATCCAATCCCAGGAATACTAACTTTCCCGATTTCTTGTAGAGACCTGCGCGAAATCGTTGTATATTAACAATCAATGTGCTAGCATTACGTATTAATAATTGATTATTCATAACTTAAAAAGCTATTACAGCAAATTACGATTAATATCAACAGACAGTTAATTTACCGAGATAACTCAGCATTCCGGAAAACCAGTCCCACAGGAACATTTTTGATTCAGGAGGGAAAGAAGGAGAAAAAAATAAAAGTTAATTAAATAACTGAAAAATCACATTCGTAAATTTAAAAGTAAACTGTAAAAAATACGACTAATTGCGAATTTTGGGGAAAATCTTCGCCTGAACTTTCGTTGCATAAAACTGCAAGCTTTGAGGCGGAGAGGCTATCGTTCCAACGTGGAACGGCAGAATTATGATTCAGAACGTTCAACTTCCGGATAAACGAATAAGAAAGCTTACGGTCAGCGCAAATAGTTCGCCGAACGTGAACATATTTTTTTCACGAAGCCGGCGCTAGAGGATGGTCGAATCGCTTGGAGCTTTGCACCCAGATACCGCAGTTACCTAGACCTGTTCAAAAAAATTTTTTGAGTTTTCGATTTTGGGATCTGTATGAAAACAAATTATAAGTACGACTGTACGACAGTACGAGAGTACTATAATAGAAATAAAAATAAGTGACATCTTTCTCCTTTATTTTTTTGTTTGTTATTGACTTGAAATAATAGACAGGTATTCGTATCTTGACTATCTACGGCGCATCTTCTTTGGGTAAGCTGCAGAAAAACAGCACCAGTATCAAGTACTCCGTATGCCTCCGCATTCGTGTACAAAACGAAAAAATATGAAACAAAACGAAATCCTTTAGCTTTAGGTGTATCTGCTTTTCTTTTTCTAGTAATTTTCAGTGTTTTTCATACCTGATATTAAGCTTGTGATTACAGAGGTTTCAGTGTCTCGTCGGCCAGTGGCACCTTTGCGTATGGAGTCGAGACTTCAGTGTTGACAACTGATATCAGTATCGGAGTATCCTGCCAAACTGAGGCCTCCGCTCTCCAGGCTAGACGCAAGTGCATCTGCCATCTAGGTAATAGGAATGTAAATTAAGCACGGGATGAATGCATTCTCCATACGAAAGCCAATAGGTAAGCGTTTTGGGACTTTTATATGTTTGTTGGTGTGCAGAAGAAATTCTATCTTAGGAGCCTGCCAGCCTGACTTCGTTAATAGGAAATACCGTATCCATGTCTTTCCGTTACCAGTTTTACTGTTTATTTTGTTTTTACATATTTGTTTGCGTGTTTGAATTCTGTTTTCTAATGGTTAATAAAAGCGCTAATGATGATGCGAATTGTGTGGTTTATTCCGTAGGATCAGCTTGGGGACTGATTGGACGTAACGGTCTGAGAAGCTACTTTCTGTAATCCTTTCTGGAGTATCCGGAACCATCCTGAATTATGGTTCTCTTGGAGCCGGAGAAGTTTTTGGTCGAATTTGAGAAGTACGCGTACGATTTCATCAATACTTTTTTTTCCTCAATTTTTTATTGATACTGTGTTCGTCGCTTCGTCCGATTTGTGTAGGTGAATTTTGTAAAACTCGATATTAAAACCTGTATCGTGATTCGAAAGTGAACCTGGAATTTGTCTGCCGAACGAATCGTAAAATATTTACTGTAACTAGGAGTAATAATCTCTTACATGTTGTAGCTTTTTGTTCAATCGTCGTTATACCCCAAAGCTTTCATATCGCACAGCTGATTGCATTATTCGCTTTTTACCTTGTATTAATCTTGAGTGATAGGTTTTGTACTACGAAGCGGTGAGATCTTAACGCGGAAACGTAGCCTCCAAAATTTAAGCTGCAGAATTTCGGATGATTCAAATACTGACTGTAAAGTTGTTGAAATCGGCAAATTTTATTCCCAAAAATTCGTTTTCTAGTAAGTACGTATTTCTTGAACTAATCGGTGCGGTTTAAGATTGCGTTTGAAAGATACGGTGCTTGGGATTCGAACGCAGAGCAAGCAAAACTTTTGAGGCGACGAGCCGGAGATGTACAACTTTGGAAATTTTTGAAATATTATTTTGGTTGAATAATAATAAATGTTGCGCAGTAAGGCGATACTGTATTCTGAATGATTTGATCGGCCGTTTGCTGAATTTAAAAATTGAAATCTAGTCTGGAAAGCCGACTGACGAAACAGGCTTCGTTGGCTTTTGTTTTTGCATCATTGTACCGGATTGTTTAAAATCGAGCTGTCCTCTTCGGTTGAATTTAAATGTGGGCAGGCAGCTTGCTTTGCTATGTGAATAATGAAATACAGTAAATGAATAGGCTAGAATTTTTGGAATATGTTACAACTTTTGATGTTCGATGCGTTGTCACAGTATCTATAATTTGTGCAGATGCAGGCATGCTTAGAACTGTCGACATATTTAATAATATGGTTCTGCGAATCTGGTGAATGTTCTGCGAATTCGATCGCTTCAGTAACAGTGATTTATTGTGATTTATGAACGAATATTCCTGGCGCCGCTGATTATTATTATTAGTTTATGTAACGTAATTTTACTCGTGCGTTAACAGTAAGTTGGTTGGGGGTTTTCTTGTTGTTATCTGAGTTTTATGGATACAGTTGGAAGCGTAAAGTTGTGGTCGTGACTGTGAGGGATGATGCGCGTGAATTGCGTTTCCATGCCAGTTGGCGTCAGTTCCTGTAAAAAGGTTATGAGCGATTTAACTGGAGCGGCATGTTGACATCGGTTACGAATGGGAGCTTTTATTAGCCTGCTTCTTGCTAATTGTGAGATATTTTCATCCGATCACATGGCCGCATGGCTGTAACCTCTTTTGCATCATTCAGACAAGAAGTGCATCTTGGAAAAACGTTGGCCGCAGCTGCTTGTTGACAGGCAGAGGACCGTGAATGCCATCAGCACCTCTGTGTGATTTGAAATAGGACTGCGACATTACCGTACATTATACCGACAGTTACGAGGAAACCCAGTTCACCGCTTAAGCGGAGACGGCGTGTACTCGTACTCCACATATGCATTATTCCAGGAAACTGAATGTGTTTTAATGCTCTTCATGCATGAAAACCAGTTTCTGGGTTTTGAGCGCACTATACGGTAGAATCGCTGTAAAACATCAAGGGGCCGGTATGCCGTTATCGATGTTGTAAAAGCGGTTGTGTTGTGTTTTGAGTTGATGGAAGCGAAGGAGGCACAATTTCGCTGCACTCGGCTTAAATGTTTTCCTCGTAACGCAAATGTTTTTCAAGGGCGTCTTTGTGTCTTTGCAGATTGAGTTCGCTGATGCCAGATTTTTGTTTTATGATTTGGCACAAGAATTTTGCTGATTCGTTGTTTTGATAATCTCGTGCGAGAGACTAGAGTCTGTTTGAACGTTTAGTCTGTTTGAAATCCAGTCATTCTTTTGAATTGCACTGTTATGTAGATGGTACATTATTTCGTGTTTGCTTTTTTGTCATTGATTAACTTCTAATGATTGCTAACGTAAATATGCTAAATTATAAGGAATTAAATTTCTACAAAGTTCATAATAATTTATAGGTGATAATTTGATTCTGAAAAGCCTGTTCACTGATTTCCCGAAGCCGCGTTGAGGTGTTAATAAGTAATTGAATTCTATATACCTCTTGCATTGAAACATTTTTTACTTGTTCTGACGCAGATGTCTGAAAAACGTTCTGCATCACATGAATTATTGCAAATGAATTCGTACTGCACTGCACTTGCATTGGTAGTGATTTGGGGCCGTAAAATTACCTCACGTGTCGATTTTTCTGAAAAAATAGACTGCTGATGCTAACGATTACTGTACTTCGTTGGCTTAGCTTCCAGCCACGTGAAGCCCAGTTACTGGTGCCAAGATAACTAAGCAAGGGGAAATGTTGTCGTGTTACGTTAAAGCTACGTGCTTGTGCCCAACATTCCACCAAGCCGGTCCTTTCTTGCACATTAGGTTTCGGACGAACTAGCAAAAGTTCGGAAAACTCGCTTTGGAGGAACTGACTGATTACGCTGCATTTCGATGCGGACGTGTACAGGCATTGTCTGGTATATCAAACCTGATTGCCGGTATTGTTTAATTAGCATGATTTCTTGATGACCTTGCGTACAATAATTGCCGTGGGTGAAACAGTTTATTGTTAGTACACTTTGTTCGGTAACGTTAAACGTTTTAACTGTTCGTACTGTAATAGAAACGGTAGTTTTTTCATAGTCATTACAACTGCCTCAACCACAAAATTAGTGCAGAATTTTAATTGATGCAGTGATGCATAAATGCTGATGCAGTAGAATCAAAATCATCACGAATATCGAAACAGAAGTTGCAGTTATTATACCAACTTATCAGTCAGCCGGCTTTAATAGCAATTATTAGAAGCTATAAAGTAGCATTGTTAGTATGCCACTATGTGTGTAGAATTAGATGCAGTGGAATGACGTGTAGCGTATTGTGTTATTGCAGATGTTTAACTGCATCGAAGGTCAAGAAAAAGGTAGCATCAATTTTTCCATGAAACGGTACGATGGCCGTACCAAGCCGAAGCCTCGCGATCCGTCGAAAGCCCCTCCAGCCCCGACCGAATATTCCTGTCTCGTTCGTGCCAGTTATGATAAACGGAAAATCAGCACGCATGTCGCGCACAAAGATTTGAATCGCTTCCAGATTGCCTTTTCCGCTCTCATGCGATCAGGCAGGTGGAGTATGCTAATACAGCTGCGCAAAGTCGTTTGTTTGTGATAGAATTGGAATGTAACTTTGCCGACTTTACTCATGCTTCTATTTTTATCTGTTTAGGTATGAGTAATATCGGTAAAAAACCTGTGCAGACCGTGCCCACCGCCAGTGCAGCGCCTGTAATCGCACCGGCCCAGGTGCCAAACCCGGTCACGACGACCGCCAGCTCACCCTCAACCTCTACAACAGCAAAAACGAAGGGTACCAAAAAGGCATAACTGGATGATGAAGTATATTCCAGTGTCATTCAGATTAATTTTTTACTCTTTCTTGAGATCATTTTCTTACTGCATGTCGAATTTCTACCAGTTACATTGACAATGAACTGCGTAAGAACGAAATAAAGCTCACAACCACGTCTCGTTCCGTTTTATTTGATGTTGTCGCATGTTGCTTGTTCTGACCAAGCTTTAAAAAAACTGAAAAAGACAATTTATCACTTGGGGACACGGGTGCTTTGTACATGGGGTACCCGATCAAAAAGACTGAAAAACTACATCAGTGAAAATTTTTTTGAGGCATGGAGAAAATACTGAGCGAGCTGTGTACGCAATCTGTACAAACAAAGTGCGACAAGAAAGATAATAATCAACAGTCTGCACGGCGTTATAATTACAGACAACAGTGGTAAGTTGACAATATATCTTTCCATCTGGAACGGGAGCACTCGGGCAAGCGACACGATGTCTAATAAATTTGTCATGCAATCGGCAGTCCGAATGAAAACATCGCCATTTCGCGTCGGTGTATACCAATCTTCCATTCCAATCCAGCAAGAAATGCAACACAATGAAAGCGCCAAGTTTTCAAATTTTTTTGGTAAAAAAGGCCATGACGACAAGAACGCGAATGTGTTTCCAACATCGTGACCCATGTAGACAACGGATCGGGCACACCACCTGGCCATGTCCCAACCATGTTCCCCCATCCGTCATTCAAAGGCAAAAAATTATAACGAAAAAAATACAAGGAATAAACGTCCCGTCCAAGTCAAATATGTACAAAAGGAAAGGGACGCTCGGTTTCCCGTAGTAACATTTCAAATATCCATTTCGAACTGCTGTTCATGCTCGTCATCTGCAATCACGAATGCATCTTCGTTAAGACATTCTTTTAAGTGAAATCAAATTGTTTTAAAGGTCAACCACAATTAATACAAATAACTCAAAATGTTGTGGTAACGGGTGTCCGCTGCTTACCTTTGCGTTGAGCAGGAGATTTCACAGGTCTGGAGGAGGCAGTCTTCGGCAGACTTTCCACAGGGATTCCACCGGCGGTGACTCCAGGAATAAACTTCATGTTCGACGGCGGTGTCTTCGTCATTGGTGAACAGCTCAGCTTGAGGAGCAACGATCGATCGTACACGATCCTAGTGCCTACAAATACGATGCAATGTCAGCAACATTTCTCAGAACGGAATGACACTCCCAGTTTCAAAACATACAGGTGATACACCTAAACATCTCCTTGAGAAAATACAGAACTGACTCGAATGATTTCAAATTGCATACCATTGCACACCGATTCCTGCGCACATCTAATTAAACAGCAAACACCGGTAACCGTTTGATTTATGGTACCGTTGTCGTTGTTATAACTTAAATTTAAACCACCAGTTTAGGTAAAAAGCAAGCTTTTAAAAATTATTATCACTGATTTCCTTTCCTAACGAAAACAACTTTAACAGCCCAATAAAAAGCCGGCGACAACACTGCAGCCGAGACTTGGAGACTAACGATTCCGGTCCTACCAGCAGATAGACAGGTCAGCGCGTTTGTTTACAACGTTATCTGCAACGAAGTTTGCACTTTGAAGTTCGAGGAATCGAAAGTCGCAAATGATCATGTGCCTTATCCTGTTGGCACAAGACAACTACCGTCCGTAATCACTCTCTTGCTCATGTCGTCATGCGTATTTTGCACGAAGAACCTGATGCAATTCAATCAGGAATTGCAAACTGCAATAGACTGTCCTCTGCACTTTTAGGTATAAATAATTTTTATAATTACAAATATCGGTACAAAACTACATGACAGTGGTATAACCGTATATCGTAGTATCACCAGAATATCAAAGTGAGGCTAAACTTCAATTAAAAATCGGCAGTCGTAAGTGGCTAACCAGTAAGTCTAGTTCAAAACCGGCTTCAGACTACGAAAAGAAAACGTGCTATCCCACAATGTGGATCGAAAGTCCAGTGGGTTTTCTCATTCCGGCCATGAAAACCTAGCAGTTTATTAAATCTGCACGACGAATACATACTGCAAAATCGTTATGGTTCAGGGTTTACAAAAAAAGTTAAGTGAAGGTGCCCCGGGGCGCAATGTATTCACAGTCGTTCGACCTCTCCCATAATTTCTCGGAACATTTACACCGTTAAAACCAAAAATGGTCAACAGAAGTCTTATGATATTCGTACCTCCAGGAGTTGTGCAATAAATGGTTCCGTTAGGAGTTGCTGAGATGTCTCTCGGAAGTTGATTCGGATCGGTTATCATGACACGTCTGATGGGGATTTCCCGCTGTTCAGTGAAACGTCGATCAGTCTGAACGCTCGACATTTTATCGGGATTGCAGGGATATAAATTCAAAGAAACGAAAAACAAAAGCAATAGAAAGCAGGAAACTAATCGCAAAAATAATAAGTAAAGCTACAATAGCACTATAAACTACTAAAAAGCACGCAGTTCAGGAACATCCGACGCAAAAACCCGACTAAAACGCAGAAATATCACTGACAAGGCTTTGTATATAACCAACTGTTAGCTGACGTCAGCATGCTAACAACGCCTTCCACTTCTGCGCCATTGGCTGGTCGACAAAGACCACTTTTCTCGTGTACTATCCCCGGGTGTTTAAATTGCACAAATACAGCTCGTGACGGATAAAAATCACTAGATGTAAGCACCGTCAGTACTATGTTCCGTTGCCACTGCCAGGAAGGGCAGCTGATGTTGGAAGAGCTCGTGACCATGAGTCACTGTAGTGTGCTTTATCGCTGCACTATTGACGTTCGTTGAATGATCAATGAACGTTCATTATTAGCGTGCATTTTTGGAGGACAGTGGAGGTCACTTGCGGGATGTTCTGACTTTCCGAGGTGGCATCACTGGCATGCTTGTGAAGGCAAACAAGAAAGCGTGCTTCAAGATTACAATAAGTATAAGATGTTAATATCTAGCATATGTACCGTATAAATAAGCTTCAAAATTGTGACGGCACTTTATTACAGTTTGATATCAAGTTTTATTGCTTCACAAGATTACATGTTTTAAAACAAATTCCGCTTCAAAATATATGCATATAACAATTCTAATCGTAACAAGTAATACATAATAAGTTGAAAGTTGTTTGACAGATATCATCATGTATCTTTTGAATTTACTGATTTTTGCTGATCGTATGCACATCTCGTGCTTTTCCGCAAAGTCAAAATGGGGGTTTTAAGTTCTGTTCTAATTTTATAACATAAAGATCGCATGGGTCTAGACTGTTAGCAGAATTCCGTCTCTGTTTGAATGTTACATCCCGGCCGATAGTCTGGGACAAATTTTTGCTGCATATTTTTCAGACGACAGCCCTGAAGTCGTAGATCTGCCGTTAATTACTTAAATAACTGCGTTCAGAAAGGAAACAAACCTACCTTACAAGAATATATGTAAAAATATTGGCGTAAAAACCGTTTCCACCGTAAACAAATATTAAATTTTTCATTTATAAATCAAAACTAATAAAATCAAAATCCGTCTAAAACTGCTCAAAACAGAAAGCTGCCACCTCGAGGGCCCTGCTGGTGCGACAAAAAACTGCAAAGTCGGAAGTACAGTACGTACTTTAATACCGTAGTGCAACTTGTTGTTGTCTTGAAAGTTGAAAGCCACTACTGAAAGAAATGACGCCGGAAAAGTCACTCCAAGACTTCAAAAGTTTAATTAAAAGTTAACTTAAACTGAAGGCTAAAGATAAAAAAGAAACGTGAGTTTTCAAAATTAATTATGCGGAACTTCGTTTTGATCGCCATTTTATGCTTTTCCTGTTTTCCGTCGGGAGTATTAGTCTTAGCTGGTGGCGGGGGAAAATATTCCAAGGACAAGAATCAGAAAAGAGACAGTGATGACGCAGCGGAAGAGAAGCGAATCAGCGGGAAGAGCGCGACACCAACAAAGGCTGCCGAAGAAGACTCCAGCGCTGACGGCAAGCGACCCAACGGGCCTTTCCGGATCGCCAGGCTGAATGCAGTATGGGAAAAAGCGCAGAGAGTGAGTATCGTACATTATAAATGTCCGAGATCTGAGAATGGGGCTTCGTCGCTTGCATAGAAATACCACCACAGAGCAGTAAACTTATACCGTACGTAGGAATTTGTTATTTTTAGCATGGATAAACAGATTTTCATTGCGTTTTTGCCGTACCGTTCCTGTATTCTTCTTGACAGCAATTTACAAATCACCATTTCAGTTACAAATTTAGTTGCAAACTACAATTAACGTGACTGATTTGCATAGCGGCTCTCTGCGGATGATCTTCGGTCGCTCCTTGACGAACTGCAGCTACAAGGTAAAACGCTTCCTTATTATGGACGTGTTATGGATGGCTCGTACGAAATGGCTAGCGGAAATACTAATGTTTTCTGTGTGCTAAATTACAATTTATTATGAATTTTTGTTACTTAAACGTTAGTCAGTTCCCATGACTCATTGAAGAAATTTTCTGCAGATAAAGATGAAATCACCTTGAAGAGGTTGCAACATGGGGAAAAAAGACAAACAGGATGCATCAGGAAAAGAAAAAGCAGCTCCCAAGCGGTTCACTTTCAAGGACAAAAAACTAAATAAGCTTTGGGAAAAAGCTCAACGTGCTGGTTTTTCCGGTGTGTGAAAAGTTTTCAATCGGCAACCGATTCAGATAAGGAGGGCTATAGGTGGACCGTAGAGGTACTTATTCGTCTTTATGTTTTCTTAATAGATGAGGAACTGCAGAATCTGAAAACCGAATTCATTCATCACCAGCAAAAAGTAGACGACTACTACGAAAAATTCGATGAGGCCATAAGCGGTAACGAGAAGAAACCGGAAAGTGACAACGAGGACGGAGGTTTGAAACTCGTAGATTTGTATAGTTACTTGTACTGTGTCTGCCGACCATCTAGTATCACTTATATGTACACCTTACAATTTAACCAGAATGATTTATCACTTATACTCCTACCGATTAAACAAAGTTAACTTGTTGAATTTATTTAAATTTTTTAGACATTAGCCGCCAGACTTACAAGAAAATCATGGGGACACTACTAAAGTTTAAATATTGAAAAGACACCCAAAATCCATTTTGCTAGATAACTTCATTTGTAGCCACTTCAGAATTATACCAGAATAATATTATTTTACTTTCCAAGATTTTTGATTTCTTCAAATTTCACAGATTACCAGATAAAAGATCAGTGGAATGATTTAACCAGTGAACTCACGGAATCCGAACTGGAAGATCAGGTTCCCATGCCGAGCGCCACTCCGAAAGAGGAAACGGTGGAACTGGACAAAAAGCTCAAAGATCTTACAAAGAACTACGGAAACTTGAAGGAACGAGTAAACAGGCACACCCAAGATTTAAGCGAATTTAATTTCAAAGAAGACCGAGTAGAAGAGCTATGGAATCAGGCCGTTGGTGCCGGGTTTGATCGAGAGGAGCTGCTTTCTTTAAGGGTAATTGTTTTCCGCGACGTGCGTGCCGTACTTGTTGGCTAACTTGCATTCTTTCTACAGAATGAACTGCAACATTTCGAAAAGAAGTTGCAGAAGCTCAAAAATTTCAACGACGAAATTCAAACGGGAAATGGAAAGAAGCACCCTAGTGCTTTGGGCAAAGGCGGTGAGAAAAGCCAGGAAAGACTGGATCTGGAATCGAAGGCTAAGCACTTCGCACAAAAAACGGAAAAACTGGAGACGGAAATCCAGCGCCGCATTGAAAACCGGCGGAACGAGTTGTAAAGTGTAAACCACGCTTTTCCCGACCCTCAAGCGTTTTTGATCTGTGGATTGCAAGAAAATCCTCTATGAACCACTTCCAACCAGTGTCTTATTTTAAATGTGATAAACCCTTGTTGTTTGCTGTTAATATGACTTTTATCATTTTAAGTTTTTAACACTAAAAATTACTAAACCGCGCTTTCTTATTCGGAGTAAGTATTATTTATTTCTTGCTTTTTCTTTTTGGCACTGTACCAATTCTCTCAAGCAATCCAGTCACCTGCTTAACTGTAGATCGCAAAAAGAAGCTCTGTGAAGTGTGAACTATTATTTTTTTCAACGTAAATTTCACAAAATACGCTTCTATACACTCACAAAGGTCTGTGCGCGCGCTTACAATCCTCCGTGGTGCGAAAGTCAAACTGGAAAGTCAACACTTTCCATTTCGAGCCCATCACTGCAAAGTGTAAAACTAAGGACCACTGACACTAACTTTCACCGATCTTTTTCTCGAATTTCTCAAATTCTTTTGCCGCGAGGTCATCCACTTCATCTTTGACCTCTTCAATTCCCATCACTTCCGGTATGTAAAACTGCAACATGTTCTGCACGCCTTGTTTGAGAGTGACAACCGAGCTGGGACATGTGGAACAAGCGCCCTGAAGTTTCAACTGCACGATGCCATCTTTAAAACCCTACGAAAAACCGTATTAGCAGCTTCATTAGGTTGCCAATATGAAACAAAATCGTTTAAAATTCTCTGCACTCAATGGAGAAGACTCAGTTCATCGTACTAAACCTTATATAATTTATTATACGTCCACCAAAATTTCCACTTTCGCATCCTCCCAGATAAGCACTTTTTCGCACCGCTTTACTGCATAGTGTAACCAAACACACATTTGGCGGCGACGTTTTGAGAGGAATGGAAAATAACATGAATTTTGGTTCATCAAAACGCGTTCAAACCCTCCATGCCAGCGCAACCTGTTGTTATGCGCACCAGTCCTTTCCAACATGTATAGTGTACTTATACAAACCATTTGGCTGCGGAATGCAATAAAACGAAGTGAAAAATTGTTTGGGAGTGCGCGAAAGTGAAGGTTTCCGCGAATCCATACGAATGTGGTACTGTGTCATTCAAGTACTAACAAAAATAAAAAAAGTTGATAACTGGATAAGTATGTACCTTGTAAATGATATCGCCGCCGTCTTCCTGTACGGTGGGACGGATTCGTGTTTCGATCAGCTCTTTAATCATGGCGACGGTTTCATCGTCCTCCTCAGTAACCTTGGTATCCTGAGCAGAAGGTTCTTCTTCATGTAATATGGGAAGGTTACTTGCAAAGAAATCCATGATCACAGCATATATTTCCGCTTTCAGAACTTTCCAGTCTACTTCGTCGTCCATTTTCGTAATTGTTATAAAGTCCGAGCCGAAAAACACCGATTTCACGCCTTCGATTTTGAATAACAATCTGAAAACAAGGGTATTTTTAAAAAAGGAAAGGCCTTCCCAAAACTACAGACGTGAATTTAGGTTTAAAATTATAATCATTCTTCTAATTTCTTAAAAACGCAGCATTGCCGGTTTCCTTTCGTACTTGTAAATTGTACTGCTCAAGCACAACATCGCACGTTCGTCGTTTACCTACACTGTACGATTGCGATGCGTGTGGACTGCACAGTGTGTTCTACCAGAATTTAAATACATCGAATCTACTAAACAGTTTAGTGAAATGATGAAACTGAAATGGTGGTGGTGGTGCAGATTATGTGAATTTATGTAAATTGTATCAGTTTAGTCTAAAAACTGATACAATTACTTACACAAATCCACATAATCTGCACCACCACCACCACCAATTTCATCAGTAAACGGTGCGTGGAAAATATCTGTCGTAGACTCGTAGTGAAACGGCATGCCGCCATGCTGCATTAATAAAAACGCCGTAAACGTATGTACAGACCTCGCAAGAGGCGACCGCGCTGCTTTGGCCTCGGTAGGAAAATCAGCAGTTCCCGATTCCATGACCGTTCTTCCGGGAAGAAATTTTAGACTATTTGGATTTGGTGTATCCTGGGTCTGGATAAACATGGTTCTTACTAAGCGAAGAAAAGCAAAGTATAACAATCTCATCGATGCAAAGATCACAACATGACCGTAAGAAAACTGAAAGTATTAGTAATAAGTAATTTTTATGATTATATCAACACGGTCTAGAAGTTTACAAGTGTGAATCCTCTTTACAGGGATTTTACAGATACCTAAAACATTTAATCTGCTTCCGACTCAGAAGCAACGTCGAATCTAAAGCAGTATATCAGACGAAAATTCTGCAGTAAAATTTTTTTACTGTAAAAATCCAAGACAGAAGCCCTTTCAGTTGTTGGGCTTTAATTTAAGCCTTTACGACTTTACCTGGCGAAAATCCAGTGAACAATGCACAAGTGTTCACCCGCGAAAAACACGGAAAATTTTGATTTCTAATATTAGCGACCCGGGTCTTTGTTGCATAACATCGTCTAATTGAAAATCCGTCAAATGTTCCATAATAACTGTTACGAATTTCCGCTGAGCTTGGTCCCGGTCGTGTCCGCTCTGTTCTCGAAACACCAGGTAAGCGGTGAAGATCCCGAAGGATACGACGCGAAATCATGATAGTCAGAAGATTTGGGGCACAAGTGACAAGTGGCATTCCCGGAAGATCCAGAGCTGGTGAAGATAACCCTGAGCAGATACTCAGTTTGTACAGGGATCAGAAACCTGAAACAGTGGAAGCACAGCTGATCGATTGTAAACAAAAATATTTTTTAGTAGATTCAAAACTACGTAATAGGGTAAATTAAACTAAAAGTAAGTACTTATTACGTACTGTAGTTCTTAGTGTTTGATGGTCTGCAAGTACAGTACTTTCAGCGACTAACAACTGGCAAGGCCGCAAGGGAAACAAACCAATTAACTGTAAAAATAGGTACTTAATAAAATTAATAATAATATAATAATAATGACAAACGTTTGAGATGTGTCGAATTCGAATGTTTTTGTTTCAACAGCTTTTACTAAGTCAGTAATTTCCGGTGCCACTCACCGTAACCCGCGCCCCGGTGCGCGTGCCATATGTACTTATTATTTAAATTAGTACGAGTACTGTAAATTAATAGCACTTACTGTAAGTGTAAACTATTAATTTTGTGAATAAAAATGAAGTGTAAATAAAGTGACGTGCAGTCGTGCACACATATGTCACTAAACAAGCCTGAATGAGTTTGTTACTTATGAATCTACGTATTTATCGGTGACTGGTGAGTAGCCCAAAGAGTTATTAGCACGAGCGCCGAGCAGACAGGTAAATTTAAAATTAATGATCCAAAACCC